GCACAGACATTTTCGGATTATTTCTACAAAAAGATACAAGAACATTCATGACAAGATTTCGTCTTCTGCGGCTATGGATGAAGCTAATATTCCTCCAAAAATGTTTGATGGCACGTCTCTTACTCATATTGATAGTTTCACTGATTTTTACCAACATTAGTGCTGATTAGTAACTCTTCTACTTCATCTGGTTATGCCCCAAGAGTACTCAAGTTAGCTCTAGTTAGGCCACATCTGAAGAAATCAAGCCTTGATTAGGAGGATCCAAACAACTACAGGCCTGTTTCAAACTTAGCATATATGTCCAAACTTATTGAACGTGCAGTCTCCAGTTGTCTCATGGGCCACCTTTCCTGGCATAACCTCTATGAGGTGTTCCTATCAGCCTGCAGAGCACACCACAGCACAGAGACGGCCCTGCTGAAGATCCCGAATGACCTACGATGTGGTATTGACACAGGACAAGTGGCCCTGCTCACATTACTTGGCCTAAGCAGTGCCTTTGACACGACTGATCACCAGAGACTCCTCAAAAGACTTGATACAGAACTTGGATTCAGCTTTATCCTGGCTGGCATCTTATCTACAGGACAGGACTCAAACCGTTGTTGTTGGTGAATCTTTGTCAACCGCATCTAGGCTTGAGTGCGGAGTCCCTCAAGGATCCGTGCTTGGTCCGATCCTCTTCACCCTCTACACTTTTCCACTTGGCTTTGTTGTAGCAAACCTTAATCTTGACCACTTCTACGCAGATGATACGCAGCTGTGGAAGTTATTTCAACCAAACACAGAGTCAGCTATAGAACGTCTCTCTGTCAGACATCAGACTGTTGCCAGAAGATATTCATGGATGTCATCAAATGCCTTGAAATTAAATTTAGAGAAAACAGAGTCCATTCTTTTAGGACAGGCTGGAAAACGCAAGCAGTGTGACATTACTAGTGTGTGTGTCTGTGGAGCAACCATTCCTCTTTCTTCCACTGTCAGCGATCTGGATGTTGTCATCGATCAAGATCTAAGTATGACAGAACACGTCAAATATGTTACTAAAACTTGCTACTCCCGTCTCCACAATATCAAATGCCAGACCGTTCTTACCAAAGATGCCTCAAAAACTCTCTGCCTCAGCCTAGTCACATCTCGTATGGACTACTGTAACAGCCTTTTGGCCGGATCTCCATCTTGTGTCACTGACCAACTCCAATGCATACAGAATTTAGCTGCTCGCATTACCTCCCAGATCACCAGAAAAAAGCACATCACACCAACTCTAAAGGACTTTCATTGGCTGCCCGTGAAACAAAGAATCTCCTTCAAACTATTCTGTCTCGCATACCAGTGCATGACTAAAACGGCTCCAGTCTACTCTCAGATCTTCTTCAGGCTTATGCACCATCTAGATCTCTCGGATCAGGGAATCAACACCTTCTTGTCATCCCCAAAGTCAAACAAGCTAAATATGGACACCGTGTCTTCTCCTATCCTGCTGCTAAAAAAATTTCTCCCCACATTTATTTGTTTATGTTTTTTTTCAAAGATTATAACCATTTTAGAAAGTTATTCGATCTGATGACTTGAAAATTATTTCAAGGGATTTAATTGAGAGAGTGTGAAGCAGAAAATGGTGTTTTCTCCCCATCATTTCATTATATTCTTATCTATTTTCAAAGAACTCTGCTTTTAGAAGAAAAACTTCAAACGTAATAATAAGAAATTGATAAATCATAATCTGATATTGACATACTACATTTTGAAATAACGACTGCTCCCTTACTGACAGTCTCGCCAAACAAATATAAACTTCTCTTTTTTGTTTCATACATAACTGTTCTTTAATAACTTGATTTACATTGAGTTGATGAAATGAAGCAATCATATACTTACAAAATGCACAAAACCTGCATCTGCTTAAATTCGTCTACTAGCTGCCATTTTGAGAGAGGGAGTGTTCATTATATATTTTTTTTAATTTAAAAAAATATATTTTGGGGTTTTCTTTTAATTAAATATTTCATGAAATAGAGAAACACACTTGGCTAAAGTTAATAACCTCAAACTTTAATTATTCAACTCTCCCATTATGACCTTCTGGCCTTTTAGCAACCTTTTCCACAACCACTTTGTACAGTGCTCAAAAGTACTATTTGCACCATATTTCAGCTTGGAACCAAACTTTTTATTTAACTAGCATGTCTGATGAATACAAAAAACACAATGTCTTGCTTTCATCACAAAACTTCCACGGGACTTGAATTATGTACCCATCCTACCAGACTATTGGGACTGTTCCATATAGAATTGGCCACGGGAGTTAAAGCAGCCATCTTTGTTTAGTCTCCATATCGATTAGGAAAACTCTAATTATAATCATTACGGTACTATTTCTAAACCATGCCTACAAACATCAATGACTATACAGTAGTGTATAATTTGAGAATACTTGCGTGCACGCATCCACAAAATATTTTCAAAATAGACAGAAAATAATGTTAATTGTATTAATTTAGATGTTTATAATCAGAAACGCTACCTTGCTGCGCCTAGATATCAGTACACATGCAGCGACCCCTAAGGAACTGGACGATTTACCTTCAATTCTAACATTGAAACCCTACACATAGCATAAGCAGGCCATACTTCTGTAGACGCGCTGAGAAAAGACAGTGTATATAAACTATGCGAAACAAAATAACTGCACGGCTTAATATGTCTACATTCGGAATTTGTTATTGTTTTATTTCTTTTTCGAAAATCAGAATTAAGAATTGTTGGTCTGAATGTCTTGACAGCATGTGTGTTTTACGGGAGAATTTTTTGTCTGTTTGTTGTTTAACGCTGCACTGAGCAATATTGCAGCAATATGGCGGCGGTCTGTAAATAATCGAAGCTGGGCCAGACAATCCAGTGATCAACAGCATGAGGATCGATCTTTTCAGTTGGGATACGATGACATGTGTCCACCAATTCAGCGAGCCTGACCACCCAATCCTGTTAGTCGCCTGTCACGACAAGCATGGCCTATCGCCAATTCTAACCCGGATCTTCGCGGATTTGTACGGGGGCAACGCATACCAAACAGACGCGAAACGATGGTACCTGTTGTTGCCATGCCTGCGTGGATCTCAGCATTAAAGTGGATAGAACACGGTCTGGTCGGCTCGGAGTCCGTAAAGGAGACAGAATGGGATGCCCATGTCAGACTGCCACAAAGTATCTCAGTTGGGTAACTAAAAACTCTATATAGGTCCGGCCTATTGCTGGCATGCGCAGACCTTCACGCACGCACACACACGTGCCTGTGCACGCACCCCTTCCTTAACCTCCCTGAATGCGTCACGAGTATGGAATCCTAAAGTGGTCTATACATTTTCTTTTTTTTCTTTCCTTTTTTTGGTCTATATTACACACTCATCTTTATGACAGCAAAAAATACGTCTCCAATGCATATGTCATTGTCCACGAACCTGCCATTTATATTTGCTGTACACAAACGTTCCCAGACGAAAGACAAACATTCTTCAGAAATATTGGATTAGGTTCTGTACTGCATGGCGCACATTATACAAGCAATAATTACAGTTCGCAAGTTTGCAATCTTAATAGATTCACTAACAAACCAGGAGCTACGAGGTTACATTGCTTCTGTTAACGGCAAAACAGCAGAGATTAGATGACGTTGTAGTAATTATTAATGTTGCATCGTTTTTCGAAGATACATAAAATTAAGGTAATGAAGTCAATAACGACTACAGCAAATTTTAAGTGATTCGATTAGATTATATGAACATCTATATTTGTCATGCATTAACCCTAAGAAAAGTATGAAACTGCCAATTAAGAAAAAATTGTTGAAATTGCCAATTACTGTTTCGATGATAAAAGCATCATGATGATGATAAAAGCATGGTGCTTTTGTATTTTTTAAACAAGTTTTTAAAAACTTGGAAATTCATGGTGAGTAGGGACTGATGCAATTTGATTTTTCAATATTAAAAAGAACTGGCTAGCTATTCTCGAAACGTTGGTAGCCCTAACACATTGGCTACGATCAAAGTTAAGAATTCTTAGGGCTACGAACGTTTCGAGAATAAGGTCCCTGACTATTAAACAGAAAAGACTTCTCATACTGTATGCCCATATTGAACTTATTCTTGGATATGGTTACTGGGTAAAAGCCTCAAACGGTTTAAAATTTGCCATTGTAGGATCAAGGTATGTCTATGTTATGCCTGCTTATATATTTACACACACTCATACACACACATAAATACACAAACACACAAACGCACGCATACACACACACATTAATATGTGTATGAGATGATGATGATGATGATGATGATGATGATGATGATGATGATGATGATGATGATGATGACGACGACAACAACGATGACAATAATGGTTATTATAATAATTGATGGCCGGTCCACCTGGGTATCCTCATAGAACTTTGCTCGCACCCTCTCTTCACAAAAGGCACTGGCAAAAAATGTTTTTGTCTCTGAAGAAGCCCATTCCAAATTTCCATTCGCCCAATCACACAGATTAATGAAAAGCCGTTCCAAAATGATGACGATTTTTAAAGAATAAAGACGTTCGAATCTTTTCTTGATATGTTGGTGCAAAGCGGTGTGTCTCAACTTTTCGATTTTAGGGACCGTTCATAATTTATGGCCGGGGGTGGGGGTGGGGTGGGGGTGATGATGATATTTATGGAGAAGCATGTACAATGTGAATGACACACCCGACCCACCCCTAAACATGTGTACATAATTGATGACCCCGCCTACCTCACCAGAACCAAATGGGTGTCCCCTCCTTAAAAATCATCATCACCCTGCCCACCCCCACCCCTCACACAAACACCCAGTCATAAATTATGAACGGTCCCTTAGTTAAATTAAACCCTAACCCAACCCGACCCAGTACAATTGTTAGTGGTATGTCAGTTTGCTTCAAGAGTGGCCGGCCCTTTCCGCGAACCTGCGAGAGTAGACGAGATTTTGAAAACTGTTGTAGCAACGAGGAAGGGTTGGCAGAGCATTTTATGCGTTTTGCTCATTTTAGAGAGTCATTGAAACACAATTCGTAAGTTATATTTGTCTATCTTGCCTGTGATTATGTGCAAGTTATTTGGTACATGGAAACAATAAGATTTTCCGCTTTGTTTCTTTTCGGGAAAGTATGTTTAGAATTAGCAGACGATTTTCCCGAATGCAAACTGAGAAATTAGATAATTTCAGTTTACCTGTTAATAATTTTCACCAAAGCTGTCGCCAGACATTTGGAGTTATGAACTAATTTTAAATACGGATGTATGTGTAGCTGTCAGTGTCACGATGCCTCGATTTTGTTAGTTATTGCCTGAATACTCGAGAGTGATTCATAGTAAAGTAGCCAGCAGAGTATACAATCACAAAGCGGTAGCAAAGAATATTGTCTGATGTTTATGATATTGCTGCACATTATTTCTTGATTCGTAGGGTAGTTGGTATCAGTTTCATGGCAAAATGGGATTACTTTTTCAAACTCACTTGATGCCAGAGAAAGTCGAAACCTGTATCAGACTATTTCCTACTGTTCACCAAATCAACTGAATCTTGTAACTGGATAAATCGTTTTACATAATCTATAACTGCCTGTGAAAATATTATAAATGTTGATTTCAGAATACTGATATTAGGTTTGGAGATACCAGAAAATATTTTAATGAACAGGTGTTATAGGTTAAAATCTCAACCATATTGTATTTGATTGGGGGAAGGACATGTCATCAGAAATAAAAGCATATTTTATTTTGTTTTGATCAGTGTCATATAAAACAAAAGGGTCCGGTTCCACAAAGCGATCGTAGCGTTAAGATGATCGTAACTCCCATATTTTAACATAGACTTACGACTGTCAGAGTGCTACGATTGCTTTGAGGAACAGGGCCCAGTCAACTTTGTATTATTCACTCACTCCTTTGTTTCAGCTGCAGTGACAATGTCAGACATCCACACAACATCCTTTAGGTATGACTCCGCATGCAGTGAGATGGACATCAAGCCTCATCCCTACATCATCAAAATGTTTGAAAAAGAAAAGGAGGAGACCGTCATGTAAGTTTTGAGGAGATGGAGCAGATGTTTCAATTGAAATATTTATATGACTGAACATGGATATCTAACAGATTTGACAACTGATGATAATGTTAAAAATTTGACTCTATAGAAAAGCAGAAACTGAATAATTTAATTTAAGTCATAAACAAATCACAAATCCCATAACTGAACTAGTACGTTTTAGCTACCTTGTCGGGGCCAGTTGTCAATCCCAGCAATTCCTCTTATGATAAGAATATATTCTAGGAACCAGATCTAACAAGAATCTCTACACTGTCTAGAATCTAAATATTTTTGTGAAATAGCTTTTAAAGGTGGGTCCATCACCTGCAAACCAAGACAATACCTATAATAGCAACCAATTAAGACACTGTCTGTGATAGCAAACTGAGACAGTGTCTATGATAGCAACCCATGACATTGTCTTTGATATCAAACTGAGACACTGTCTATCTTAGGGTTAGACATTACTAGTCACATCCAGCTAATCCACAGGTCTTTTCAAACTAGTCATTAATAACGTAGATTTTCAGAGAAGACAACTAGCCCCTCCATAATTTCACTGGTCTCAGACTAACAGACCTGTGGCTCGACCTATCCCTGGTCCAGACTAGACTGCTTTCAGGCCACAATCATACAGCTGGAATACCGGAAGTTTGGACAACAAACAAGCAAATTGTACAATGAACATAGCCAGTAACTGCTAAGTTGACAGGCATCCTAAAATGTTAGTTATCAGACAAAAACTAGCTTTGGAAGCAGTGTGCAAAATAGTTTCCAGATTTTGCTAGACAGTCAGTTTAGCTATGCCTGAAAGTTACCAGCCCACAAAATAATTCACTAGCCCGAAATTTTAATGTAGAAACTAAGCAAAAGATGACAAAAAGGTAAGCTGCTAATATGATGAACATTTTCCTCAGGCCATAATCTTGCATGATTTAAAAGTGTATTATAACTTAACAAGTCAGAAGGAGTGATATATTTACAAAATGACCCCATGAAAATTCACTAGCCAGGCAGGCCAGTGACTGTGGAGATTTACTGCCCATTTCTGGTGTCCCCCGCCGTGATGTTGCTGGAATATTGCTAAAAGCGGCGTAAAACTAAACTCAGTCAGTCAGTCAGTCAGTGGAGATTTACTAGCCCGACTGGATTTTTACTAGTCATGGGCTAGCGGCCCAGTGGCTATTTCGCACACTGTTTGGAAGTACATGGATCCAACTTGCTAAGACTGATAATTGGACCAAGCCTATAGTACACATCTGCATAAAAGAATAGAAACATTTGGAATGTTGGCAGTAAATTGTCGCACAAAACCTTGTTAGAATTACTCCAGTCCTATTTCTGCTAATTTGCTTGAAACAAAATATTTCTTGTTTCAGTTTATGTTTGTCTGTACACATGTGACTGAATTATTTATAATCTATTCATCATCAAGTATTACATGTATCTGCATATTTGTGAATACTTTCTATAGCTGGGCTAACCGTGGGTGAGTACTTGTGTTGGGTTGTGTCTGATTGTGTTGGGCCTGGATTAACACTGCATGGTGGACCAGCTTCACATTTTACAAATGTTTATAATTGTTTGCAGATTAAACATCCATGTTGCATGCTGTTTGTATTGCCCTGATATATATGTTTGATATGCTGTTGTTTTAAGTGCACTGTGTACATATACTCATCATCATTATTTGCATTGTTAATGTTTAACAAAACTAAAATCATATAAAGCACAATTATATCTTATTCTGTTTTCTTTTATCATACTTAGGTAAATTTATTTGCAGTGTTCACAATTACCCATGATAGTCAAGGTTACCTTGCCATTGTCCTTATGTAAACAGATGAAGGAGTTACTGGTTCCAGATAATATAGGTCAAACCTGAAACTCAGGCCATGGGACCCCTTAATTTTGAGCACTGTTTTTAAATTTTCCGAACAGACACATCATTAGGTAATTTAATTAGTATATCTCTATTTTTCATTTTTTCATCATTCAGGGAAATTAATTAATAATTATATGATTATTGAATTTATTTAATCACATCATCTAATGACCTGACAAAATAATTTTCACAAGTGGTCCATTGGTGAATTATTGAACATATTCAGCTGTTGGTATTTTAGTCAGTATTCTCATGATACTTGAGATGGGCTTTCTGTTTGCCATGAAAATATATTGATTAGACCTTTTCTTATCTAACAATCTTGTTATAGGTAGGGCTTTTGCTATTCGTCACATGTTTGGTGAAATGTGGAAAAAGACTGCAGAGTTTCAAGCCTTAGTTATGCCAGGATACACTGAGGGTCATTCTGTTTCCTTTTGTACCCAAGTGATAAACACCTTCAACACGACAGTGTATTGGCTACACAGTCAGTACTGACAGTGCCTGTATTGATGGAGCTACATTTGTATGAGTGAATGAATAAATTTGATTGAATACAGCTTTGAACAATATTTCAACTCTGCAACGCGAATTGCGGTTCTTTTGACAACTGAGTCACATTTCCCCCCATCCCTCATCAACTTATATGATAATGATATATGCATGTTGACAGGAAACACCAGCTACCTTTTCTGTTTTCATCCTCAAGGTCTAGCACAGGTTGTTATTATGGTTGTTGACTAAGCTCGCGGAACTCAAACAAATTTAGTCTCAGGAGTTGTTATGATTATTCATACACTATTAACCTTGTGTTTATGTACTGAAAATACCGAGGACCCGGGTTCGAATCCCCACATGGGTAAAATGTGTGAAGCCCATTTCTGGTGTCCCCCGCCGTGATGTTGCTGGAATATTGCTAAAAGCGGCGTAAAACCAAAACTCAGTCAGTCAGTCAGTACTGAAAATATCTTTGTGCATTTGATTTGTTTTAATTAAATTCTACTTATAAACCAATGATCCTTTATGAATGACAGGTCCCTAAATTATGTACAAATTTAAAAAAAATTGTATTTGGAAAAATCTATCATTTTATCATTTCTTGCCCTATATAATTAAGAAATACAGTTCCCTCTACCACCATGTATAGTGTAATAAAACACACTTTCGCCCTGAACTATTATAGTTAAAGTACGAGGATGCTTGCGTCCGAGTGCTTTAACGTTATAATAGTTCAGGACGAAAGTGTGCTTTATTACACTATACATGGTGGTAGAGCGAACTCATGTAGTTCTTTTCTAAGATGCCAAATTTAATACTTTCTAAGGATAATTACGATTAATTTAAGGCAGAAAACAAACGACGGTGTCGGTGACCTAAATTAAGAATCCTCGCACAGGGCTAACTGGCGCGCTGTTCTATTGATGTGTCTGCCCCCCTACGTTAAGACGAACGTTACCAGAAAAAAAGAAATGATAACAGTTTGATGACGGTTTACGTTTGGATTAAATATCTTCTCTGAATTATTTTAATTACATCTGTCATTAACATTAATCATATTGGGCAATATGAACGTCGCATTTCTACTACCAACATAAGTTTGGATCAGTACATCCAGATGAAGCTGAGTAGTCAAGCGACATTCCACGATTGCATTGTGGGAATGTAAACATTGCAAACTTTATCGTGTCGCTGAAAACTTGTGAGTCGCATTGACACATTTTAATCGTCGTAAAACATAAACGTAATGTTTCCACCAGTGATGTTAGCTGCGTGAAGCAACTGCAAACCAAGAAACGGGATGCAACGGAGTAGTTTACTGTAGGAGGCCGTACGAGGCGATGACAACTGACATGCATCGTGACGCCGCACATTGTGACGTAATGTAAAATGGTTCGATAATGTATTTTCTTTTATGCATTGTTCTAACGGGGGGCACACTAGAATGACTCTTCCACACTGACTCTTCCAACCGCTACACAGTCCCTCCTGGCGCTTAGTCATTTCACACACCCTTGTTGCTTCCTGTCTCCTAACCACCACTTTCCCCACCCCCACCCCACCCCACACACATTCCCCACCCTCTGTCTTTCCCTAATCAACTGTTTTGAAAATAAGACATATAACAGAGAGATATTTGGCTTACTTTATGCTTATAATGTTCAGAATCAATAAGCACACATATTGATGTGAGGGATGAATAGGCTTATGAGTAAGGCCTATTTACATAATACATGTATATTGGGAAAGATGTGCAGCTACGCAGGTAAGCAAGAACTGCATCTTCGATCAAGTTATAACATTTACCTTGTATAATATGTCTATTTGATTATTTGTGAAAGAAGTATGCTGTAGTTATATTTAATAGATGACAGTTAATACATGCAATACTGAGACCAGGTGCTTCCTTCTTCATATTTTGTTTGCCTGAACCGAGTAACCCATAAAGCTCTGCTCAAAATTACCATTTTAGTTGTCATAGCAACATCAGCCAGGACAAACGTTGTGCAGATGAACACCTAATTGTGAAGGCTATTTACCATGAATCCATTCCATGTATATTGCTTGAATCACTTAACTACCAATACAAGATGCTAATCCCATTTAATAACCAACCCTCATCTCAATTGTATTGTACATTTACTGTCATCCAACCGGAATGAGCTGTGTAACTATTGGTATTCCATTTATTACAATAATTACTCACAGTACTCCTATTTATGACTTTAATCCATGTCAGGTGACCCGACTATAAAGGCCTTGGTCAACTGAGATGAAGATGGAAGTCACAATAGACTCTTAGACTAGAGAGAATTAGAATGGATGCTCTGGGTCACCAGCGTGACAATCACAATAACAACTACCACTATGTGGTTCTTGTATATATATTTACTTGTTTGAAGCAAACCTGATTATGACCTAAACAACATCCACCCTACTGTTGTCCCAACTGACCAGGAACCATCGATAGAGTTGATCCTTTGTAAACCAAAAGTCACCGTGTTCTTAATCTGATTGCTTGAAAAACATGATCGAATGGTATTTGATTCCCGGAAATTGCAGGACCATTTGCTGCGTATTATAACATACAAATATCGCACACGCCATTGTATTGTTATGTCGTCAGCAGTGGTGACGTCACTCAAATCATATTGTGTGTAGAAATATACAAATATTACAAATCAATTATTTTTTAATACCGGTCATATAAAAATTCTTCTGAAATGAGAAAATCAATCAAATATTTCCTGACTGACTAATGCTAACATGTTCATTACCAGAAATTCTACCATGTCATAGACAAGGAGAAAATATTAGAAAATCGAGTACTCTCGTCAGTAACGTGTGTAATTTTCCTATTACTGAGAATGCTTGACGACTGTTGTGAAGGATAGGCAGCTTCCTGTTTATTTGGCTCAACTCGTCTTCTTTGTATAATAAGCATTTGTGAAGTCAAGGTTTTCTTTGCAGTCAAAATGAGAAAAATTGTTTTGTTCAAAAATTGGGCTTTCTAGATGTCTCTTTTCGTTTTGTTTTATTTCTTTTTTATGTATTTGATACCGGCATCAATGGCAGTATTAAAGCACTGAGTATCTCTCACATCAGGTGATTGTTTTCAGCCAAGTACCATTTTGGTTCCAATCCAGCTTTCTTGTTCCTATCACTCTAGTTTAACAAATATATTTTTTACATTGTATTCAATACGTAAAAACAAAGGTTCAGCTCATAAATACAAACTGATTTGTCAGTCTGGTTATCAGAAGAATACAATCTACATCTACGAAACCATGACTTCACTCAGAACAATATCAATATGAATTTAATATGAAATGTGATGCAGGGTAAATGTGACGCTTTGTGCAGGTCGAGATAAATCATAATTAAAACAAGAGCCATTTTTTTATTTAGTGACTTCAAGGAAAACATGTACCTGTATCTGGCTGGCAACAACACGCTTCTAACCGACCGCCGGCTAGCAGACCAGGACTGTTTGGCTCTGTACAAGACCCTGGAAAACAACCTATATGTTGTTTCCCTTGACCTCCGCTACAACAACATAACTGATGAAGGAGCTGAACACCTGGCCAAACTCATTGAGGTTTGAAATGTTCTTGTTTTTGTACATCATCAGTAATTCACAGGTTTGTACACACCACACTGAGGGGCCCCAATCACCAGTGAATATATCATCAGTGCTTTACATTTGTGTAAACACCATGCTCCACAATCACCAGTGAATATATCATCAGTGCTTTACATTTGTGTAAACACCACGCTCCACAATCACCAGTGAATATATCATTAGTGCTTTATATTTGTGTAAACACCACACTCCACAATCACCTCTGAATATATCATCAGTGCTTATACCAGTGAATATATCATCAGTGCTTTACATTTGTGTAAACACCACGCCCACAATCACCAGTGAATATATCATCAGTGCTTTACATTTGTGTAAACACCACACTCCACAATCACCAGTGAATATATCATCAGTGCTTTACATTTGTGTAAACACCACGCTCCACAATCACCAGTGAATATATCATCAGTGCTTTACATTTGTGTAAACACCACGCTCCACAATCACCAGTGAATATATCATCAGTGCTTTACGCTCCACAATCACCAGTGAATATATCATCAGTGCTTTACATTTGTGTAAACACCACGCTCCACAATCACCAGTGAATATATCATCAGTGCTTTACATTTGTGTAAACACCACGCTCCACAATCACCAGTGAATATATCATCAGTGCTTTACATTTGTGTAAACACCGCGCTCCACAATCACCAGTGAATATATCATCAGTGCTTTACATTTGTGTAAACACCACACTCCACAATCACCTCTGAATACATTATACATTACAGATTACACTTCTTTTACATTCTGTTATGTTCTTTTCAAAATTTGAACATAACATTATTATATTAAAACTGAGAAATGTAATACTGTGTTTATGATTTACTGTTTGACACTGTTTCTGAATGTTTCATATTGTTGTACAGGGGACAGCAGGTCTCCATGACCTTAACCTCATGGGCAATGATATCGGGCCCGATGGAGCAGAAAACATAGCTAAAGCCCTGCAGGTACGTGACGCTTCTATTACACATTTGTTTCCTCAGACAGTAATGGACTGGTTGTAAGATCAAAAATACAATTTAAATGAAACCGTTTCTTTCAGTGATTTTACCCCAAAATTGTAAGATGAAATAAATATGGAAATGAAGGAGGATAACGTTCCTTCCACTAATCAACTGCAAAAGTATGTCTTTGGTGATGACAGACTAGTTCATTATACGTTTTCATTAAAAAAAGGAGAAAGTAATGGTGACATTTCCAATCAATGGAATTTTAAAGGAAATAAAAAGAAGAAAAAATACAAGATCCAATGTATTTGTAGGGGTCAAAAAGGTACATCATACATGAGTATTCGAGCATTGACTAAGTACACATTAGCATGTAACCAGGGGAGATAACTCACATCTTCCTTTCTCTAACATGAAGATAAGGAGGAATACCCTACTATGTGTGTATGCATTTTTAATCTCTGCCTGTTTACTGCTGACATTAAGCAAATGCATCTATTTCAGGATTTAGTTTTTAGTTGTCTTTATCAATTGATACAGCACTGTGCAGAGTTCTCTACCTTAGTGTAGATATGATCTGCTGGTTGACAGTTTGAATATTTGAGTGGATTACCATTCCATGTACAGTCCGTTTGATTTCATTTGAGACCGATGAATTGCTCACTAACACAAAATCTAATAATTGCAACAAAACCATAAATTTTGCACAGTCACATGAAATCAACATCCAACTCTGATGATTTGTCTCATAATTTTGGACACCCGAATAAAAAGTTGCTCAGCAAATGATCGATATTTTGTTGTGTCACTTTTCACTATTCTTCACGAGGGGGGACCCCTTGCTGGTAGAACAGCCAAGTCTGTCAATTACATGTGACTGTACAAAATTTATGGTTTTGTTGCAATTATTAGATTTTGTGTGTTGGAGCTATTCATCGGTCTCAAATGAAATCAAACCGACTATGGTGTTGAACCCAACTTATACACTATGAGGATTTGTCGTGTACCGGTAGCTAATGTGAATAGTTCGAGGCAATATCTAAAACATGAAATATTTCTTTTGCCAGACAAATGAGACGCTTCAGTCATTGAGGATGACTGGGAATAAAATTGGCAACAAAGGCGGGATGTGCTTTGCTCAAGCCCTGCAGGTCAACACGACCTTAGAGGCCCTGGATGTTGGTGATACTGACATGGTAGGGATTACACAATAGGTCAACACGACCTTAGAGGCCCTGGATGTTGGTGATACTGACATGGTAGGGATTACACAATAGGTCAACACGACCTTAGAGGCCCTGGATGTTGGTGATACTGACATGGTAGGGATTACCCAATAGGTCAACACGACCTTAGTGGCCCTGGATGTTGGTGATACTGACATGGTAGGGATTACACAATAGGTCATTTGCTAGGGGTCAGAGGTCACAGGTGGCATTATGTCTTTTCTCCCCTCTCCCCCCTCCGAAGGGTGGTTGAGTTTCCATCAGCATTGGCGTTCAACGGCGTTGACGTTCCCATTGTTTCTGGAACATAACTCTAAGACTACTTGAACATGCAATCTTCACTTTGTCTTTTTGAAGGCTTAAAGTTCGTTTCCGGAGCAAAATTCTGAAACTAATTGACCCATCTTCACCAAATTTGCTATACTGCCCCTCCATATCATGTACATGTGCTTTGAGGGGTTATTTTTCAATTTCATTTTTATCTGTTTTCATGGCAACACTTATTTGGACTAAATGGACTTTTTGAAGGGTAGGGTTTGTGTTTGGAGCATAACTCTAAAACCACTTCACCCATCTTCACCAAATTTTGTATAGTTTATACTAATTATTAGTAAGCTTAGAAGCATCAACCATATACATGTATAAAACACCATGAACTTTCTCTCTACGTTGAATTGGGGGAAGGGGGAGACATCTAGAGTAAAAACACTTTGTAGTTGTCATCTGAGATAAGTTCATATGCAGTGTTGCCTGCCAGGGTAGCATGTTAGAAACCTTCGAAATCCTGGTTTTGAATCCCGGTTCACCCTGGATATGTTTGTCGGTTTGTCAGCACCAAGAGAAAGCAAAACAGCAATGACCAGAAACTAGAGAATGTTCATGTTTGGAACACAGAGTGAGTTGGGTTTTACGCCGCTTTTAGCAATATTCCAGCAATATCACGGTAGGGGACACCAGAAGTTGGCTTCACACATAGTAACCATGCGGGGAATCGAACCCGGGCCTTCGGCGTGATGAGTAGACACTTTAACAGTAATTAACCACTGGGCTACCCCTCCGCACAGGAACACAGAGACTGCTGACAAGATTTTAGATCTCAGGTTGGACACAGGAGTGATGACCTTGATGAAGTCCATCAAGTAGTGTGGTGCTGAATCACCCCTCAAACACTGAAAGGTTAAACTGTGAATTTGGAACACAATATTGTATCGTGCAAAAAGAGTTTATGGTAATTTTGTCAACCTCTTGAAATATTTTTGATCAGGTTAGGTTTCCTTTGTAGTCTTGTCAGGCCTGTGCTTTGCACAAATCAGGAAGAAAGTAAGAAACAAATAATATTACTTCAATGGAAACATTTCCAGTTTTTAAAACTGTTGCTCTGTGTCAAGATATTTATTTTTTGGTTGGGGGTAGGGGGGTTGGGGTGAGTAAAATTGGAATTGTAGGTTGTCAGTGCATGAAATATTCAGTTGTATTTCTTTGTGACTGAACACCCGGCCGAGGATTATCCTGAATCAGTTTTGTCTTGATTTATGTATTAAAGTTTTATTTAGCATTGTTAAATTGTGGGAAATGTACACTATTTTTCAGACCATTGAGAGTGTAATTGCCATGGCAACAGTGCTGAACCAGAACAAGACCCTGAAGGCCCTCAACGTCAACAGACCCATCCTGTTCACCCATCAGGAGGAGACAACCGTCCACTTCTCCAAAATGCTTAAAGTAAGATGTACTTCAAGCACCCCTTCTGCAGTCTTAACTGCCACAGATAACAACATTATGTGTGGCTCAATTAGTGATATAACAGAACAGGAATCCAAATATAATGCTATTGGCATGCAGATTTATTTATAATATCTTTATTTAGATTAACATTTGGATTGTTTTACGTTCATATTTCCTTAAATTCAGACATATTTCAACATTGTAGTTCATCATTGCATTCAAGGCAACAAAGTAAACATCAGCCTTAAACCATCTCCCTCTGTATCATGTTTCTTAATCCTCGGTCATAAGTAAAATATCAATTGTCAACAGTATAAAGCTTTGAAGGAAAACCAAGTTCTATGGATTAAGTCAACTTCTTTATTGCAATGAGTGTGACGTAAAATTCGGTGTAGGTACTGCACTTGCTTGATAACGGTGTTAGTACCTACACCAAACACATCGCGCTCATTGCAATAAAGAAGTTGGCTATCTATAGAACTTGGTTTTTCTTCATCTTTACAATTTTGAAAATGCTTCTCAAAGAATGTATAAAGCATTGTTTTTATATATGGCACTATGAAATGTTAAATGTCTGAAATTTACAAATACAGTCAAATTCCGATGAGTCGAATGCCGGTGTCTTGAATATTATGCATAACTCGAAGTACCTGTCGGCCCCGACCATTCCCTGTTATAGTTGTCATCATTTGAATCCCGGTTACATGAATTCGACTCATAAATACACACGATGACTCGAGAAGAACATTTTGTCCCATGAGATTCAAACAACAGCAATCTTGTATACATAAGCCGAAGTCAGTCAATGAGAAGTTGATTGGTGTAGCAAACTGATCCAATTAACAACCAGCGCGGCTCACACCTTTCCGCCTTTGACGGGTGAGTTCAAAATGCAGATTAGTGTTTTTACGGAAATCACTGTCTGTGCTAATCAGACTGGAACTGATAAATCATTAGCATAAAACAAATGCTTAGGCGGAGGAATTAGGACTGGATCATCTTTTTTTCTACCCTCATAGACATACCTATGTCTCGAATACATCGATAAGTCGAATTTATTACTTGGTCCCCAGAGATTCGACTCATCGGGATTTGACTGTATAAGGACATTAATCTCTGGAAAGATCTCTGTGGAATAAGTATTCTAGTTAATTTTCTATGCAGCAGTTGCCCTGATAGTCTTGTTCTGTTTCACAGGTAAACCGGAGTCTGGAAGAATTACATCTGCAGAAGTATGACATGCGAGACTTTGGAGCTACTCGTCTGGCAGAATGCCTCATGGAGAACTATACACTGACATATCTCAACCTCAGCTGGTACGCAGCTTGCTTTATAATCACAGTCACTGGGTTAGACGTGGTGCATGGCATTCTGTTGCTTATCAGGGACATGGGTTGCCAAGTTTTCTGAAGACTGGCTCAATTCCGAGTTGTGTCGCTAGAATTCCAGGAACCTATAAGCCTAGGTTCGAATGATGATTATGGTTCTAGTTTACTCAGCATCATACTTGTGCTCATGGTATTACATGTCTAAGTCTGCATCAGGTTGGGCTTTCCTCACTCATCAACCTAACACGTGGTACAAATAGAAGACTGTGTTTAGCAACATTAAACCCAGCTCAATCGCATACCTGCTCAATCAATCAATCAATCAATCAATCAATCAATCAACCAATCACTCCCACCCAAATCACCCACCCACCCATTCACTCGCATAGGAGGTGGCTAAGTTGGATCAGGTGAGCATGCTTGATGACTTGATTTGTTATGTGTCACCCATAACAGCATGTGATGTTGGTCATATCGACTCACCTTTATCATTTCCAGGCCACTGTCACATAAATGGAATACAGCTTGCTGTAGCATTAAACACACATTCACAATAATCCATATTAAACTTGTACATATAGTTTGTATTGCACATTTTCTATATGTTTTATGCACCATTTAATACAGATATGACTGTGTCCTAATTAATTACTTGTGTATGTAATGGTGCTTACCCTGGTAATTAATGATTATGCAGCCTGTGCTAGAGTAACGCCTCGACCACAGGGGAATCTACTCATCGTTCTTAAAAGTTTGGGTGAACACAATTGTACGCATATAAATATTTGGGCAGACCCATTGTATTTTTGGTGTGTTTTTTCAATATGTAGCTACTTGTCCAAAATAAGCTATGGGTTAGTTGGATTTGACCAGTAGTGCAAACCCTTGGGGAAAAGTATTTTAAACAAACTCACAGAAAATAAATTGATAGGAAACCCTGGGGCCCAGCATGCTTATTGTTATGGAATAACTGTATTCTACACTGGATAATCCTGGATGTTCCAGGAAAGGAAACATGACGTTCCTTCTGTGAGTGATATATCTCATTGTCCTTATGTCAGATGTCTCGTTCAGATTAATCATGGCATGTGTTGATGGCCATCATTTGAGATCTGACGTTACCGTGTGAGGTAACTGTGACGTGGATGGCTAGAATCTATCAAAATATCATGGACTAATTAGTCAACACACCTTAATTAGATGGAGGTTGAGACGATGATGTGGACCACACCTTGCATTCTCAGCAATAATCGTTTATTACTTTCACATATTTCTCTGTAACGTCAACATGTCAGTGATTTAAACAAATTTGAAGATTTCACAGAAATATTCCAAAGGCTTCCCAACAACAAAAAATTGTCAGTTTTGGTAAGAACAAGGAGCTATGATCATAGCGGATTTTCCTAAGAGATATATCTCGGGACAGGGTGGCCCAGTAGTTTGAGGCAACACAATGTAATATGAAGAGTTTTGTAACTTACCAGTTCTTAAAATCCTTTTCGGAGGATTCAATAACCATACTGGCCCTCATTATGTTTCCAGGTTTATCAGTACTATACCCGTGTTTGTGGGTTTCACCAAAATAGTCATTCTGAGACATGCATCACTGAAGTGTACTGAATGTGATGACTCAGCAGTGTAAGAGCAAACAGCTCATTATGTCCCCTTCATAGTGCCAGGATCCACATATTGTGTGTTTGAATCCCAGATTTGCCTTGTTAATGAATGATTCATGGCTGGTCATCATGTGGTTCACAGTCTGGAAAATGTCAGCATATCTTCAGGATTTCCACTAACAATTAGCCAAGTGCTGTTGAGAGCAACACAAAACTTAACTCACTCACTCCCTTTCATTGTCAGTCGGATTACCATTCTGTACTTTTCTCTAGTAGCATTGCATTGATAAATTAGGAACATATCTGTAAAATACAATATCATACCTTATCTGCAGTAAGAATTCAAAGGTGAATTATTTATTTTGGTTCTCATACTGAGAACAATGTAGCCTTGATGGAAGGGTAGTGGAGGCTGTACAATCCCCAACCATGAACACTTCACATGTGTGCACATCATGATGTTCCTCCTTCACCAGGGAAACATACAGCCAATATCTGGTGTGACAGTCAGGTAGTGCCACAGTCAGGTAGTGAAATCAATCAGTGTATAACTGCAGGAACATTTAACTCTGCAGGAACTTTGTATGAACCCTACCATTGCCTGACACTGAAGCTATACATGGAGTAGAGATCACACCTAGCATGATAAATACTGGACTCATTGGTCAAAGCACTTTGGTTGGAACCAGGCATTTAGTATGTTGATTGAAAGTAGTGACTTTTCTGCCGAGACGCTGTATTGTTGGGTCAATGGAGGAACATGGTGTAAACAAACGTGTGAAGCACAGCTGATGACTTTGACCACACAGTGTACTTAAGTTTGGCAGGTCACAGACCCTCAGTCATTGGCTGACTTGCAATCTGTATGTGTTGTTGATTGGCTGGTTTGTGTTTCAGCAATAGAATCACTCGAGATGGCACCAAAGAGTTGGCCAAAGTTTTGAAAAAAGACACAGCATTGAAGACGCTTGATCTTGGTTTTAACAGACTCGAAGATGATGGTGCCATACACCTTGCCGACGCCCTGGCAACCTGCAACATGACCCTTGAGACGTATGTGTTTGCTTAGATGCTTAGTAATTCAGAGTCACTTTGGTTAAAATTTATAAATCCAATCACATTTGTGAAGCCTTGGGTTGGCAGGTCCATCTACAGAGTGATTGATAGAAACACCTTCAATAACTTACTTTTCTTTTGAATATGTTTTGGTTCAATCACTGTTTTTTGTGTTATTTTGGAAATGACACTGAATTGAGATTTTATGACTACTTCTTCTACTTAACTGTGACAGTGCCATGTCAGTGAGTGAGTGAGTTAAGCTTTCGGTCACTTCAGCAACATTTCAGCTATATAGTGACAAGAAGAGAACATGAATGTGTCATGTCAGTGAGTGAGTGAGTTAAGCTTTCTGTCACCTCAGCAATATTTCAGCTATATAGTGACAAGAAGAGAACACAAATGTGACATGTCAGTGAGTGAGTGAGTTAAGCTTTCTGTCACCTCAGCAATATTTCAGCTATATAGTGACAAGAAGAGAACATGAATGTGACATGTCAGTGAGTGAGTGAGTGAGTTAAGCTTTCTGTCACCTCAGCAACATTTCAGCTATATAGTGACAAGAAAACATGAATGTGACATGTCAGTGAGTGAGTGAGTTAAGCTTTCTGTCACCTCAGCAACATTTCAGCTATATAGTGACAAGAAAACATGAATGTGACATGTCAGTGAGTGAGTGAGTTAAGCTTTCTGTCACCTCAGCAACATTTCAGCTATATAGTGACAAGAAAACATGAATGTGACATGTCAGTGAGTGAGTGAGTTAAGCTTACTATTACCTCAGCAATATTTCAGCTATATAGTGACAAAGAAAGAACATGAATGTGACATGTCAGTGAGTGAGTGAGTTAAGCTTACTATTACCTCAGCAATATTTCAGGTATATAGTGACAAGAAAAGAACATGAATGTGACATGTCAGTATTATCACAACAATCATTTGTTTGGTCAAAAGTAAGCATTTATTGTTGAAAGCTGCAGACATTTATCATAATGGACAAATCATATGGTTCATGAAACAATCCAAGCATAATCTGGATGAATCTTGGATTGGATGTCCTTGTGTTACTAGTTTGCAGTCAGTGAGTTTAGTTTTATGCCACTTTTAGCATTTTCCAGCAATATCACGGCAGGCGACACCAGAAAATTGGTCTTCACACATTCTACCCATGTGGGGATTCGAACTTGGGTCTTCAACATGACAAGTGACTGCTTGACCAAGAGGTCAACCCAACACTTCCCCTAGTTTGGATCATATGTCTTGGTGTCAAGGTTGGTTGTATGTCATCAGCCATAGGGCGAGGGTCATTGTTTCCATCACAGGTTGCCTATCACAGATTTGTTACAGGCTGTCAAGGTGTTGCTAGAATGTTGCTGAGAACAGTTCAAATTTTTTGTCTAATGGATAATGTTTCCCCTTACAGACTAGTGATAGTGAGTAATAACATCGCCAGCAAGGGCCTGTGTGCGATTGCAGACAGTATGAAGACCAACACCTCCCTGACTAGAGTGTTCATCTGGGGGAACAAGCTTGAGGAGCCTGCCTGTATTGTAAGTATAGTCCATCATCAAGCATGTCGCAAATCATTCAGCATCTAGGTTGATTCTGTAGCAGGCTTAGCTGTGACAGTCATAGTCCACATCAGAAGTTCTACAATGCGATCTTTGTACTGCTCAACCCATGAAGATCCGGGTTAGAATTGATCTTCAGTAACCCATGCTTGTCGTAAGAGGCGACTAACAGGATCGGGTGGTCAGGCTCGCTGGCTTGGTTGACTTGGTTGACACATGTCATTGTATCCCAATTGCGTAGATCGATGCTCATGCTGTTGATCACTGGATTGTCTGGTCTAGATTTGATTATTTACAGACCGCCTCCATATAGCTGGAATATTGCTGTGTGCGGCGTAAATCTAAACTCACCCACTCACTCACTGTACTGCTCATTGGAACTTCCGTTACTAAAAAAGAGAATGAGCACAGATTTTTCCGTATTGATTTTGTGTTGGAAACTGCAAACAATCAATCATCAGAGAAGCTGAATACAACAGACATCACCACCCATCACCATTATAGACAACACTATGTAATAAGTTTATGTGCAATAGTGTCATTATTGCCAAGTTTACAAGAAACAAGTGAGTGAGTGAGTATGGTTTAACACCACTTTTCACAATATTCCATCAATATTACGGCAGGGGACACCAGAAATGGGCTTCACACATTGTACCCATGTTGGGAATCAAACCCGGGTCTTCAGTGTGACAGGCCTATGCTTTAACTACTAGACTACCCCACAGCCCCTAAAAGAAACAAGATGTGATATGTAGAGGCCAGATGGTTTTGTACTTCATGAATTTTAAATTTGTATGTGAAAATATGGGTCGAAAAATCAGACATTTCTTTTTATTCTTCTTGCTTTTCTAAATTTTACCTGTAAATAGTTCTCTGACTGTGGCTCAGTAACATGGGCAACTGCGTTTCTTAACATCACTGTTACAAATATCAAATACTGACTTGATTATTTTGAAACTAACATCTTGTAGTTGTAATACTGCTCAATGCCGCATTAAGCAGCAAATGAACAAAATTAAGTCAACATAATTTTAGCAGGATGCAAATTTATTTTGCAGGCATTTGCAAATCTTGTTGAATCTGGACGCCTGGATCTTGCAGACACAGACGTTAAGCCTTATGTTGTCGACGGTGTCACCAATTTATGCGAACAGAATAATCACATCCGCAGACACTACTACTATGCACCAAGCTACGGCGACGACGTGCCGTCATGGCAACCACTAGGTGTACATGTACCAAGGTCAAGAGAAATTACATTCAAGGTGTGATGAAACAGGATGTGAACTGTGATACAATATGGCTAACCACAAACAGTGAGGAAGGTGAAACATGTGAAATGATTCATTGATGCAGTCGTACATACAAGAACCAGACTTTCAAGTTGTGTTTCACTTTGAGAAGAGAAATATTCTACCAGGATCAGGAACATTTCCTTGTTGACAACCATCTTTTCTGTCAGTAAATGGAAGCATGGCTGCACAACATTTTTATAGATTCAATAGAAGAAAAAATACTTTCAAACCTTTTGAAAAAAAATTATGGACTGCAAAAACCATTTAAGGACCACCATGTCAGCTTGATAAATACATGATAGCAATATGAAAGAACTGGATTGTCGATAACCTTTTTTCAGTTGTATACAAAGTCAAATTAACTTGTACTAAAATTTTGTTCGCTTGTCTGACATCTTTGAGAGGAATTTAGAAGTTGGAGTACCAAGTAAGGATAAGATATATGGATGAACATCTTTATTACAATTAGGAGGGACATTTTTGAGGGGCAAGCGATGTACCGAGCATGGATAAGAGCCATATCTACAAGGTAGTGGTTATATTATACTGAACAACATTAGAAACGCACCACACTAAAATGCACCAACGATGCTCCAATATCATGGGTACATTTCCGTATGACGGGAATATTTCATATTATATGGGTGGAGCGTTTTTAATGTTGTTCAGTATATATGTAGATTAGGAAGTGGTTACAGTTGGGTGGACAAGTCTGGTAAGTATACAATACAGTTGATCTAAGATAAAACATATCTTCCCCTTGCTTCATTTGTCTGATCTGAACACACTCCAACACACACTGAGGTTGAAAACTGGAAATATGCCTGTACCCTTCCACTCATCGCCTCCCTTCAAGGGTCCTGGATCTGCCTCTGGGATTTACCACGGTATCATTCTACATTGACCAGTGATTTGTACCGTACATGTTAAGTTGCGAGACTAATGTTACTATAACTATAACTGTCCACAACACTGAAGACGAGTAGGTCGTAACAATATGTAGCAGAATATAACTCCAATACAACGGATACATGAAAACTATAAAACAGACATGGCTTCAGAACATTTGTACATGTTGTCAAGAAGTGGTAATTCGTTTCTGCATCACACCAGTTGCCGAGATACCTTGCAGGATTCACACAATAGGATTCACATCAAGTTTGGTCATGCCTACAGATACTCCATTGTCTAAACACAAGTAACTCAGCTGAGCTTTAGAGAGACCACATGATGCATTATCTCTACAGCTATTGTTTATTCTGATTGTAAATAACATGTAAATGTGATGATTCTGTGCCGAAGATCAGTTGTTTCTGTGTACAAAACCATGACATGTATATTTTGTAAATAAAATCTGTTGTGAAAATATTGTATATGACATATTTGTTTTTGTTATCTTGTGATGTTTATATGAACATTATTTCATGTGATTTTGTTGCTGAATTCTAATTGCATCAAGGATAATAATTGTGGTAAATCTGGGAGTCAAAACCATTACCAGCAGATCTAGTTTCGGTTGCACTCCCATGATAGTGTTATCTTTGCCTAATCAGTTTTGCCCTGACAAAGCCCTGTGATATCAGAGACACCTTGAGTGAGTGAGTTTAGTTGCAAAAAGAAACATTGTATCACATTCTTTTTTTATATATTTATTGTGAAAAACTATATCAAACACAAATATATCATTCATGACTTTTTACATGTGAAACTAAATAACTGATGATTGCACAAGAGTGAATGTACACATTTTTCACGTTCCCTTGCTTCCACCACTTAGTTCAACATTATCATTCACAATTCCTTCATCTTTAAAGTTAAAACGAAATTTGTTATCTGATTTCTCAAATTTGAAGGTACATGTATCTGATTGGCTATCCAGATTCTGTGATGTGTTGTCACTGTCTGTAGCTGATTGGTCCTTGGAGTCGGCCAGTGAGAGGTCAGTGAGTTTCTCATCTACAGAACTAGAACCATCTCCCATCTTCTGTTGTTGCTGTGAAGAGCTTAGTTTCAAGCACTTAGAGAGCTTTGTCTGAGATTCATCTGCAGGCTTCAGCACTACTTTCTTTGCAGCTGAAATTAGTGAGTCAGGTGGAAAAGGTAAGTGGGTGAGGTGAGGTAAGCTGGAGTACAGTGGGGCTCAGTGGGTGTAACACCCCCTTGGGTATAGGTAACTCAAGGGTAAGATTATGATGATAGATCAAAATCAGGATTCAAACCCAGGACCAGCACATTCAAGCACAGCAAATTATTCACCATATACCACTGGGCCATGAGCGGTCACATATAATGACAAGCAGGTCATTATGACTAGTAGGTCCAAAAGTTTTAACTAGACTTCAGTAACCTTGGTAACGAATGTGTTTCCAGCTTATATCATGGAAACAGGCATCAAATCTAACAACTAAATCGAACTTGAACAACCAATCCACATTTACTCAGCTGTTAGTGTTATGGCAAAAATGAAGTACTGGGGAACTCCGTCCTGGAGTCTCCAGAGGTGCTGAGAACATCTTCCTTGTGCTCCCTGATCAAGGTAGCACATATACTTAGCTGCCATACTGATCATCCATTTCTGATTGTGATACAGTGATATAATCATTATTATTGGGGTGTATTGTAACCATGGTTACCAACCTGCCGCCTGCTTCTTTTCATCATCTTTCATCTTCTGTCTGTAGTCACCAAGAGTCGTCCTCATTGCTTGTCGCTTCTTGATCATTGGTGCTTTGTCACTGTCTAAGATCTTCATGGCCCGGGCTAAGTCAAAACCTGCAACAAGGAGGTGAGGTGAGGTGAAATTGGGTTTTACGTCAACGACGTGAAGCTGGTTTTATAGTGCTAGCCCACTGAGATATCATACCGCAGTGAAGCATGAATACCCCACTCAGACACATTATACTGACTCCGAGCCGACCAATCCTTGTTGTACCCATTAATGCCAAGCGCCAGGCAGGGACCAACAACTACAATATTTTAACGTCTTTTGGTATGATGCGGTCTGGGATCGAACCCGTGACCTTCCGCTTTCCGGGCGGACGCTCTAACCACTACACCACAGAGGCGGTCCCTGCAACAAGGAAATTAATGAATAAAGGCTGAAAATAATCAGTGCTTGCATAGACAAACCAGGGGTTAACAGCATGAGCACACAATGACGTACAATGAACCGGGTCAGATGGTTTCAGTCCGGTTCATCTTCTAGTAGACACTGGTTGCTATTTCAATTTAACTGTCCAAAGGATGGTTTTTTTTTTTAAATTTGCTTATGATATAGAAGACTGTCCTCTCAAAAGTTGATAAAATCATGAAACTGTCCTATTGTGATTGTCTGAAGCGAAACCACTGGGTAACACTGTAACCCATCTGATCTTCAAGCATACTGACAGTATGATAAGTATGGAAAATTGGTTAGGAATGACCAATGAGCACGCCTGGAATGACTCACCCTGCTTGGAGTCCAGCTTGACGTGGTGAAGCTTCAGGAAGAGCTGCTCCTTGCACCAGGCAACCTCACGCTCGAACCGAACCTCCAGAGGCTGAAGTGTTACAAAACAATAAATACAACATGAAACTTCAATGTTTTCTTTTACAATATTTACAATTTATTTATTTATAATCAATTATATAGTGATGAGTTCCAGCTAAGCTGCTCACAGGCACTTTGTGTTTCCCTCGATCATTGGATGTCAATACAATGCAATGCATACAATACATCCCTTCCAACAACAGTTTTCTGTAATATCCACAAGCAGATACACAGACAGCAACATGTTCAGTACAGTAAATGTGGAAATGGATTTTTGAAGCACTAGACTCCCACCATGGATAAACAGAGGTATGCAGGGGTGGAAATAACCCATTGCCTGACGCCCGAGTCCAGTGTTTTTTTCTGTCGGGCAAGCAAATTTGTATATCACACTGTACCGGTGTCCAGTTGATATTCCAATGTTAATTATGTTGTTGACTGAAAAAATCAACAAGAAAACGGCCGGTATAGTGGAAAAATTATCAGGGCAAGTGATTTTACATGTGCCACTGTACCGGAGTACACTAGCAATTTTAAAGTTATTTCCACCCCTGGTATGTAACATTACGCTGTCAGCGTACTTTCAGATTTTCTTTTCAGCATCAATGGCAGTATACATCCCAAACTGCCAATAGGCACATTACCATTTCATCCTGCCAGGTACCCATTCACTGCTGGATGGACACAGGCACACTCAGATGAAAGACACTTTCCTAAGCAGACACAATAGTAGCTATTGGGCAGGGATAAAAATTGAAATAACAGGAACACTCATGAGTCAAGTTTACACACAAATATCAACGTACTTCCTGACATCTATTGTGTTTAGCCTCACCTGATTTGTAACATGTGTCGCTACACTGGTAAATATGAGTGAGTGAGTGAGTGAGTTTAGTTTTACGCCGCTTTTAGCAATATTCCAGCAATATCACGGCAGGGGACACCAGAAATGGGCTTCACACATTGTACCCACTTGGGGAATCGAACCCGGGTCTTCAGCGTGACGAGCGAACGCTTTAACCACTAGGCTACCCCACCGCCCCTGGTAAATATGAACCACACATGAGAAATAAATAGTGTTTATCACAATGGGATGATTGGCAAGCGATTACCCCAATAGTTGATTCCCCAAGGACATCATATGAGTTTGGTGTTCATACTCAGTGATAGGGGTGAAAAGGTACCCTCTTACCACGGTACGGTACGTACGGTACGTATTGAGGTACAAGGCCTTTGGTTCGGCCTGTTTCGGTTCAGTAAATGAAATATGATCATGATGCAGAAAATTGACAACAAGAGCCAAACCTTACATTGTTCAATAACTTTGGAAAAAAGTCACCATAATCTTTGTTATTTTGAATGAACAAAACTGTCATCTTATGACTAGTTAGAAATGACGGTAAGAAAACCGAAAATACCAAATTTTTGGATTGCATTACGGTATACAGAACCGAAAGCAAAATACTGCGGTTCTACTAATACCGTGGTATACTGTTTTACCCCTAATCAGTGACTTAGCTGATTTTGTAACATGACACCAAATCAATCGCTTGTCTGGTCTAGACTAGATAATTTACAGATTGGCATCACATAGATGGAATATTGCTGAGTGTAACATCTGATAACAAGCTATCTCTAGTAATTTTGTTTGTGTACTACGTACTGCTCAGCATCACACATGATCACATGTATAAAATTTCCAGGAATAAATAAACCAGAAGGTTCAACGAGTTTAAGACGTTTTCTTTATCATTGCCTACCTAGACAAAATAAGTAGCTTTTTACATCTTACAAAAAGACTGTATTAATTCAATATACTATACCTCATCATCATGTTCCTCCTCCTCTTCTGGTTCAGGGGTCTGGAAACATATTTCATAAACAATATTTACATGTTTCATTTTACATATAACCATGATAACTGAAACTTGTAAAATATAACAGGTGTTTATCTACACCTGATGGTCAGCAAATAAATTGCCTGAAGTCTGCAGCAAAATGTCCATAATGTTTCTCAAATTTGAATTTTAAGAACTTTATCTTATGTCATGGCTTTGCAGAGAGGACTTGTATTATTTTCATGGATACAGCGTAAGATACTTAACCATGTTATAATAACAATTCTTTAGAATGCAATGATAGATATAAAACATATGAACTTTAAACTATTAAAACTCATTTTTTTACATGGCACAGAAATGATATATCCAGTTCACACAGATGTAGATAATGGAAGCAACCAAAATTATGTTGAATCCCAAGGAACACACAATATTCACTGTACCGAATTCTTGACAAAATCCATAAAGGTCCCAAGATAAAAGTATATATCAAATCTTACAGTACAATACATCACACCATTTCATTATTCTACAGAATCCTCATTTTTTTGTAAGGACCCATGAAATCAATCACAGGGATCTAACTCTAAGTACTAAGTATTAAAGGTCACATGCAACCAAAAATTCAAACATAATTAAAACACAATTATCACTTATTCATGACATATAATATACATTGCTGGTTATGAAAGACATAAAAACAAATTATAAGCCTACAATCGCAAATCAAAAGTGCAATATTGTGTACTTGGGTTTGCTTCCCTAGAAACGAAGCAGCCAGGATACCGAACCCAGTCAGAGCGGGTGGGTGTGCACTCAAGTGTAACGGCTGGTTCATTTGCAGATGCCCTCACGGCTCATTGTGTGTGTATATATAGAGATGTTGGGTTTTGTAAATACATGCTCATTTTTTGTATATAACATTTTGCAATCAACAGACATCATAACATGTCATGTGTTCAAGTATCACACCTGCCTGTCTGTGTAATTACATAATGTGACAGAGACCGAACTCGGGCAATAAATCAATGCGTTTTGTTTATGGTGTATAGCCTGATTGGTGTTAAGTTCAAATTGCATGTGGTCAGTGATCGCAGTTGTGTATTGAATATTGTCATTAGCAGACAGGCAGGCAGACACACAGGTGTCAATAAAACAAGACATTGAGTTTTGTCTGTGACAACGACATATTTATATCACAGTTAGAAATTCTGTCAACGCTAAATAATGACATTGCTTTTAAGTATCGAACTGAGAAAGTGACTCGGTAAGGAGAACGTGTGGTGAAATAGACAAATGAAATTATATAAACAGTTAATTTACTGTCATAACATATAAAAAGCTCGTGCCTGTGAGATATCAACAAAACATTAGAAAAATAGCTCACACCAAAGCCTTCACCGAGTATTCACCGGACAACCCGCTTCCAATTTGCGCAAACCTATTTCACTGCGCACGTGCTATGAGCGCAGCCCAGCTGTTGAAACCACTTGATGTTCCCCACAACGCTGGGGGAAAATTAGTGAATCGTTTGAACTACGATTTCGCGCGGGGTTTTTCATCGCGTTATTTTTCAACTTTATAAGTTGAATTTGCATTTTTGATGATTTGTTTTCGGTAAGTCCATACCGAAAGGTATCAGAATCTGCAAAGTTGTGTTTTACGTTGCATGTGACCTTTAAGTAACTTGACTACAAAGAGGAGATACCATATGAACCCATGTATGTTGTCAATGTCATCATGTTTACACAATGACACAGAACTATTGGCTAGAATGCACTTTACCGGGCGCAGCCCTCGCTGCCCCCTTTACGATCCCTAGGGTTAGGGGTTAGGGTATGGCATCCTTTACGATCCTTAGGGTTAGGGTTTAGGTATGCCGCCCTTTACAATCCTTAGGGTTAGGCACCCTTTACGATCCTTAGGGTTAGGGTTAGGGAACCCAAGCAACGCTAATTAATCTAAAAGTGTGCCCGGTAAAGTGCAGTACTCCCGAACTATTGCCTCATCTAAGCCACTTTTAGTGGGTAAACATTATTCACAAGATAACAAATTAGTCCCTCTCATTTTGAAGATCTGAAGATTTAACATAACTCTGAAAAATACTTCACATTCATCAAGATAATAATAATAATATTAATTGGACTTTTGTTAGAGAGAACTATGGAAATATCAGCTATATGTGAACGTGAGAGCAACCTATCTGTTCTGTGGGAGCTGTGATCACATCATAACAATTTTGTTAATTTAGATTTACGATTGTTTACTGCAAGTAATGTGAATTTCATTTCCACTAAATGTGCCCGTAGTTTTGAAACTGTTGCGCGCGAATTCTGAACACCTCATTAGTTCTTGCGATTTTCTAATGCATGTAACAGATTGAAAATGGAGAATCTCTATTATGGCATTTACTGAAGAATTTATCTATATCCGGTCACCTTAACTGGAGCTGGTTTAGGTTTTTTGTTTTTCTTGCTCTTTGGTTTGGCTGGTTTCTTTTGATCCATCGTGATTACGTCAACAAAACAGAGTAGTGTCCCTTTATGGCGCCAGAAATAGAGAAATCATTGCTGTATGGAGATAATAGAACAGTATTTTCTTATTTTAGAATTTTTCATTAAGTCATGACATACTGTTTTCTATGATATAAATATAACAGACAAAAATGTATATACAGTTTGATATGAATATAAATACTAGCCTCTAGCTGCGACTAAATATATACAACGTTATTAAACAATAATTTATCCCTATATCCGAGAGTTACTTCCTGTCGAAAAGGGGAGTTCCTGGAATAATAATGTTGGTGAGAGGTTGAACTGGTATATTGTTTTGAATTATTAAGCAGCCAAAATGAGCGAAGGCTTAGCAAGAATCTTATCGAAGCAGGACTTCAACCCTGAAAATTGTAAGTACATATTGCAATTGATTAATCATGTTTTTATTGGAAAGACTTTTCGGCCCGAGTCAATGTTATGTTGACTGTCTGTCATTGTAGTGTTGGATTTGAGTACAGCCGCGTTCATCATGTTCATATGCCCAATTTCGTTTGTAAATCAGGGACTGAAATCTTCAACTCAAGTATTTGTCCATCGCAAATGTTAGAAACAAATGCTTTACTACTATTCCTCACAGTTTAGCACTATGAGCTGTCAGGGAATTACCCCCGAACCGGCCCCTGATATTTAACCAGGCAAGTGAACATGCAAGTGCTGCTTATCACGGAGATCCCGTGGTAGAGGACATTTCATGTAATTCTTTTAAGAATCTAAAAGATCAATTGCAAAACAATACTAAAGTAAAGTGTACTTACATTGCGCTTGTACTTACATTTCGTTGTATGGTATCCACAGAATTGACACGTTAATTCAATACAAGAATAGCACATAAATCAATATAATGAATTTACGTTTCACCTTTGTTATGCCCAAGTTTCCAGTATATGTCTGTATATATATAATAAATTAACTGAAATCTTCATGTCTGTATATATATATAATAAATTAATTGAAATCTTCATGTCTGTATATATATAATAAATTAATTGAAATCTTCATGTCTGTCTGATTAATTGTCAGTCTGATTACCATTAATTAACCCAGGGGCCGGTTCAGGTGCGGGGCCGGTTTGGGTTAAATATCCAGGGGCTGGTTTGGGTTAAATATCCAGGGGCCGGTTCGGCTTGGGGCCGGTTCGGGTGTATCCCCTGTCAGGCAATGCACAAAAGCAGGTACGAATTTCAGGTACAAGTTGGCCATTTTCGTAGGCTATGCAGGCAGTATTGGGGAAAGCATATGAACATTTTGAGCTCAAATTTCATATCCAGAAATTTGCAAGCACCTCATTTGATAGACATTCCATTATTCTACTCAGTGTTCAAACCTAGTTTGCAAATAATAATCAGCAAACACATTTTGTGTGTTTAATGCTGTATTCAGTAGTCATCATGCTATATGATTGCACTCTGTAAAAAACTGAATCTGGACCAGATAATTTAGTGATTGATGTCATGAGCAAACCAACACAATGGGGACATGACATATGCAGACAACTTTGTCACCGAGCCTGACCATCTAATCTAAAATTAGTAAAAATTTACCTATGGCAGACATAGGTTGTTTGTGACCTATATTCTTACTCACAAACCCCACGGGTCACACATAGTAATCATATCGCGTCTGTATTCATGGCCAATGCTTGGTGTAACTTGTGTAGAAGTCAGCTAGTATGATGATCTGACTTAAAGTTATAGAGATTTTTGTATTTAGTTATGTGACTGATTCAGTGAATGTACTCTTACTTAATGTGTTATCATAATTACACTCATGCTATCAACCATTTACTTCAATATTTGTTGAAGATTGAGACCCCACAGGTACACAGCAAGTATACATTATGATAGAAACAGTGTTAATATCTGTTGCTGTGACTTTTACAGTTGTGGCCAAGCTCACATTCCATGGCGATCAGAATGAATTACTTGACATGAAACAGAAGGTGCAGATTCTCAATGATGAGACTGCACAAGCTCTCAAGAAGAATGTCTACAAGAACTACACACAGTTCATTGAGACAGCCAGGGAAATATCAAGTAACTTGTTTCAGTTCTTGTCATTTTATCTTCTTTGTTGTTGTTTTTGTTCACCTCCAGCAGGTATTACATTTATTATGTTTATGGCAAGAGTAGTCATGGTAACTTCAGGGATTTATGTAGGACCTAAGTGAACTAAGTGCAAAAAATGGAATCAAAATCACTATTGGATCACATATTGGCAGTGTCATTAAAGAATTTTGGACATGAAAACAGGATTTGTCATTCTTTCATTAATTCACTTGTTTCAGAAATTCTGTTGTTAAAGTGTTAACTTGTTTTTATTTCCACCATTACATGCTAACTAATTGCGTTTAAGTTTTATCAATTCATTTAAATCCTATGTTAAACATGTTACCATCGTTACAGTTCTGGAGGGAGAGATGTACCAGCTGAGTCACATGCTGACGGAACAGAAGGGGTTGATGTCATCCATGATGGAGATGTCACTTGTTAGTGATAAAGGTAGGTGACAAGACATAGTGTTCAGTTTGGGAGTTTATATTTCTGATATGGATTAGTTGATATAATGCATGATTTATGGTGATCGAGCTGTGACTGATACTGGACAAATTCCCTGCAGCTACAGTTTCCAAGGACAATTTATGTTCTTCTGCTTCAAAAATCCAAACTCAAGTACTTTACCTGTCCACTATAGGCAGTACAATGCCATGCAGAGTTGTGTCCCTTAGACCACAAACAATTTCTCAACTACATTTTGCCATTTGTATTTAAAACATCACATCACAAGTCGTAGCTGCATGATTTCAGATGGTTATCTCCCATTGTAGCAGGGATCCAGTAGTCATGGATTTTGAATCTCAGATTTGGTCCATGTTGGAATATGGGCTGATAACTGTTACTATCATAGACATGGTTTTGAGATTCTCTGGAGGTACTTAGGGCTATCCTCCTACATTTAGCAGACATAATACCAAACATCTCTTCTCTCATGTAACTACACACTCTGATGAACGTTATAAAATGAATGGTACCTCTTTCTCTTAGCGGTTGTCGAGGGTCCAAAGGAAGAAGAAGAGCAGGAGAGTCCGGAGGAAGAAACACGAAAAAACCTGGCCTTTTTGTTAGAGAAAGTTGATGGCTGTTCTGTAAGTAAATTCATCTTATACAGCCTTGTTGGGATAATCATGATGCTGTGAGGATCCCCACTGATGTTTTGCTACTAGTCAACACTTAAAATGAATATGGAAAATGGTTTTAAATTTACTGCATGCAAATTTTGAGTTGTTTTTGTTTTGTCAGAGTGTAACAGAGGTACCAGGCAGGCAGCTGATCCATGACGGAGATCTGATGGAGCTGGACACGGAAACATTTACCTCGATACAGCGTGTTCACGCCTTCCTGCTCAATGACAGTCTCATGATCGCCACCTGGATACCGAACAGGTGAGTTGAGTGTCTCCAGCTGAACAGAAAGGACAAGTCTGCTCATACAATTACTGTCCATGGTTTGGAAACAAGTCACAGGTAGATGAGTCATTGAAGAGTTACACTCCTTTTGTGTGCCCGAAAATTAGGATTGTGGGTTGAATCCCAGACTTTCTTGGCATGTCTGCACCATCTATATGCTGTGTTCCCCTAAAGTTGTTTCAAGAACCTGCATGGCTTGCCTCCAGCATCAAGTTGACATGAGATAGCTGTAATATTGTTTGAGGTATTTTTAAGTAAGTCTCACTCACTGTCAGTCATTTTATCAAAGTTTAAGTGTGACCAATGAGGTAGCTGAATCTTTTGTCCAGCTACCCAATATGTATGTAAAATATGTTAAGCTGATTCTTGCTAAGAAACAAGCCACTGTGATTGTCCTGCATATATACTGGTCATGTGACTCTTTTGAACAATTGGTAGCAAATGCTAACCATGTGTGTCACAGCTGGGACACAGCTTTGATTCTCACGAGTGCTGTGTGTGTTGCCATTAAGATAACATTACAAAGTTGCTCAAAGTAATGTAAAAACTGTGAATGCTCAATTCTAGCACATTTTCTCATTGAATGATTGGATATATTGTATTGTATAATGTGAGATTAAATGCAAGATAGTGCCAAGAAATGTATTCGGAAGGCTTAAGTTATTTCCATTCTTTGAAAAACAATCAGAGTTCCTATGGCAAATCAGTGTCAGTGACAACAAAACAAGTTACATGGCTGCCATATTTCTTGGTTTTTTTATGTTATGCATAACCAAGTAACCATGTTGGTTTGATTCTTATTTTAGACGTGGCAATGTGAGGTATCGTTTTCAAGGGCTGTATGAACTAGACAGTTTGGCAATAGTCAATGTCAAGGACGTTGGTCCTGTGAAGAACGCCCTTCAAGATGCTCATGTTCCCGGAGACTAGGATCTACCAGGCAGATAGCACAAAGGCTAAGGTAAGGAGCAGCCTCGGCCTGAATGTGTATCCAATGTCTATAATGTTAAGGGAGGTGACCTTTGTAATAGACCGCCTCCGTGGTGTAGTGGTTAGAGCGTCTGCCCGGAGAGCGGAAGGTCGCGGGTTCGATCCCCGACCGCGTCATGCCAAAAGACGTTAAAATATGGTACTTTTTGGTCCCTGTCTGGCGCTCGGCATTAATGGGTACAACAAGGACTGGTCGGCTCGGAGTCAGTATAATGTGTCTGAATGGGGTATTCATGCTTCACTGCGGCATGGTATCTCAGTGGGCTAGCACTATAAAACCAGCTTAAGTCTGGGCTAGTACAAGCAGCCACACATACACATACATCACCGCATGCTTTGTAATAAAGCATCACGGATAACCCATCATATGAGGCTAAATATTCTCAAGCAACCCATGCCTGTCGTGAAAACCTGAATTTCACATATCTCAAATTCACCTCACCTTTGTAATAAAGCATCACGGATAACCCATGAACATCCAGGCTAGAACTGGTCTTCAGCAACCCATGCCTGATTGGGACACTGTGTCACAACAGGATCTGGTTGTCATACCCCATGTTTCTTGGGGATTCTTGGGGATTCAGGGGCATAAAAAGTTCGCTTTCGGCATTCAAGATCATTCGAGTTATATTGTAATAGTCTGTCATAATACTCCCAAGGTAGGGCGGTGGGGTAGCCTAGTGGTTAAAGCATTCGCTCATCGCACCGAGGACCCGGGTTCGATTACCCACATTGTTACAATGTGTGAAGCCCATTTCTGGTGTCCTCCGTCGCTGGAATTTTGCTAAAAGAGACCTAAAACCATATTCACTCACTCCCTGTATATGCTTACCCCAACTAAATATGGCTCACTGTGATATACCTTGAATATTGTTGACTCTAGCATGGCCAGTAGGCATAGACCACTGGTATCTGTAGCCATAGACCAGTGGCATCAGTAGCTTGTGGAAAATGCTTGTTGAAAAGCCTCATCTATCAACAGGCTATGTTAATTATTGCTTGATGACATGTAACCATGGTAACACAGAGGCAGTGGCTGGACATCTTGGAGGATACCAAAAAGAAAAAGGTGGCCAAGGACAAACAAAGGAAAGAAGCTGCGCTGCGATTGGTTGAACAGCAGGCAGTGGCGGCCGAGGTGGCGACATCTCCTGCAGCAGAAACATCTACCTGTGAGTCCCTGAGTCTTGATTTTTTTGTTGACATTGGAAAAATTAAGTGTTAAAGGCCGGCCATGAGTGTTGTGGAAAACAGCTTTGGTTACCACTTTGTTCACTGTTACCTGTCATCCCTCTTCAGCTTGTTTGTGAGGGATGCAAGGGAGGTAACCCTCATTATAACCTGAGATATCTTAATGTCTCTGTAACAAGGTGTGTTATTGATAGAAAGGGACAGAAGTGTAAATGAATGTCAGTATTTGTACATCTTTAATTAAGTCTTTTGAATCTGTTAGGGGGTTTCAACAAACTTGTCAACAGTATTTTGTGAGCAGTCCTTGAACAGTGGTGGTCCATTGTTTGAATGTTCACAGGTATATGGACCTGTGAAGCTCCAGGTTAGAATATTGATCTTCAGTAACCCATTCTTGTCGTAAGAGGTGACTAACGGGATCAAGTGGTCAGGCTGGCTGACTTGGTTGACACATGTCATCGGTTCCCAGTTGTGCAGATCAATGCTCATGCTGTTGATCACTGGATTTTCTGGTCCAGACTCGATTATTTACAGACTGCCGCCATATAGCTTGAATATTGTTGAGTGTGGCATAAAACTAAACTCACTCACTCACTCACAGGAATATGTGTTGCGTTATCCTGAAATCTTTGTTTCAGCATTCACACTAGAGGAGGAGGATATAGATTATCTCAGTGCTGATTGGCTGCTCGAGCTCCCTGAAGACCTTGACATGTGCATTGCGCAACGTGACTTTGAAGGAGCTGTGGATCTGGTTGAGAGAGGTGGGTCATTAAATGTTTGAGTCCTGTAATTCTGAACATACTGATACAATGATATGATGAGAGATAAAGTTTGATAGATGGTATTGTTTATAATTTGGAGAAAGATGATGATTATTAATATGATTTGATGATGATGATGAGGAGTATATTTTGATGAAGGCAAACTAGAATAAATGGGTTGATCATAATTATGATATGTATGAAGTAAAATCCAATCCTTTAGAAATATCCCCAAATTTAGAATAAAGTGAAGGCTGACTGAACACAAGAGTGTGTGTTGTAGCTAATGCCCATCTGAAGGACTGCCCCCGAACACCATCTGTGAAGGAGTTCCGTGCCCGTATTGACCACCGTGTGAAGCAGCTTACTGAAGGGTTGATGAGCGAGTTGCAGGTGTCCCCCGAACGCTCCCTCCGAGGGGGGCCACGAGCTGCCAGGCGAGCTGTAACTCAGCTCATTCGACTCGGCAAGTCAGCACAGGTCAGATTTCAACCACATTAAACTGTGAATTTACATCATAGAGGAGGGAAGTTTCATCTGTAGTTTTTATGACATTTAGTCAAAGTGTTTCTTATATTGATTTGTTGGTCCAGTGAAAATAGGAAAGATTCATTACCTTTAACTGGCAAATCTAAGTACATTCTAGAATTTGAAAAAGATACATTATGTGTATTTAAAGTTGAATATTGAATACATGTTTTAATTGGTGAAAACATTTTCAGGGTTTTCCCGATGTATTGCCATGGGTTGCGAAAGAAGTTTTGCAAGCGTGTCATTATTTCTTGAACCACAAATAGTAGTCATCCCTTGTAGTTAATCCAGATATGACATTTAGAGAGTCTGGTGTGAAAACGGATGGGATGGTAGACATGAAACATGGTAACTCATAACTGTGACTTCCTTTGCTCACTGTATTACACGGGGGCGGTGGGGTAGTCTAGTGGTTAAAGCGTTGGCTCGTCACGCCGAAGACCCGGGTTCGAATCCCCACATGGGTACAATGAGTGAAGCCCATTTCTGGTGTCCCCCGCCGTGATATTGCTGGAATATTGCTAAAAGCGGCTTAAAACCAAACTCAGTCAGTCAGTCAGTCACTGTATTACACCATTCCCCGTAAAATGATAATGGATTGATTACAGGCCATGTAATGTGAATGAATGTGATGTTGCCAGGATAATGGATTGATTACAGGCCATGTCATGTGAATGAATGTGTTGTTGCCAGGATAATGGATTGATTACAGGCAATGTAATGTGAATGAATGTGATGTTGCCAGGATAATGGATTGATTACAGGCAATGTAATGTGAATGAATGTGTTGTTGCCAGGATAATGGATTGATTACAGGCAATGTAATGTGAATGAATGTGATGTTGCCAGGATAATGGATTGATTACAGGCCATGTAATGTGAATGAATGTGATGTTGCCAGGATAATGGAATGATTACAGGCCATGTAATGTGAATGAATGTGATGTTGCCAGGCTAATGGATTGATTACAGGCAATGTAATGTGAATGAATGGGTTGTTGCCAGGATAATGGATTGATTACAGCCAATGTAATGTGAATGAATGGGTTGTTGCCAGGATAATGGATTGATTACAGGCAATGTAATGTGAATGAATGTGATGTTGCCAGGATAATGGATTGATTACAGGCAATGTAATGTGAATGAATGTGTTGTTGCCAGGATAATGGATTGATTACAGGCAATGTAATGTGAATGAATGTGTTGTTGCCAGGATAATGGATTGATTACAGGCCATGTCATGTGAATGAATGTGTTGTTGCCAGGATAATGGATTGATTACAGGCAATGTAATGTGAATGAATGTGATGTTGCCAGGATAATGGATTGATTACAGGCAATGTAATGTGAATGAATGTGTTGTTGCCAGGATAATGGATTGATTACAGGCAATGTAATGTGAATGAATGTGATGTTGCCAGGATAATGGATTGATTACAGGCCATGTAATGTGAATGAATGTGATGTTGCCAGGATAATGGAATGATTACAGGCCATGTAATGTGAATGAATGTGATGTTGCCAGGCTAATGGATTGATTACAGGCAATGTAATGTGAATGAATGTGTTGTTGCCAGGATAATGGATTGATTACAGGCCATGTAATGTGAATGAATGTGTTGTTGCCAGAATAATGGATTGATTACAGGCAATGTAATGTGAATGAATGTGTTGTTGCCAGAATAATGGATTGATTACAGGCAATGTAATGTGAATGAATGTGTTGTTGCCAGGATAATGGATTGATTACAGGCAATGTAATGTGAATGAATGTGATGTTGCCAGGATAATGGATTGATTACAGGCAATGTATGTGAATGAATGTGATATTGCCAGGATAATGGATTGATTACAGGCCATGTAATGTGAATGAATGTGATGTTGCCAGGCTAATGGATTGATTACAGGCAATGTAATGTGAATGAATGTGTTGTTGCCAGGATAATGGATTGATTACAGGCCATGTAATGTGAATGAATGTGTTGTTGCCAGAATAATGGATTGATTACAGGCCATGTAATGTGAATGAATGTGATGTTGCCAGGATAATGGAATGATTACAGGCAATGTAATGTGAATGAATGTGATATTGCCAGGATAATGGATTGATTACAGGCAATGTAATGTGAATGAATGTGATGTTGCCAGGATAATGGATTGATTACAGGCAATGTAATGTGAATGAATGGGTTGTTGCCAGGATAATGGATTGATTACAGGCAATGTAATGTGAATGAATGTGATGTTGCCAGGATAATGGATTGATTACAGGCAATGTAATGTGAATGAATGTGATGTTGCCAGGATAATGGATTGATTACAGGCAATGTAATGTGGATGAATGTGATGTTGCCAGGATAATGGATTGATTACAGGCAATGTAATGTGAATGAATGGGTTGTTGCCAGGATAATGGATTGATTACAGCCAATGTAATGTGAATGAATGGGTTGTTGCCAGGATAATGGATTGATTACAGGCAATGTAATGTGAATGATGTGTTGCCAGGATAATGGATTGATTACAGGCAATGTAATGTGAATGAATGTGTTGTTGCCAGGATAATGGATTGATTACAGGCAATGTAATGTGAATGAATGTGTTGTTGTTGCCAGATAATGGATTGATTACAGGCAATGTAATGTGAATGAATGTGATGTTGCCAGGATAATGGATTGATTACAGGCAATGTAATGTGAATGAATGTGTTGTTGCCAGGATAATGGATTGATTACAGGCAATGTAATGTGAATGAATGGGTTGTTGCCAGGATAATGGATTGATTACAGGCCATGTAATGTGAATGAATGTGATGTTGCCAGGATAATGGATTGATTACAGGCAATGTAATGTGAATGAATGGGTTGTTGCCAGGCTTGTGAGCTGTTCCTGAAGAACAGATCGGCCATCATCAAGTACAACATCCGGCAGCTGAAGTTCGAGGGAGCAACGGCGCTGTACATACGCTGTCTGTGTGGGGTCTTCTTTACCAGCCTGTCGGAAACGGCCAGGGAGTTTATGAAGGCGTTCCCAAACCACTATGGCTGCTTCTCAGGTAGATACACTCACTTCATCCATTCATGTACACAGACGGTCCCAGGTGATGCAATTCGGTATTAGGAGTTGTGTCCCTTGGATCATAGATTCAAATCCCAGATAATCCTTCTTGGTTTGTCAGGACTTGAACCATGCTGATAGGTTTCAAAAATTCCATTTACAAGCAGCATCACAGCTGTTTTTTTATCCCCACTGTGATGTAATTGAAAGTTGTGCTAAACCTGGCTCTTATTCAGGACTCAACTCTGGTGGATTCCAGGTTAGAATAGCCTCCAAGCACCTATCTAGAATGATTTGAAATACTGTTACACATGGTTGAGAGTGTCTGGTGTTTGTGTACTATCATACTTCTCTAGACAACAGGTAAAGCTGGTGGAAAATTGTTTGTTGTTCAAACATTACTAGAGTAACAGAATCCTTACCCATGGTGAGTTGCTTAGATTTCTCAAGTTGTTTGAGTTTCTTTCTTCAGGTCTGTTATTCTTTCTTCATATCTGAGTATCATGTGTAATGTTGGTGTTCCAGCCTTTGTGGTCTGGTCCAAGCAGGAACTGGAAGCATTTGTGGCAACCTTCTGCCGACAGGTGTTTGAGAGCAAGTCCAGTCTGACCACCATCACAGAGTGTGTCCAGATGTCCAAGAATCATTGTGAGGAGGTAGGTGTGTTTCAGAGTGAGGCTTTCTTGGAGTTGTTCATGGCTTTGTTGTATTCCTTTGGCGCTATGCTGTTTAAGATTACTGGATCCATTGAAGAATGGGGAGAGTTCTATGGATATACAACAAGCAAGTGATAACAGTGTTAGTAGCTACATCGAAAAGTCACTCATATTAATAATAAGGAAGTTGTAATCCATAGAACTCTCCTATTAATAATAAGGAAGTTGTATATCCATAGAACTCTCCTGTTGTTCTCCCCTCCTTCATGGAATAATCCAAATTTCTAGATGCCACTGATCCAAAAATTTCATTGTAAAATGTCATTTTACATTTTCTAATTGTACATGTATCACTATGAAATTATGGAGCAGGGAAGAAATCCAGTAATTTTACGGCCTATTCTACAAAGAGTATATGGATATATGTGACATTTCAGTACAAATCTGATGTCCAATTTTAGATGTGTTCCACATCAAAACTTCTTGTATACACTTATATTATGACCTTTAAACCTAAGATAGTTCAGCTAAATTCATGCATGCTGCAGAGAATTGTGGCTCCTTTTTCCAATTAGAGCATTGCCTGTTGTAGTCTCTCACAGACATGTTTCTCTGTTTCAGTTGAGTGCTATTGGCCTTGACCTTGGCTTCTCACTGGCAGCGATGCTTGATACCCCTCTACGCCGTGTGATTGAGGAGTCGAGAGACCAGCTGGTGGAGGGAGTCAAGTACAGAGCAGGGGTAGACATGCTTTTAGAGTCCTCCTTTTAATCATTTCTGTTACTTTGGAAACCTTTCCCACGAGACCATGTGGCATTTGGTTAGCCTTGTGGTTAAACATTCCTTCACAAGGCAGAAACAGAAAAAAACAACTTAACTTAACGATTATTATATACATGGCAAACACGTCATTTGAAATTAAGTTAATCAGTTAAGGTCAGTTTGAGATTAAAAAGAGCTTGTTGGGCACTGAAATTAATACTGTTCAATTATGACTGAATAGTGATTGTGTTTTTTGTTTTGTTTTTAAGGATGACAAATGGCGGCCAATGAATCACTTGAACAAAATTGACTGTGACAAGTTTGTGAACGACATGTCTGAGATAGGACTTGGCGTGATCAAGTCACTGGTGTATGGTAAGTGGTGAAAACAGATGATGGTTGGTCATTTCTGTCTCCTTGTTGTAAAATTGAAAACACTAAACTCTCAAAGTTTTATTCAAATTTGAAGGCATTATTGATTCCCGTGCTTGATGATCTAGCTGATAATACATCCAGTACCCTTACAGCATAGATTGTTCCTCGAGTTATCAACCACTAGTTTGCCTGACTCCCAATCCAATAAATGATGTTATGGAGTTTTTCTGTTGCTCACTCGCACTCTCGCTCATTCACTCATGCACACACACACGTACACACTCTTTCACTCACTCACTCACTCCACTCCACTTCTAGATGAATGTTTCATCGGCCTGACTATGAACACCACCAACTTTGCCAAGAGTGTGTTGCTGTTCTCGGAGGACTTGTTGAAACTGTATGCCGTGGACCTGGAGGAATTCATCGCCGATGCCATCACAACGGTCTTCAGCAGCCAGATTGCCCACTTCGAGCGGTCCCTGAAGTCACCGAACTACAAACAGGATGTAAGTGTCAGATTCTGTAGACTTACACAGGCTATTGAGACATAGATCCAATATTGCATCCTGAGGCAGGAAGCCTCAGTTACGTCCGTCACAGCAGTCTGGTTTCCCCCGAAACGTAGTGAAACAGGGACAAAACAGGATGGACGTTAGACATGGTGGCGGACTGAGTAAACGTGACAGTCCGTGATTGCAGTTGATGCCGTGCCAGATGGTTCAAATGGATACTGTGATGGACTGTGAGAAAACCTAACAAAACTTGACTTTGGAGAGGGAAAAATGGCCAAAATCCCATGGCGCACTACGTTTTGGGGAAACATAGGCTGCCGGGAACATAGTGTAACCCAAGCATATGCTTTAAATAAATGAAACCCGTTTTGTTGACTGATGAAAGTCCAAGTCAAACAGTGATGGTGATGACAGTCCTTGTGCTAACAGATTGTTCATGTTTACCTCTTAGTCTTGTTTGAATGGAGGGGCCGTGGGGTAGCCTAGTGGTTAAAGCGTTCGCTCGTCACGCCGAGACCCGGGTTTGATTCCCCACATGGGTACAATGTGTGAAGCCGTGATATTGCTGGAATATTGCTAAAAGCGGCATTAAACTAAACTCACTCACTCACTCTTGTTTGAACATGGCAAGAGAACAAGAGCTGAGGTTTCAAACATGACAGCAGTTATTGCCTGAGCTATGTAAGTAATACAAGGTCAGATGTCGGTCTCAACAATATAACCAGTCAGAAGACATTATTTTAATAACAGTCTATGCAAGTAATAGCACCTACTGAACATTGGGTATGTTATGGAGGCCCAGACGAATAACTGTTTTGAAGGGGCTACATCAGTTGTAAGTATATATATTACTTGCAAACACCTCAAGGTATGAAACAACATTCAAACACAAATACAAAGAAGCTCTACTTCCACTTACACCATGGAAGACACAACTTATTTACAGTAATACCTGGCATCCTGTAAAATATACATCAGACCAGCTTCAGTGACAGAAAGATATGTGATGTCATATAATTGTGACATCATGGTAACCAATGATGTCACAATGGTCTGCAAAGCCTTGTGCTTCAATTCCAATGGTGTAACATCTGGGAGATGTTGCTTGAAATGACATGCCAGTTTAGATGAGAAAGCGATAACTCAGGTATTTTTTTCCCTTGCAGCACAAGTTCATCCTGAAGAATGGACAGTTTGTGTTGGAGAGTTTGATGAGTCTGATTGAGGTGCAATACAAGCAGCACGGCATCCCATTCCCCGCCCAGCTTCAGGAGGTGAACAACCACTACAGGAAACTCAAGACACTCGCCAACACATGATCTGCTGCTACTGCTACAACATGGCTGAAAGGTGCCACAATGATGTGTTATGTATATGCACATTGCTCTCAGATCTGAAGGCAATGGTTCAAGAGAAGCTATCATTAATCATATACTGCACGAGAGACACTCATGGAATACGTCATGATGTTTTGGTGTCATCCTAACATGTACTTGCACAAGGGGCAGAGGTAGCCCCGTAGTCTCTGTAGCCACAATCAGCGGGTGACTAAATCATTTAGAGACCAGCGATTATGGGGTTGATTCCCTGATGACGTTCCAAGGTCTGTCTGCTCACAATGATGTCAGACCTAGCTGCATCATGTCAAGGCTTTTCTTCCTCAACAAGATGATATGCTATAGTATCTTAAAATATGGTTCCAAGCATATAGTTCTGCGGGACTGTTTGAAAAGAGAGCCATTGTACAAAACAGCCTCAGCACGACGACTGTCGCAAGTCTGTGTTAAGATATGAGAGTTTTGATGACCTTAATGCTAAGTTAGTTTGTACAATGGCACCTTGGTTTACACACAGCACTTTGATGGCTGCTGTCTTCTCACAGATGATGAAAGTGTGTCTCCTCTCGGCCAGCCAGTTTCTGTACAGACATTTTCCACAAATATGCTTCAGAACCTTGAAATACTAGTTTCAGGTACTATTTGTCTAAACATAACAGTTGCATGGACCTTGTAGCTTGGTCTGTTCTAGCCCTCTGAGTTCACCTGAAGCAAACAGCATTTAAAAAAAGGTGGGTGTGTATTTTACATGAGGCTTGGTTGGCAAGATACTACTAGTTGTACAACTCATTATGGAAGTGTGATGACAGACAAACTACAGGATTTGTGGCTATTATGTTACAGAGGTGTTGTATTCTTAACAATTATACAGTGCTTTTTCATTCATAAAAAGAAAGATTTTCCTTTCTTTCACGTCCCCCTTTCCAACCTTAAAAATATCTGTGTCACTGTAGACTAGATTTAAAGATTAAGTTATATGTATTTATCCAATTAGTATGAACTTTAAAATGTTGGTGCTTATTTAATGTCAAGTTGCTGAGGTTATTTATGTGGCATTTCCTTTTAATTTGTGTGTATGGTGCTGGCAAGCTATAGAAATAAAACATGTTGTACATGTTATAATGACTGTGATAAGTATCAAAGTGTGCAACTTCTGTTTAACCCTGTCCCAAGAGAGAGATGTGCAATTTATTCAGTATAAAGGGTGTAGAAAAATGAGTACCAAAATGTTTACTGAACATGGAAGTTTATCAGTTAAAACCTACTCTCAGTCAATTCAATCTACCAGTATTCTTGATCTCTTATTAATCATATAAGGAAATATATACTGATATATGCTGGTATGTTTTACTGATGTAGAAGCACATTTTTTTCATTTAAAAATGTTCAATATCACCTTCTCACCGTATGCTTTAGTATTACAGCATAAATGATGTATATCAAAGTACACTTGCAATCATCTTTATGTTGGGGTTGTCATGGTTACCAAGGTTCCAGGGCATTATGTCCAATGTCAACCCAGGCATCATGAACAAACTGGCCTGTTATTGTTTATACTGAATAAGTGTTGGTGTATATTATGGCAATGACAGTGTTGTGTATGACAATTAAATATATGTGATATCTACCAAATAGTCTTTGTTTTTTATATAATGTCAAGTGCCTACTGGTTACAGTTCACTCAAATATTCAGGGAATCGATCTGTATCCCGTCATGAATTCAATTAATTATTCATGGTCACAAGAATCGAATATATACAAATGTATTTAAGAGAGTGTTTCTTACTTGGAACCAGTCTGTTGTTTATCTGAGTGAAATATGCAAAATGGAATATATCAGGCAGTAACTTACGGCATTTTGCCAAGGCCCCTTATGACACTGTCATTAGGCTATAGGTGGCATTGTTCGCAATGTGTTGCTGAAATGTTTCAACCAAAGTAATTACATATTAATAATAACGTATTTGTGAATATCTATTTGCATTTGTAACAATATACGTGTAAAACAAGTCGTATTCGCCTCAAAGTGTACTCATTGCAACCCTCCTGTCTACCAACATCTTCTGATGGCAGAGATTCAGAGCAGAAATGAACTCTTTCATCAGAACGGTTTAAGTCTGTTTGTGCAGAAAGATTAACACTTGTAACTGTTAGGCAATAGTAGAAATATGGTTCAAATTTGTACCATAGTTGCAGGAAAGGAAATTTTCCGTTGATCTGCGGATTTCCGCTGATTTTATTTCAAATTGTTCAATTGTGAATCGTCTAAATCCATTGAGAAACCCTCAACTCAATGACACAATATTGAGTTTTCAGCTGAAAATAGATTTTCCTGTTGCCATCCCTGATTTGGCACTTGTGTCACAGATGTCAACATGGGATGGTTATAAATCTCATCTTTGTTTTGGGTAGTAAAATCATAAACTGCTCTGGTGATTTGATTTTGTCTCGTACAAACTTCACAGAGACAACCCCCGAAAAATAACATCTGTAATCTCTAATCAAACACACACCAAAAGTAAACAGAGTATATTTTTATTGTGTTCACAGACACCTTGGCTTTATACATGTATTTAATGTTGTTTTCTAAAAAGAAATCCAAATCACAACAATTGTAACATGTTCATCTGCTGACTGACTAATTGAAAACTACATTGAAGCTATTTCTGAACATGATTTGTGGAAATCTCAAGACTTTGATCTTTGAATATTATTTCATTTATATCCCAATCGGTTACTAAGCAAGCACAGCTACAAAATAACAAATTCATCATCACAAACATTTTCTTACTTTCTTCAGAAAAGATCATATTGAAGCAGTGTATGAAATAAGGCCTGTCCGTCCGACCGCCCGACCGCCCGAGACGGGCTAGATATCTGACGGACAGTCTAGATTTCCAGCTAGCCAGCCCGATGGTCTGGTAAAAATTTTAGATGTTCCATACATCTGAGTAAATTCACCATATCTTGCTTGGTGTCTGGTCTGTTTAAATCCATTTTGGGCTGGTAACATTTTCAAGTTACCAGCCCTGATGTCTGGCTGGGCTTTTGGCTTATTTCATACACTGATTGAAGTGAATTTCTCTTGGAATTTCTCACGGAAAAGTGTAGTTCTTGGCTTGTTCAACAATTAACTTATTAAAATAGAGAAAAAGTATCACTTTGTGTAACAGACGTTTGTCATGAAATAATACTGTGAAAAATATATGCCCTTTTTTCATCTTGAATCATGATTAAATGAGAATAAATGCCTTGACATTGACTGGACCCCCCTTATCTTTTTAGAATCAATTATAGACAATGTTTATACTACCTATTTAGTACTTCTTGTCAAAATAAAAAGTGTTTGCTTCATAAGCCATACTCAACAATATTCCATTTGTAATATGACAGTGGCTAGTAAATAATCAAGATTTGACCAGACAATCCAGTGACTGACAGTTCCAGTCTACATCATCACCTCATACACGACAAACATGAGAGTTGATAAGACGTAGTTTTCATCACATTATATTAATAGGGATAGTGCCTTTTTCTTTGTATATTGTACACTTCAATGCACACCCCCCATTCTTGGGTTCATGTTACTAGAAAATTGCAAGATCCATGTTCGCTACAAAGTAACCATGGCTTTCTTGACACTTTCCTCCTGTGTTACACGCTCACAGTAATTTTCATTCCCTTGGGGGCCCAAAAATGGTGATGAGAAAAAATTTGTATCTTAGCATTATGTGCAATCCCAACTACAGTGAGTGAGTTTAGTTTTAAGTCGCACTCAGCAATATTCCAGCTATATGTCTGGACCAGACAATTCAGTGATCAACATCCCAACTACAGAGCTGTATTTGTTTAAAAAGTGGGCACTTTACACAAGGAAATACGGTACTTGCAGCACCATTACTGCTCAACCAGGGTTCGGCTGCACCCATAATCCAAATTACGCTGTTCGTTGTTCAAGAACATTGTTACTGATAACCCACTCAAAAAACAACAACATTCTAAGGCACAAATAAATGATAAATGGTATGTACAAGAGATTGTAGTCACAGCATATAACAGTCTCAGATACCTACAGCAAACATGCAGTAACGTCATAAGTCTTTATTGCAATCAACATGTTTAATCTTGTGTCAAACTGAATGTTAGGTCATTAAGCCATGACAATACTAGATTACATGCGAGGTAATGCAACACCGCAGCGATGTTCAACTATATCACGACACATGTGAATAACAGAGCATAAATGTCCACCACCGACACAGTTTGCAGACGATTCCTAAATCCATTTCAGTTGAATTATGACACAGAACCATTTGTATACCGGAAACTTCACAGCGCTAAACCAGACTTGAATTTAACAACGCACACAAGCATAAAATTAGCTTTATTTACCCAATGGAAACCTCAGTGCTTGGAAACATTATCTGATGAGTGGTCAAGTACAGCACTTTCACAATGCTCTTGTAAATGCAGAATCAAAACATGAATTGTAAAACTACCCGAAAGCTCTATATATACTCAATTCCTAAAGAAACGCACACATCCACCATGTTTTCGTTGATGAAGCAGTCACCATTACCTTCGACAGTACTACACGTCCTCACAGACTATTATATTAACAGAGAGACAATGACTCCAGTGTCTGAGGTTATAACGGCTTACAAATGTTTACAACCTAAAAGAATGGTGAAACGTTGGGATCTGAACCCATGAAAACAGGGTATAAATGAATATCACCATCTTAACACGTTGACTGCCTATCACGAGTATACTCGTAGTATCAATTCTGGCCGAATTAGCCACTACGAGTTATCTCGTAGCTACATCAGTGGTGGAGACGATTGCTTCTTCTGCCAGTTTTGCCAACATGTGAAACCTGTTTCAAAATACCACCGATATAGCTACGAGATAACTCGTAGCGGCATATTGGGCCAGACATTGATATGAGTATACTCATGGTGGCAGTCAACGTGTTAAACCACTGGCCCACCCACAAAGTGAAATTTGTCCAAATAATTTGCTTTGATCTCTCCTACATTTTGTTTTTTTCGTCAAATCAACTACGGTTTGTTCACAATAGGTTGATCATGAAAACAGTAACAATGAAGGGGACATACAAAAACATTCCATACACAGCTGTGACAAAACAAAACTGTCTAAGCAAAATATGTGTATACATCGTATAAATATGCCAATAATAGTCCCTAAAAACAAGAGCTCATTCCCAACCACACTGGCAACATTAAATTAATTCTTGCTTTATGTATTTTCTTGAATTAATAAAATGTCTTTACCAATGTTTGAAACCATGAGATCATCTTCAAAAGAAGCTATATAAAACACACTGGTAGAAAAAGCTTATGATAAATATGAAAATCTGTTGTTTTAAATTGAGAGAATCAGGCCATGTGACTTCTGGCACATAGCTACACCTAACAACTGTAAACAAACATCAACAATGCTATAAACTTAATACTTCAAGCTGAAACAAAAGCATGGAAATAAATGGATACAACAAACAGCCAGAAAAGCTAAAACAAATATATTTATCTTATGATAAATTATGATATGTTTATTATTTCTGGTTCATAAGAAAAATCAGATCATTGAAAAAATCAGTGGTAAACATGGTAAAGATTCGCATAGTCATAAAATGGCCAAAATAAATTAATTATCACATTTTCATCCAAGAAAAGGAAGAATTGTTTAATTATATCTGAATAATAACAAGACGTCTTTGTACAGCCCTCCAGTCTTGATGTTTGAAGGAAGGCAAGCGAAGATGAAAATCTATTACCGGTAATCAGTTTATTGTGGCCTCAAATTACAGTATGCTTCAAGAGTTGAAGTCGATAAAGATGTAAGAAGCTGCCAACACATGATGCTTTCCTAAACACTACAAATATCCTCTGAGATCTAACCATAAACTCATCATGTTCACATGTATCAACAAAACATATTAAAACCTTCATGTTTCACAGGCCCTAAATAATCTTTTCATAGATATTTACCACTTTGGCGAATACAAGTTCATGGTAAGGTTTAAGATAGCATGGCTCAAATTCAGACAACTATGGGATACAAACCCCAAACCAGCTGATCCTGACACAGCTGAAGGATACAACCTATCACGTTCGACCACCCGTTTTCCTCCACATTTACACTCTCTATATATAGGTACGTGTCAACTCCTATTATATACCACATACAAAGTTTATACACAAACAAAATTTGAATAAAAACCTCAGTCTAACAGGATCTGATCTGTGAAAATCTTGACACTGTTCATAGGCTTCAATAAAATTATATGATTCGGAGTTTGATGGTTTTATCACTATTTCAGCAGTTTCATGTGGCCTGTTTCGATGTTGGAGCATTATGTAGCAGTTATAACTTGAAATCAACGAGCAGAAGTTGACAAATCAAGAATCATGGGTGACGTTGATACAGCATTTCTCAACCATCTGAAGTTATGATTCAAACAGAGAATTTGTATAAAGTTTTACAACAGAATATTACTGTGTGCATATTGCATATATTCCAAGAGTGTTGTTTGTTAGTTTCATTCAAATGACAACCATCAGATCCTGCACACCAGGGGAGACAACCCTGCACAGTGAATTACTATATAAAAGTGAATGACTTACTGGGGTAAATTGCCGACTTAAAAATATTTCAGTTATATCATGATGTGTCAGGTTGAGGAAAGCTCAAAGTGACGCAGTATTTCAATGTTTAGCTACATTGGTAAACCAAGGAGCACAGGTATAATGCTAGAAACATAATCAGATCTGATCTAACTGGAAGTCGAACGTACACTCTCATTTGTGGCACATCTAAGGGAGACAACCCTTCACCTAAACATGCAGTGCCTCTGGCAACTTGGCCATCCATTCCCCTCACTATATTAACATCAAGCTAATCTCACTGCTTTCAATCTCAACATGGCTTTGTTCATCCTATTACACTATACTTACAGCGACTAAAAACAGTTCCTTTGTTCAATAGCTCAATACAGCCAGCTATACAATCAAAATAAAATCTTTCCTAGCACTGGAATATGGAATATACTGCCAATCCACGCTGACTGATCACACATTCATTCACGGAACACAGGCGCTTCACTCTCTCAGCTGGGATTGGTAGTTCAGTTCATGGAGGGATATCGCCATTCTGTGAGTGGTTCCTTCACTTCACTGACCGACTGGATGGAGGTGAACTTCAACAAGTAGTGGGGACCACCAGCCTTGTCGTTTGTACCTGTGTACACAGAACACATATATCACATACTGCTTGGCGGTATCAATATAAGCTGTATGCTTCTCTCGAGGGTAATACGGTCTGATGTACGCCTCTTTGTAACAGTGTTACCCGAGCCCGGTAGGTGAGTTTGGCGATTACTATGGCAGCGGGTAATATTTTTTCCAGTTGTCACCCTCCTGAGAGGGGTGACAAGGAAGCTTGTTAAAGCATCATTGACCAATCAAATTAAAAGTATTTTACATGAAGGTAAGATAATGCAATTTATCAATCAGTGAACTTGGTATTATAGTCTGATAAATATGCAAATGAAGGAACTACTTTCAAGTTCCATCTATCATTGCAAGATGGTTTTTCTCCATACAACTACTAACATTCCCAAAATAATAGATAGAGGTCTCAAATGTGGAGAAAGCGCAACAAACAAAGATCAACTACAGTTAGAAACGATCAACTACAGTTCTTTCACTTCTTTTGAGTAATGAGTGAGTGAGTGAGTTTAGTTTTACGCCGCACTCAGCAATATTCCAGCTGTATGGCGGCGGTCTGTAAATAATCAAGTCTGGACCAGACAATCCAGTGATCAATAGCATGAGCATTGATCTGCGCAATTGGGAACTGACGACATGTGTCAACCCAGTCAGCGAGCCTGACCACCCGATCCCATTAGTCGCCTCTTACGACAAGCATAGTCGCTTTTTGTGGCAAGCATGGGTTGCTGAAGACCTCTTCTACCCCGGATCTTCACAGGTCCTTTTGAGTAGTACACTCTTAACTGAATTGACATGTCCTTGCTTGTTTTATCCCCTTACTGCTGAGCATTAGGCTTGGAAACAACCATCTTGTATCTGTTCCAGAAGCTGTATCCACTACGCCACGAATGTGGGTCTGTTGTATCAGTATGAGTGAGTGAGTGAGTTTGGTTTTACGCGGGTTTTAGCAATATTCCAGCAATATCACGACGGGGGACACCAGAAATGGGCTTCACACATTGTACCCATATGGAGAATCGAACCCAGATCTTCGGCATGACAAGCGAATGCACCCCTGTATCAAGAACAATGTCAAGAAAATATTGGTACTTATATGGAAATTGGGTATCTCTGTACCTGAAAGTCGAGCTCCGCCGAAGGGCTGCTGGCCCACCACTGATCCTGTAGACTTGGTGTTGATGTAGAAGTTACCAGCAGTGTCACGGAAAATATCACACAGCTGGTTTTTCGCTTTCCTGGAATGAAAACAATTCAATGTTGGAGAAAATGATCAGTTTGTGTTTTTTCCAAATTCAGCAAATATTCCAACAAAGCAGGGCAGGGACCCCATACATGGGTTTCACACACTGTGTGGAGAATCACACCCTGCCCTTCTGGGTCACATTACCATTAAGCTCTGTGAAAACGACACACTTCAGTTTAAAGAGTGAATGGTGTTAAACTCCTGATCTGATTTCGACGGTTCTACAAGCAACAGAGAGCTGGGGACCTAATCTAACCCAGAATTATTGAAACTGTCATCTACATGGACGCCAATGCTGTCCTAAATTCAAGCTTTTTTCAAAGATCCGATACTGCTCGGCTCTTCAAGAAGATTACTGACAGTCATAGCGCTTTGAATACTTTGTGAAATGGGACATAGGTCAACGAGTGAGTGAGTGAGTTTAATTTTACGTCGCACTCAGCAACATTCCAGCTATATGGCGGCGGTCTGTAAACAATCGAGTCTGGACCAGACAATCCAGTGATCAATAGCATGAGCATCAATCTGCACAATTGGGAACCGATGACATGTGTCAACCAAGTCAGCGAGCCTGACCACCCGATCCTTTAAGTCACCTTTTACGACAAACATGGGTTACTGAAGATCAATATTCTAACCCGGACATTCACGGGTCAAGAATGAAATGAGGTTGATAGCATGAGCAAGAGAAAGTATGGTTTTACGCTGTTTATCATTATCATAGCAGGGACACCAGAAATGGGCATCACATTGATCAAAGTTGGGAATGGAGCCCGGGTGTTCGATGGAACGAGCGAACGCTTCAAACAACTGGGCTACCTAGCCTCCCAGCGTTATATATAGGACTGCAACTGAGCTGATAAATGCCAAAGACACTCAAACCAAAACATCCATCGTTATCAAAGTGACTATCCTAACTACCCTCTCCTCTTATGACCAATAGAAGATACTGGACCTTTCTCACCTAGTGTCCTCACAAAGCCTTACAGTCAGAGCATCAGCTATTTCAGCCTTATAACTGAATCACATTATTTCCTGCTTCAACAACAGCATGGTGCACTTACTCGTCCTCTGCATATATGGCACATGTCAGTGCATAAGGTGATGTCTGGTTGGCTAGCTTGGCAACCTCCTCTGCTTTCTCGTCAGGGTAGACATACACAGTAACTACAGGGCCGAATATTTCCTGAAACACACAATTCTCAAAATTCAAAATGGCTCTCTCTCCAATTATATCCCTTCCTTAATCCATACAACAATCTGCTGAATCTTGGACATAGCAAACTTTCTTATTTTTGCAGAATATATTCACATTTTCCTACCTCGTTCATTATTTTATCCTCTGGATCACTTGATTCAACTATCGTTGGTTCCACAAAGTATCCCTTACTGGAACAGAAATAGTGATCAATTAATATACCCACAAAAACAAAATACAGTCACAAAAGGGAGAGAGTGACAAGTAAGGCAGGTCACCTGACTGTTTGCGCAGGGAAAGGGCAAAAGGGAGGCAACTCGTGGGTGAGTGTATTTTTACGTCCGCTTCGGGAACTTCAAGGGATTCAAGTGTTCCACTACCATTCGAAGAGGAAAGGGAGATAAGCAAAAGATCATGAGTCAGGATAAGTAAAAATATACAGACACGCTTGGACGTCCCTGATGTTAGTGTATATATAATGTATGTCCGTTTAATGCCACCCCCCACCCCACCCCCACACGCCTCTGGCACTAATCAGCCTGCTTACTGCACCAAGCTAACATCACAGTTACAAACATGACCACGTTCTACAAGAGTCATCAGATGATGACATATCCCCCCGGCCCCCACATATTGGAAAGAACAAATCATCTGACAGTTACTTAAAGTCCAACTTGATTTTTTTTACACTAAGTCCAAATCATCTTCATGGAAATCATGAAAAATACAAATGCCAAAAATCTGTAAATAGTAAAAGGCACCACATTGGGATCTGGCTCATATATCTGCCAAATGTTGCTGAAAGGTATTGAAAGGTTTTCGAGTTGTGCTCCGGAAACAAAGTCCACCTATCCCTTTTGAGACAAAGTCTGAATCGTTTCCATGGAAACCAAGAAAAAGAAAAATGACAAAAATCTGTAAATAGCAAAAGGCACCACTTTAGGTTCTCTTTGATATATATATACCAACTCTTGTAGAAAAATATTGAACGGTTTTAGAGTTATGCTCCGGAAAAAAATGATTACGAACGGACGAGGCGTCGACTATATCCCCTCGCATTACATGCCGGTGGGATAAAAAGGGGGAGGGGCATGAGGATATGAACAAATGTTACATACATATGTGAGCAGGCAGCAAAAATTCAAGACCAACTCCATACCCCCTTCCTCCCCACATTAATAATTGACCAATCCCTTACCTGTCGTCACAGTTTCCCCCAGCAATCACCTTCAGGTTCGACGAAGACTTCGCATGATCCAGATATCCCTTAATCCTGGCAAATGCCTACAACAAAACCACTGCATCATCAACATGCAGAAGTCTTCATACTGTTGCCATTATTTCTCTCAGTTATTTTCCCTTAGGTAACCAGCCCATGCGTATGTGATCTTGAATCGACGACAATGAACCCAGCGCCAAGCATTAACATCAAACCACCTTGGACCTGATCTATCGGCCATTATTACAATACAAAAGACCCTACAGGCGATGATACACCCCATAGTCAAGTAGATTTTATGTCTCTCAGGAATGGGAGGTCTTTCCTTATTCTCCTCACTCAATAATCAGAAATTATAAATGTGTCATTAACCCAATTTCAACTAACCTCTCATTGCAACCAGGTATTTGATTAGCTGATGGAGGAATATAGTGCATGAAGTTTTGTTTGTTTTTTGTTATTTGATTCCGCACTCAACAACATTGGTGGTGGTGGTCTGCAAATAATCGAGTCTGAACCAGACAACCCAGTGATCAATATCATGAGCATCAATCTACAGAACTGGGATATGTTGACATGCATCATATCCCACTGAGGACAACGTGACCACTCGATCCTGTCAGCCACCTCTAACACAAGCATGGCTTGCTGAAGACCACATTATTACATATAATTTTACATTCTACTGTAAACAGGGTTTAAAAGAATTCACTAATTATTTCAAAATTTCCTACCTTATCATCAATGACAGCTGTAACAAAAGATTCCTTCTCTAACGGCGAGCCCATGTTTATTTGTTTGTGGATATCCAGCATGCCCTCCTTGACCTTGGGCCAAAGTGACTGGGCAATATACATCCGGGAGCATGCAGAGCACTTCTGACCATTGAACGAAAGCTGATCGGACCGTGCCATTGATGACAGATTCCAAATTAGCAGAGCTGTGGACGAAGTGCATGTTCTTGCCGCCACACTCTGAAAAGAGTAGGGTTGGTAGTAGAACACTTCGTTAAGTACCTTAGTTAATACTTTGTATGAACTTATTGGCTGATATATTTCAGAGAATTACGGTATTTATCAGACCTAATTCACATTCATCACCATTTGTCCAGAAGTGTCTCACCTCCAATTAGTCGAGGGTATGTCCTGTAGACATCCATGTTCTGGGCCACCTGTTTCCATAAGTGCTTGAAAGTCCTAGATACAAAATAAGAACTCATCATCATCACCATCACCATCACCATCATCACCACCACCACCATCATCATCATCTCCAGAGTTATGTCCCCTTGCATGCAGTAATGGTTTAGAGGCAGGATTTTACATGATTTAAACTGTTGCTCTGTCATCAAAGTGTAAAATCACCTCTGCCTTTCTTCCATCACTAAGTGACAGAAAATATCTTACGTAGTGTCCAAGGCATTAACCACCCAATCCCTCAAATCGGATGATATTTAAAATAAATTCCCTATAATGTACATAACCATGGCAACCTACTTGACACAGTCAGTAAAGGTCATAATGTACATAACCATGGCAACCTACTTGACACTGCCTGTAAAGGTCATAATGTACATAACCATGGCAACCTACTTGACACAGTCAGTAAAGGTCATAACGTACATAACCATGGCAACCTACTTGACACTGCCTGTAAAGGTCATAATGTACATAACCATGGCAACCTACTTGACACTGCCTGTAAAGTTAATGCCAGCCAGATGTGGTGAGCTGGTGACGGCGTCACCAAACACAGGCCCATCAGCAGGGAGAAAGTTAATAACACCAGCCGGGAGCCCTGCTTCTCTGTAAATCTTGTATACTGTGTAGTTTGACAGGATTGCAGTGTCGGACGGCTTCCATAGCGACACATTGCCCTGGAAAAACAAAAACATTTACAATTTTCAGTGCGTTACTAAACCTGATGGTAAGGTACTAACCTAGTAAGAATCTAATGACATACCTTTCACTACATTGCTGAAGCACGAATTAGCCATTACCATGGTTACACACCTAACAATATTTGGTAAAAGCATGAAATAGCCATTACTACGGCTACACCCCTATTCACCATATTGGTAAAGCATAGATTTACCGTTACCATATTTACATCCTACACACTACTTTGGTAAAGCATAGATTTACTGTTACCATTGCTACACCCTACACACTACTTTGGTAAAGCATGGATTTACTGTTACCATATTTTCATCCTACACACTACTTTGGTAAAGCATAGATTTACTGTTACCATTTTTACATCCTACATACCATAGATTTACTGTTACACATCCCACTTTGGTAAAGCATGGATTTACTGTTACCATATTTACATCCTACACACTACTTTGGTAAAGCATAGATTTACTGTTACCATTTACATCCTACACACTACTTTGGTAAAGCATAGATTTACTGTTACCATTTTTACACTCCTACACACTACTTTGGTAAAGCATAGATTTACTGTTACCATGTTTACATCCTACATAGATTTACTACTTTGGTACACACTACTTTGGTAAAGCATAGATTTACTGTTACCATATTTGTTTACATCATGGAATTTACTGTCACATGTTTACACTACTTTGGTAAAGCATAGATTTACCGTTACCATATTTACATCCTACACACTACTTTGGTAAAGCATAGATTTACTGTTACCATGTTTACATCCTACACACTACTTTGGTAAAGCATAGATTTACTGTTACCATATTTACATCCTACACACTACTTTGGTAAAGCATAGATTTACTGTTACCATATTTACATCCTACACACTACTTTGGTAAAGCATAGATTTACTGTTACCATTGCTACACCCTACACACTACTTTGGTAAAGCATGGATTTACTGTTACCATTGCTACACCCTACACACTACTTTGGTAAAGCATGGATTTACTGTCACCATGTTTACATCCTACACACTACTTTGGTAAAGCATAGATTTACTGTTACCATGCCTACACCCTACTCACCATAAGAGCTGGTGCAGCAGGAAGATGACCACCAATAGCGGTGAAGTTGAATGGTGTAACAGCTGCCCAAAATCCCTGAAACAAATATTTCACACAGTGTGGACACAAATCCTGTTTTATTCCAACTGAAAAAGTGAATACAGCTGAAGACAATACAAAGAAAATCATCCAGAACATGAACATACTGTGTTTTCAAAACAGAGTTGTTATACCTGTAGATCATAGTAGATGTAACTAACTTAAATAATACTTGAAAACAAGTAAAAACTTTGAGAGAGTGTGTGTTTAGTTTTATGCCGCACTCAGCAATATTCCAGCTATATGACGTCGGTCTGTAAATAATCGAGTCTGGACCAGACAATCCAGTGATCAATAGCATGAGCATCGATCTACGCAATTGGGAACCGATGACATGTGTCAACCAAGTCAGCGAGCCTGACCACCCGATCCTTTTAGTCGCCTCTTACGACAAGCATAGTCACCATTTGTGGCAAGCATGGGTTGCTGAAGACCTATTCTACCCTGGATCTTCACAGGTCGTTAAAACTTTGAAGTTCTTGGGACAATTATCGTGAGTGAGTAAGTGTGTGAGTTGGGTTTTACGCCGCTTTTAGCAATATTCCAGCAATATCACGGCAGGGGACACCAGAAATGGGCTTCACACATTGTTCCCATGTAGGGAATTGAACGCAGGTCTTCGGTGTGACGAGCGAAGGCCTTAACTAGGCTACCCCACCGCCCACAATTATCGTGAATTTCAACAACCATCTAAATATGCAGCTGACAACTGACCTCGTTTCCTCTGTAGATCGATCGGTTTTGGAGATTTGGAGAGGTATTCAATGGCTGCATCTTTGTCAGTTCCTGTAGCAGAGAGAGAGAGTGAGTGAGTGAGTGCGTAGGATAACACACAGCCAATGTTACACCTACATCATAGGAAAAAACATATAGATTCTTGTCTGGAGGCTTGTACAGTGTAATGTGGAACTGGAATCCAAATAGAAGCCGTGTATGGGGTACTGGGGAGCCTATTTGACACTGGGATGGCTCCCCACTGATGTCAGTGAGAGAGGAAGAGAAGGGCTGAGCAAGCATTATTTTTTAAGTATATTACAGCCATCAGGGTGCTGTTGTACAACACATCCTTAGTGCTAAGACTATCTTAAGACTATGTTAAGGTATGGGAGGTTACCTTAGCGCTAAGCTCGCTTTGTACAACGGCACCCTGGTTTGGAATCCAAATAGAAGCTGTGTAAGGTGTACTGGGAGCCTATTAAACAATGGGATGGATCCCCACTGATGTCAGTGAGAGAGGAAGAGAAGGGCTGAGCAAACATTATATCATCATGTGGTGGTGTGTGGTCCTGTTTGTAGAGCTCAGGTCATAAATCAGTTGAAATTAAGCAACGTCGAGCTTGGAGTGAGTGAGTTTGGTTTTACGCCGCTTTTAGCAATATTTCAGCAATATCACGGCGGGGGACACCAGAAATGGGCTTCACACATTGTACCCATGTGGGGATTCGAAACAGGGTCTTCGGTGTGACGAGCCAACGCTTTAACCACTAGACTACCCCACCGCCCCTCGAGCTTGGAGATTCCTTGGATGGGTGACCGTGTTTGGCAGCTTGACTCCTGAGAGTTTCTAGGACTTGAGTCCTGCCCCACAACGATGCACATGTGATACATGTGGTCTCACCTTAGGCAAGTGAGTTTGTTTAAAATTGCCTCTGTTCATCCAGCAGAAAGTGGGTACCTGGTTGGATAAAGTCATGTGACTATAACCTTCTAGCGCCTATCAGGCAGCTTGGGGTATCCGGGGTAATAATCAGATTCTGATTACAGCGTCCAGTGAGCAACTACCGGGGTAGTCAGATGGATACTAGGCACTATATAAATTAATTATTATATTATTATCTATATTACCGCCATCTTGGTGATGTAGGAAAGAGTAAAGCGATTCAGTTCTAGGATGTTTTCCACTTTTGTGGCACCTGTAATCATGGGTATTGTGCAGACAAACCTAGAAACATATCTGAGGTGAAACGGAATTGGAAGCCACGACCAAGGGACACCACTCTGCACATCAAGTAGCAGTGCACGACAAATGAGTTGACAAGCTCCCTCTTCTCTATGAACCACAATCAAACTGCTGGAAAAGACTCACCCTGCCATACATGACATTGAATCGCAGAAAGTCAATCAGTTCAGCGGCTGAATCTATTTCTGCTTGCCAAGCATTCTTGGCCTGCAATAAATCATCACCACTTGATAAAAACAGCTTCAATATTATAATGAAGCAAAAGTCAATTCTGACTCATGTTCTTCTTAATGAATACCAATATACCAATATAATATACAATATCTCGTCAGTCTTTGTGTCAGTTGACAATTTGTCATATCAAGGAAGATATTCTAATCAGGTAATTGTTGGGAAGGACCAAATGTATTAATAGGCTTCTGATTTATGTTTAAGGGACCACCATCCCAACCAGAGCCTTGGCTCCAAATAAATCTTAAAATCGTGCTAAGATAGTCACATGTTAAAAGTGTGGGAGCAAAGCTTATCTTAGCAGAAGTAATTCTTGTCAAAAGCTAATGTTATACCATGGGAGTGAGGATAATCTTACCCCTAGTATTGTTATAAAGCTACATTGAACGATGGGAGTTATACCATGGGAGTAAGGATAATCTTACCCCTAATATTGTTATAAAGCTACATTGAACTATGGGAGTTATACCATGGGAGTAAGGATAATCTTACCCCTAATATTGTTATAAAGCTACATTGAACTATGGGAGTTATACCATGGGAGTAAGGATAATCTTACCCCTAATATTGTTATAAAGCTATATTGAACTATGGGAGTTATACCATGGGAGTAAGGATAATCTTACCCCTAATATTGTTATAAAGCTACATTGAACTATGGGAGTTATACCATGGGAGTAAGGATAATCTTACCCCTAATATTGTTATAAAGCTACATTGAACTATGGGAGTTATACCATGGTTAAAGGATAATCTTACCCCTAATATTGTTATAAAGCTACATTGAACTATGGGAGTTATACCATGGGAGTAAGGATAATCTTACCCCTAATATTGTTATAAAGCTACATTGAACTATGGGAGTTATACCATGGTTAAAGGATAATCTTACCCCTAATATTGTTATAAAGCTACATTGAACTATGGGAGTTATACCATGGGAGTAAGGATAATCTTACCCTTAATATTGTTATAAAGCTACATTGAACTATGGGAGTTATACCATGGGAGTAAGGATAATCTTACCCCTAATATTGTTATAAAGCTACATTGAACTATGGGAGTTATACCATGGGAGTAAGGATAATCTTACCCCTAATATTGTTATAAAGCTATATTGAACTATGGGAGTTATACCATGGTTAAAGGATAATCTTACCCCTAATATTGTTATAAAGCTACATTGAACTATGGGAGTTATACCATGGGAGTAAGGATAATCTTACCCCTAATATTGTTATAAAGCTACATTGAACTATGGGAGTTATATCATGGGAGTAAGGGTAATCTTACCCCTAATATTGTTATAAAGCTACATTGAACTATGGGAGTTATATCATGGGAGTAAGGGTAATCTTACCCCTAATATTGTTATAAAGCTACATTGAACTATGGGAGTTATACCATGGGAGTAAGGTTAATCTTACCCCTAATATTGTTATAAAGCTACATTGAACTATGGGGAGTTTATATTGAACATGGGAGTAAGGATAATCTTACCCCTAATATTGTTATAAAGCCCTAATATTGTTATAAAGCTACATTGAACTATGGGAGTTATACCATAAAGGGAGTGAAAGGTATAATCTTACCCCTAATATTGTTATAAAGCTACATTGAACTATGGGAGTTATATCATGGGAGTAAGGATAATCTTACCCCCTAATATTGTTATAAAGCTACATTGAACTATGGGAGTTATACCATGGTTAAAGGATAATCTTACCCCTAATATTGTTATAAATACATTCTATGGGAGTTATACCATGGGAGTAAGGTTAATCTTACCCTAATATTGTTATAAAAGCTACATTGAACTATGGGAGTTATACCATGGGAGTAAGGATAATCTTACCCCTAATATTGTTATAAAGCTACATTGAACTATGGGAGTTATACCATGGGAGTAAGGATAATCTTACCCCTAATATTGTTATAAAGCTACATTGAACTATGGGAGTTATACCATGGGAGTTATACCATGGGAAAGGATAATCTTACCCCTAATATTGTTATAAAGCTACATTGAACTATGATGTAATTTTTGAGTAAAATTGATATTTTATACTTATCCTGACTCATGCTCTTTTGCTTGTCCCCTTCCTCTTGCGAACATAGTGGAACACTTGTATCTCCTTAATTGAAGCTCCCTTCAATGTAAAATCACTAATTGGTACTCACCCACGAAGTTACCTCCCCCGCCGAAGCTGAACAGGTGTCGCCACCCTCTGGCCTCATGCTTCACTCTCTCCTGATTTTATGCGAGCCCAACACTTGAATTTACAGGGAAATCCAAAGTGTTATGTGGGGAGGATGGGAGGGTTAATTCATGAGTCAGGATAAGTATAAAATATCAATTTTACTCAAAAAATTACATATTTTTCCTTATCCTGACTCATGCTCTTTTGCTTGTAGAATCCACCGGAGAGGTGGTGGGTAAACAGAATACTTTGGATTATAATTAGTGATTTAAGTAAGTGATATTGTAATAACTTCATGGAACTTCATAAGGCATTGAGACTTAGGATATTTCCTTTATAATAAGCCATAGATATATACACTATAAGTGGGGTATTACCTTACTAATATACTGATATATCAATATATATATAAACTGCTACTCTAAACGTAGCTGTACACTGAATATAACTCAGTATGAGCTTAAGGTTGAATAACCTAAGCTAAATATGTACATAGCCCTAGAACTCCATGGAGTTATAAGCTAGTGAATATATGTATCATATATCTAATAATCTCGTAAGTGAATATTAACGCTTCACGAGGGACTGTCAATTGCTGAGCGAGAGGACCAAAGGACCGAAATGATGAATGCCAGAGACGCCCTCGGTGGTGATATCTCTGAGATAGTGATTAGCAAACACCATGTTAGATTTCCAAAAGCATCCTTCCATAATTGTATTCAATGAACAGTTACCGCGGAAGGGCGAGGGTGGATGCCAATGCCCTGATTTCATGGGGATTTGATGCTGTTGAGGGTCCAGTCCTGCTGCCTTATAGGCCAGAAATGACAGTTCTTATCCATATAGATATGGTGGTACGAGAGACTTCTGTCTGATTTGTAGGCTTATAACGGATGAACAATCTTCTGAGCCGATCTTCGCTTTGTTTTGGAACGACGCAAATAGATTATGAGAGCTCGTGACTGGGCATAGAGATAAGTCCAATGTATCTTGAGATCCAAGAATTGAGGATAGCGCAGGGATGTGAAATAACCTGTCTGGTTGACCTGGTAGTTGATTTTGGCGATGAAATCCCATCTTAATCCCAGGTGTGCTGTCTTTGATTGTCATCAAACTGTATCCTCTCATAATCTAGAGCATGAATTTCAGATATTCTGGCTGCCGTGGCTAGCTTATAACAGGAAGACTGTTTTCTGTGAGAGAAATTCAAACGTTGTCGATTCCAATGGTTCATAATCCTCACTTGTGAGGTGTCGTAAAACTACATTCAGATCCCAAGCTGGGCGTGGAATTTCCGCTTTGGTCCTCCAATCGAAAGCACGTAGTAAGGCCAGTAACTCTGGTGTTCTTGTTAATTTAACACCCGCTCTCATAGAAATCACAGAACTAAGCTGCGCAAGATATGTTGACAATGTCGAGCCTTTTAAATGTTTGTTTTGCCGTAGTAACACAAATAGTTCTGCCACTTGAGGATGCGAGCATCTCGCTGTAAAACCCTTGTTTGCTGCATAATTTTCAAACTTTGCCACTTGTCATCGCACAAGTTACGCTGCTGAGTATCGTGAAGGCAAGCTGACCGCTTTTGCCGCTCTGGTAGAATATCCTCTTGTTTAAACACATTTTAATACAGTCCATAATGCGGAAGTTTGAATACTTCTGGGTTTCTGTGCACCTGTTTGGTGTGAGGATGTATTAACAGGTTTGCGCGCTTTGGGTAGTTCTAGTGCCGGGTTGACCGATATCTTGTATTAGGGCTGGAAACCACGCTCTGGCCGGCCAATAGGGCTGACCAAAGTGAGTTGTAGGCTCTGGCGCTTGGTTGATTTTCTGTAATACTAGAGGTATTATTGCTGGGGCGGAAACGCTGCGACGCATTGAGGCCTTCCCATGATATGCTTAGAGCCGCCTGTTGCCCATGCTTGTGGGTCTGGCACTGGTGACACTAATGTCGGTAGTTGATTGTTGAACCTTGTGGCTTAATAGATCTACTAGCGCCCTATTTGCTTGATTATCTGTGCAAATATCTCTGTATTGAGCATCCATTCTGTCGGGCGACGGTAGATGTGGGCCGAGAGAGTGCGCCTGCTAGTATATTCCTGGCTCCGGAATGTGGCATGCTTTGACATGTAGATTTAGATCTTGGATTAATTCAACAGTTGAAAGGTTAAATTCAAAAGGTTCGGCGATCTCGCTGAGCCTTGTCTGTTCACATAAAACGCCACTGTCGAAGTTGTCGGTATGTATCATCAGGTGCGATTCTGTAGAATGTTGCTCCAATGTCTTATGGCGCTGATTACAGCTTTCATCTCTAATGCGCTTATGTGGAGTTTGCTTTCTAGCTGAGTCCATAACCCTGATGCCGTCCGTTGGAGAGATGAGCTCCCCAACCTTGGAGCGACGCCTACATATAGATGGGTTTTGAATTCCTGCTCTGCTAAACAAATCCCTTCGCAGACATTCGATTTCTTTGTCCACCATAATAGATGAGGTCTGAGATGTTTCGGTAGACTGAATGGTTGTAGGTCGCCGAGATGTGTGTTATCGAAGACCTGTAATGGACGAACTGTAATCTGCCTATGACTGTCAAGTCTTGGGCTGATGTTAGAAGACCTAGTAAGCTCTGCCATTGTCGGCGGTAGCGTGAAAGTAGAGCTGGTGGAATGATCTGTTGGATCTTGAGCCAACGGTCTTCTGGTACTACTATACGGGTTGAGATTGGTGATAAATCGGATGCCTAGGAATTGCAGATCTTGGCGATGGTACTAGGTCCGACTTGTGTAAGTTTACTAACCATCCCAGCTGTGTTAGTAGCTTTATGATGTAGTTTAACTGTAGTTTGAGATGCTGTGGATCTTGATCTACTTGTATCCCGGTCGTCGAGGAAGAACGCGACTGCGAGTCCTTGACGATGTAGATAGGTAACAATCGGTTTCGCTATCCCCGCGGAATAACCATGGGGCTGATGCTATTCAATGGGAGTACTTTCCACTGGTAATGTAACCCGCCTAGCGAAACCGGAAGGTATTTCCTGGATTCGGGATGTATTGGGATGTGCAGATAAGCATCTTGTAGATCTATACTGCCCATGTAGTCCATGGGGCTTAATCATCTGCCGTCAGAGAAGGCGTAGATGTATCATAGTGAACCTGGGTGGTCTGCTTAAGTAAGTCTTGTTGAAGAAGCTCATGTTGTAAATGAGTCTGTATTTCTCCTTGGAGTTCTTCTTGGGTACTAGGAAAACTGGGGAGTAGAAACCTGGTTCGATGTTTCCTTGCTCTATTACTTCTATGGCCTGCTTGGTTAGGAGTAATGTAACCGCCTCTTAACTTTAGTAGTTGTTGTGCCTGTACCTCGAACTTGTGAGGGTTGACTGTTAGTGGAGGCTTGGCCTGTAGTGGGATACTTAAACTGCTGCTGAAGAATGTTGGAGACATAGGTGTCTTGAAGTATTCCCCAGTTTTCCCAGTGTAGTTGAAGACGCCCACCCACTTGTGACGGTTGTACTGGAACGGCTGGGGTGGAAGACTCCAGTCGCTCCAACCTGTCTTTCAGCGCTTATAGTTGCGGAACCTCTGGGTGTCCTGCCTCGCCCTGACCCTCCTCTATAGTTGCCATATGGGCTTAATTTAAAAGAATCTCTTCCCCTGAACTGGCAATCTTCCTGTCTCTAGCTCTTTGTAGGCCCGTGAATTTAGATCTCCCTGAGTATCTTTGTGAAGTCTGTCGAATGACACTGGCTAGCGGTCCATCGATTTAATCATCAGGACTCTCTAGAATCCTTGGTGACTTCTTTGGAGACTCTGTCTATTCCTCCACAAATATGGATGGGGAAGACCACGGGCTGTATATAGTGGAGCTGTAAAGTTCTCACCCCAGTTGCAGGAAGCTAGGAGGCCTTGACGACGAAGCTAAGGTCAGTGCTGCTGAGACAGACGCCAGATGATCTGTTAAAACTGCTGGTCCTTCTTTGCATCAGTAGGGCCGAAAGTAAATCATTCTGTCATCTTCAGAGGTCGTGGTTCAAATCTGGAGATAAGTGTCTCATTTATTGTTCTAGATCTATTTAGACCAAAGAACATACTGGCCATGGTTTCTATCTGAACCAATTTCCCATCATCAATCTTGTAGTACTTGTTCTTGGCATCGGAGATCAGCTTATAGTTCTCATCGATGTCTTGGCGCTTTGAAGAAGGGGTCCATATTATGCGCGGAGAACTTCTTGGCGCTGAAATTTGGCAGATGTGGCGCCTGAACCTTTGTGGCTTTGTTAAATGCTGTATCTAGGTTCTGAGAGGTACCGCTAATCGGGTCGATTGGGGTAGTGTAATAGCATCTGCGCCATCTTCTTTCATCAGATAAGTCTGCTCTTTATTGCCACTCTTGAAGGTGATGAGAGATCTAGATTATTGACCATCCAATATCTTATCTCTGCATCTGAGAAAATAATTCCTCCATCATCTTCCATTCCATCATCATAGATAAGAGGTTGTTGCTCTTCTGATGTAGGGCTGTGTGGCTCTATCTCTATATCGCTTTGACGCTTGTGGAGATCTAGTTGTAGGCTTATGTGCAGACCTGTGAGGTGATCGACGGGTGATCGGGCGCAGGTGATCGCCTTGGTGATCTATATCGATAGGTTGACCTTCTTGGCGCACCCATGAGGGGACTGATGATAGCTTTCACAAGCTCTTGTGTAGTCCCTTGATGATCTTTTAGATGAAGACGATCTGGGTTCAGGTGTCCTTCGCGAACGCTTCGCGAAGCTTCGCTTGGCGGCCCGGGTCCTGGGGAACGATGATATGACCTTCGCAAGGCTTCATGCGGTGGTCTGATGATCAGATTCCGTGATCTGAGTATGACGGAAGAAGGTGATGATTTTCCCGCCGCGCAAGGCCTCGCTAAGGCTGTACATCTGGGTCCTTCGCCGAGGTGGTCTGTGACTTCCTTCAAGGCTGCATTGTCGGGCTGCTACGCTGACAGATGGTGCCCCTGGGGTGTTGTTCACGTTGGAGCCTTCGCAAGGCTCGACCCTGGGATGGCTGCTTCTCCAGTCTATAGTGGCCTTCCATCATAATCATGATCTGTTTCATAAGATCGCTTTGGGATGATCTGCGACGAGTAGATGGTGCCCTCTGCTGTGTTAGCTGTGGGGCCCTCAGCGCATCTCGCCTGACATCAGTGTAGAGGCATCAGGCTGCATGGTGATCTCTGCTGACGCCACTGTCGCTGTCACTGGTCGCCTTCTTGTATGCATGTCGGGTATGATGATAGGCTGGTCATCGAGAGGCCCAATTCTGCTGCTGGAACGATCTCGCTGAGAAAGTTCTCGATGACTTCGTCAGATTTCCCTTTGGAGGAAGACGCTGCCCTGGGGTAATAAGTCTGGCGCTGAGAAGACGCTGAGGCCCTCTTTGACTTTGTCTGGCGGCGACTGGATGTCTGGAGAGGCCGGTCGCTTCTTAGAGGTGACGGACTGCATCCCACGCCCCTCTTCCGATGGGGTCTCAAGCAGAACACCAGACGGGAGGGGATCGCCGACAGCAGTTGACTGGATGGGCAATCCCGACGATCGCCATGTCTACACCTAGTTTGCGCGGACCTATCTGCAACACGCCTCAAGACGCAAAGATGGTATTTATCAAAGGCAGAATTGGTTAAATTTATGCAGTAACTGCAACGCGGAGTCAAACGCACAAGGCGTAGTACAACTAGGGCATACCACATGGATCCAAGAGCGAAAACGTAATCTACAAATAGTACAGTTTTTCATCAATGTAAAACTAGCTGAACAATCACTTAACTCAACGGAATAAACAGTAGAAATAATGATTAATTATTAATGCAAATAACTGAAGGATACTAGCTATACCTTTATAGTAAACTATAAAAGGTAACTAACTAAGAAAAACCAAAGGATATAGTGTGTAAGGAGACACAGGCGCTCTCACATCCTGCTCACTGGGCGAAGAAGGAGAGAGTGAAGCATGAGGCCAGAGGGTGGCGACACCTGTTCCCGCGCTCACGGCAGGGGAGGTAACTCGTGGGTGAGTACCAATTAGTGATTTTACATTGAAGGGAGCTTCAATTAAGGAGATACAAGTGTTCCACTATGTTCGCAAGAGGAAGGGGACAAGCAAAAGAGCATGAGTCAGGATAAGGAAAAATGAACTATGGGAGTTATACCATGGGAGTAAGGATAATCTTACCCCTAATATTGTTTATAAAGCTACATTGAACTATGGGAGTTATACCATGGGAGTAAGGATAATCTTACCCCTAATATTGTTATAAAGCTACATTGAACTATGGGAGTTATACCATGGGAGTAAGGATAATCTTACCCCTAATATTGTTATAAAGCTACATTGAACTATGGGAGTTATACCATGGGAGTAAGGATAATCTTACCCCTAATATTGTTATAAAGCTACATTGAACTATGGGAGCTATGATTATCTTAGCAGTCATAAGTCAATGTTGTGTGAAGTATCCTCATCTTAGTACCAAGAGCTGGATGGGGCAGAACATCCATGACGCATACCACTAAAACATTTGAATCTGTGATCCTCCAATATGTTCCATCTTAATCAACAGTGTCATTTATAATAAAAAGGCCTGAACATCAAACAATGAATTTCATAGATTAAAATTTAGTGGTATTTTTTAAAACATTTTAAAGGGTCCCCTGGTTCTGCCCGCCATGAGTCATGATTCTATTAAACAGGAGAGTCTCAGTGTTTACTGTAGTGTTCATATTAACAGGGTTCCACTGTCCGCAGCTTCAGCCCTCACCTGGCCTAACATTGTGGTTGCTAGGAGGTCATATCGGTATTTCTTGCTCATAAGGTCTGCAGCTCGTAGAAACACCTCCGACCTCTTCTCCAGAGACGTCCTCTCCCATGCTGCTCGGGCTGCAAGGCTCACATCAATGGCCTTCTTTATTTGGTCCTAATTACACAAAATTATGAATGTAATGCTTAAATTGTGTTCACATGCATGTGGTTCTGTGTCTACAAACGTAATGCTTTAGCATGGGCTAACCTCCATAACACTTAGCTAATAACCACTACCAATCAATGTCTTCTGCTTTATTGGCAGGTAATGGGTAGTTTTTCCCTCCATCAACACGTGAGATAAATAAAATATATATAGTTACTAAGGTATTTTTGTCAAGTTGACACTCCACACTACAGTTTTATGTCTCCAAACATGCATATGTGTGATTAAATTAGTCACACATTTGGAGGCATGTTCAGCATTAAACAGGTTCATGAAGGTGCATAAACATGAGACAAGAGTGAGCATAACTTACTGGAGATGCATAATAGTACTTGGCTATCTTCTTTTGGTGATCAAATGGCTGAAAAGAGAAAACTCTATTACCACTGGAAAACCATAAGAACCCCCAAAATGGAGTTCCTTGTAACTATAGCAACCAAATGTGAACAATATTAGAACCAGTTAAATTGCAGCTGGTAACAAAGTCATGAAGGTTCAGAATGTTTTGTCTCCGTATTCCAAGGACACAGACACATTCTCCTTATCCTTACTTATGTCTGGTTCACATTTGGCCGGGGGTCTACAGCGTCGATAAACTTCCCGTAGCTCCATTTCCATGCAATCACAAGCGGCGGCAGCCATACGATTATCACACAATTCTACGGGTGTTGTAGCCTCTGCGGTTTTGCAGCAAAGTTTAAGCCAATAACCCATAGGTCGCATCACACGAAGGCCGCACAGTGATCGCACGAAATTAGTTCCCAAAAAATTGTACAGCCATAACACAATCATTGTGTGCAGTGCATGTGTAGTAGCTACGGAGACTTCACAGGGAAACGCACTATCTTCACACAATCTCCGTATGATTTCTGTGCAGGTGCCATGCAGGTTTGCTTCAGGAAATCACACGATGCCCCTAAACAATGTGAACACAAACGTTGTAGTCCGTGGTCACCAAGGATGCCTAAAAATCATATGGAAAATCGTAGACTACTTAATGTATGGCGCCTGTGGCAAATGTGATCCAGTTCTGACTCTGAGGGTGTGGGTTCGAACCCCCGGATGGGACTCAACCCAAAAAAGTACTAGAATCTGTACTTTACTGAGAAAGTGTAATCCCAAATCTAACATATGTATTGGATATATTTGTTTTGTTTCGCATAAGAATAAATGTGACTTTTTCATGTACACTTTCCCTTTATTGTACTACCCCGCCGCCAAAATACCTTAGTTGTGCGTGTGACGTTAAATAAAGCAAATAACAACAAATCCAAGCTGCGCAAATCTATTCACTGCGCATGCGCCATAAGCGCACTGCGGCGCAGCACAGCTGTTGAAACCACTTTTCACCCCAGCTGGAGTGAATTTAGTGAATCGTTTGAACTCGTTTTTTTCATTGCGTTATTTTTCAACTTTATAAGTTGAATTTGCATTCTTGATAATTTGTTACTGTAAGTCCATACCGAAAGGTAACAGAATCTGCAAAGTTGTGTTTTATGTTGCATGTGTCCTTTAAAAATTAAATATTTCAAACTCTTGTTTAACAACACATCATACAATATTGCAGCAGTCTGTGGAAATCGAACCCGGGACCAGACAATCCAGTGATGTTGGGATGTGATGACATGCATCAAGTCACTAAGCATGACAGCTGTGTCTTATAAGCAAGGGTTGTTGATGACCCAGTCTCAATCAGAAGTCCTGGGGGCTTCAATCACTTTTACGCATGTACATGACATACTGCAAAAGAAATTCTCAGGATTCATCTGACAGGATGGTCATGGACAAATTTTTAAAACATACTTCTCTAATTTAACAGCATCACCTATCAAATAATAACCATAAATCCTAACTATTTCCTGGCTTCCCTGTTGTATTACCTCAACCTGGTACTTCGCTGTTCCCGATCGGATCTCCTCATCTCCGATCACTATTGGAACATCAGCAACTTGTGCACTGTGACGTTTCAATGCCTCATCCAGTTGCTGTTTCTCTGGACTGCCAGGGCCATAGTCGTACATAGGCTCATTCTCAGCTATGAAGGTCTGGAATGCCGGCGTACTGAGGCAGCGAAGGCTCTGGTACGCACTGGTTGGACAAAGAGTAACAATTGATCAGACTTCAAACATTATGACTACGATCACTATTTACCTATATTTAATATATATTTTCAGTAAGGGACTGTTCATAATTTATGGGTAGGGGGAAGGGGTGATGATGATTGTTATGGAGAAGCATGTACAATGTGAACATAACCCCCATAAACGTTATGTACAAAGTAAGTGACCCCCCTGCATGTCATGTACAAAATTAATGACACCCCCATCCCACCCAAGTACATGTGTGGAAGTAACCCATTGCCCGCCGCCCGAGTCCAGTGTTTTTTTCTGTCGGGCAAGCAAATTTGTATATCACACTGTACCGGTGTCCAGTTGATATTCCAATGTTAATTATGTTGATTATTTTAAAAATCAACAAGAAAATGGCCGGTATAGTGGGAAAATTATCAGGGCAAGTGATTTTAAATGTGCCACTGTACCGGAGTACACTAGCAATTTTAAAGTTATTTTCACCCCTGCCCCCTCCTCCACCGAACAAAATGGATGACCCCCCTTAAAATCATCAACATCATCACGCACGCATGCACATACACTTCCTAGCCATGAAATATGAGCAGGCCCTAAGTAACTGAAGTTTTGCTCACTTTAAGCAATAATCCGGCAATGTACAATTGCGCACACCATAAAGCACTTCACATTGTCATGCCATACTTTAAGTGAAGGGTGGCAACTGAAACACTTAATCCAAAAGGCACACAATGCACCACAAGATCTTTTAAAACATTTGTCAGGTTCCATGAAGTTGTGTACTTGACATCATATTTATTATTTTTTATTTTTTTTAATTATACATTTTATTATTTTGTTCTTATACATTTGTTATTTTTGTGTTGTATTTGCTGGTATGACCATTGAGGACCCATGTTGATGATGTGTGGCTTGCTGTTTCACTTTAGTTTCAAGAATGTTAATAATGCAGTTGCCATATCATAATTGTTCAAATTGTCAGATCGAAATCAAATCATCCTAAATTGAATATAAACTAGAAATATCAGTTACCATGGTTACCCACAGCATGCAATCTGGAATTTTGATAAATTTTAATGATTCAAACACACATTTTATTTCATCCCTCAAGATGCAAAATGCAGATGATTCTATCCTAAAATGTCCTAAATTTGTATGCATATAGAGCATTGTAGGACACAGTATGCCCCATACCAGTAAAGCAAAAGCTTTAAATTCACCATGGATTCCAGCCTACATGATTAAGGTGGAAATATGTATGGAAATAGGTAATTCATGTGCACACCACTACATATTCAACCATCATTACTGACGAACTGAATAAACAACGCAGTCCCAGGTGTTACCAAGTTTCTTATAAACGTGACATTGTGACATCAACTAGCTGTTTTGAGGGTCAAGCCAGATTCAAAGTAGTCTTTGCATGGCATGACATGAGCAGGTCACAAACTAGGTGCAAAAATGAATATTGGTTTTGCTAGTTTTTTCAATATATATAGTTCAAATTGCAGGAATTAATGCAACAGTAAGAAATTTCATATGGTTATTCCACAGCTGGTTCAGCCATTGCACCATGTTGTGTTGAAAAACATTCAGCTTGTTCAGTGTACTTGTGGCTATATGATTAAAATCTATTTCATTAATTTTATTCAAAATGTATTTGACTATGCATGTTTTCGTAATTGCATGTATTCATTTTCCACTATCAAGTGCAAGTGAACATAGCACCAACTCCACAGCCACAATTGTACCATAACTCTCAGGTATTATTTATATATATCCCTTATATTAAGTGAGTGAGTTGAGTTTTACGCCGCACTCAGCAATATTCCAGCTATATGGCGGCAGTCTGTAAATAATCAAGTCTGGACCAGACAACCCAGGGATCAACAGCATGAACATCGATCTACGCAAGTGGGATGCGATGACATGTGTCAACCCAGTCAGTGAGCCTGACCACCTGATCCTGTTAGTCGCCTCTTACGACAAGCATGGGTTACTGAAGGTTCATTCTAACCCCCCCTAACTGAAGTGTAGTGGAGGAAGGCCTGGGTTTGATTCTCCACATGGGTACAATGTGTGAAGCCCATTTCTAGTGTCCCCCGCCGTGATATTGCTGGAATATTGCTAAAAGCAGTGTAAAACTCAACTCACTCACTCAAGTTCTTGTTTAGTGCAGTTGAAACAATGACAATCAAGCCAAATAGTAATGGTAAGACTGGTATGAAATTCCACCTACTTTTTACCATGTTTACACTAACTTACAGCAAGCATAATCTTATTACTGAAACAACAAGGATTGATCAGTACAAATATTTGGCCCCAACTCTGCAGGAATTGTCAGTTAATTTTCATAACTTCAAATGAGGTTTTTCACAATTCATGTTATTACAGTTATAACAAATATTTCACTGATATTAAGACCCAAAAAGGATAAGGCATTATTGGATTAGATGTAGACTAACATATATTGTCTCTGAAATGAATATATACTCATGGAAACAAATAAGGGAACACCTGATAGTACAAGTATTCCTTTATTTATTTCCAGGTTTCTTCAGAAGGTTTGTATTGCACTGTGGGTGAAATTCTGGAAAAGAATAAAGCAACACTTGTGCTTTCATGTGTTCCCTTATTCATTTGCATGAGTATATATTTTACAGAAAAATATAATGAAAAGAAACCCAGAGACTTTCTTCTAAACTGTGGAAATCTAGACTTGCCACATATTCTATACTTACATGGGCTTTCCAGGATATATTTGTTTCAGGGTCTGATAGATGAAAATATGGGCTAAAAACACTTCCACTTTGGCACTAAACAATATATTTTAGTCCTATTTAGCAATGATTATAATGAATTGCCTGCCAAGGGCACTTAGTTTAAGGAGGTCATTCACATTGTACATGCTCTTCCATAAAAATCACCATCACCCGCCCTAGCCATAAGTTATGAACGGTCCGTAAACATAATAATGATTCAAAGCCACAATCAGATTTTTCATGCCCATGGGTAACTCTCTATATAGCGGCTTACGGTGCCTGAGATGACTGGGCCATATGTCCTTGATGAAACTTGAAATTCCCACACGTTAAATCACATACATAAGGCGAGATGTCTCGAAACTTCAGAATTTGAGTACTTATGTACTTTTATCCGACATTGATTTAACTTTTGAACTGCTCCCTTCAGAAGTGAATTGTGTTAAATTTGTTGTTAGATTCTGAATGACAGTTATTCATGCAATATCCTGAAGCGTATAAAGTGTGATGCAGATTTGGATTCTAGATACATGTGGAAAACACTTTGATATAGTCTGTCACTTGTCCCATGTTTACAGTGAGAGAGTGAGTTTAGTTTTATGCCACACTCAGCAATATTCCAGCTATATGGTGGCGGTCTGTAAATAATCGAGTCTGGACCAGACAATCCAGTGATCAACAGCATGAGCATCGATCTGCGTAATTGGGAACCAATGACATGTGTCAACAAAGTCAGCGAGCCTGACCACCCAATCCCGTTAGTCGCCTCTTATGACAAGCATGGGTTACTGAAGATCAATATTCTAACCCGGATCTTCACGGGTGCCACATGTTTACAGAGAGCAACACTGATATACGGACACTGCAGCAGAAAAAAATCCACCTTATATATATATATGGAGCACCTTTAGAATACAGCACCACAACTTCTCGTGAGGACGATCTCTGCCGTAGGTCACGTGTCATTAAGTCAAGCAACCAGTTTGTGAGAACCCGTCGGACGCAAACCCGCGACCTTCGGATTGTTAGCTCGACAGCTAACCGACTGAGCTACGTCCACACTGTTGCACAATGTGCAAATTTATCGAGTCATTCCTGTGACGTCACGGAAATGAACGGAAAGCGTCGAATAGGTCACAGCAATTACGAAGGTTACGGGTAGACTTGGTGTCTCGTGATTTTAATCTAGGGACAATTGCCGAATGGACCCGATGCCATTTGGCACACTCGTCCCATTCCGAAATCTACAAGATAACGTGTGGCGTGGAATGAGCCGATATGCCTCAAACTGAAAAGGGTTGTTGACGTCAAGCGTCAGGACGTAGATTTCACGGTGCATGCATGAATGACGCTTTTATATAAATCGGTGATTTTGTGACAGAAAAGTGATGTAGGGAACACTGTAAGGATAATGTGGATCGCACTAAGGAGCGAGGGACACATGAGCATGTGTAGTGACGGCACGAGGGTGAGTTAGCCTTCGAATCATTACTGAACAAATGTTGCGTGTGAAAGAGGCTTGAGTGCAAATTTCAGGCCAATTTCCATTAGCCCAAAATTTCTACATTAAACCATTTCATAGTGTACTTTCGACGTTTTTGGTTTCCCGTTTTTGTGTGAAAAAAAGTATTAAAATGCAAAAGGAACAACAACAATTGGTACTCACGTATTACACCGGACATGTACCTACTATATTGGATGTGGTCCCTAACCCTAAACCCTAAACCCTCAGCCCTAACCCTAACCCTAATCCCTTGAAATAATCCTAATAAATATAATGCATTGACCGAACCGGCAGTATTGAAATGCAAAAGGAAAAACAAAAAATGGTACTCACGTATTACACCGGACATGTACCTACTATATTGGATTAGATCCCTAACCCTAACCCTAAACCCTAAACCCTAAACCTTAAGCCCTAACCCTAACCCTAGCCCTAACCCCTTGAATTAATACTAATAAATAGAATGTATTGACCGAACCGGCACAAACATGACTGACGTGTCCAGTGTAATGCATTATTACCGCTTCGAAATATAAAATACTAATAAAAAACTTTTCTATGTAGAGCTTCAACGAGTCCATTTTCTTGGACTCGAGTACTCGAGGGGTGAGACTCAACTCGGACCCGAGTACTCGAACTTCATACCTTTTAAGCAAACGGTAGCGTAACTTGCATGACATGTGTTCCGATCACACAAGTGAACATTTACTTCATTCCGATATCATATCGTCGTGTGACTAACATTTCCTATTGGTCAGAATCAGTATTTGGATGTTTTCTTGACAAATATTTTTTTTCACCTAACTAGCTGGTTGTACTGCCTGCATAGCGCAGTGATATACCGCACAGGCGGCATTGGGTTATTTTGCTCTTTCCACTATCCAGATCAAGATATGCCTATACTTTTTTTTTTATCTTTCTCCATGTCTATCAATTGGCAAGATAGTTACCTAATCATTTTAAGAAGTGAAATCTCAAACGATGCATAATATTTACTCTCATCTGCAGACTTGTAACAACTAATACCATACAGCCACACCGTGTGAGGAGTAAACTATTTAATCTAGGTGTGAATAAAAGCATTATCATATGGGTTAAAGAATTCAGGGTACATAGAACTCAGTATGTCAGTGTCAATGGCTATTAATCTTCTTTTCTCTCAACCTTTACTGCAGCTCCACAGGGCTGTGTAACTTCATCCGTACTCTTCGTTTTGTATACCATTGACTGTTACTTGTCAATAAATGACTTGTTACTGTGAAATTCGCAGATGACGCCACTGTTACTGGCATAATTTCTGATTCTGAACGTTATTATCGCCAAGGCATTGACAAAACCGTAAAGGTTTTTTATCAAACCTTTATTCAAAGTGTGTTCACCTACAATTTTTTATGTTGGTATGGGGGTATGCCTGATCGCAACAAAAACAAACTTTTCAATATTGTTAATACTGCTTGCAAAATTGCTGGAGTGTCTTTCGAGTATATTCCCTTTATCTATAAGCGCCAGACTGTCAAAAAGGCAACTAAAATTAGATTTGATAGTTAACATATTTTATCTCACCATTTTGAGCTACTTCCTTCTGGACGCTGCTGTCGATTACCTTCCCTCAAAACAAACGGAGTTCGGCGGTCTTTCATACCATCAAGTATTCGTGAATGCAACAAATATTTTGAATCATCATCATATGATTACAACTAGAAATATTCAGCCTCTTTACCTATGTGGTTAATTGAATTATATCATGTCAGTTTTATTGTGCAAATAGCATTCGTTTTGTGCATGTAATTATTGTGCATATTTTTGTGAATTGTGTATATATTCGTTTTGAGACAGTTTGAATGTATAAGAATTTCCTCCGGGATAATAAATCTATATCTTATCTTAATATTAGACTATAACGGCCGCTCATGCTTAGCATATGGGGCTGACAGACAGTCTGTCAGCGTTACCCAATAATTCGACTTGTCTGCCCTTTTCGAGTCCTCGAGTCCTAGAAAATGGACTCGAGTCCAGCTAAACCCGACCCGTCCTCGAGTACTCGAGTACCCGTGGAAGCCCTATTTCTATGTAATGATGCAAATTACTAAATGACAAAAATATATATGTAAATTTAAAAAATACAATAATACACAAAACATAACACCTCAGCACCCCGTAATACAAATAAATATGAGCGTATTAGTGAAAAAAGAAAATATTTCAAACTGGTGCTTGCAAAATATTGCGCATCCGCCGGTATACAACTACTGGAAACTCTCAACATCGTTGGGCTTATGCAATGACATAGCTCGTAGAGATGAAACACCAGTGAGCGGAGCTTATACGCACTCGCTGAGCTAGACAACCGTGTTGCCATGCAGGCGTCATAGGGCATTGTTTCGCGAACCTGCTTTCGAACAAAATCACATTACATTACGTAAAAGGGTATTATGACGTATTTTTAAAGTTTGTGGTGCTGTATTCTAAAGGTAGGCCATTTATATATATATTATATCCACCTTGGATATATTTCTTTACTGCACTACTGCACTAACAATATTACTTATCAATTCATCCTCGAGATTATCAGCTGCAGATAAGGTGAGCTACTGTACCAGTTTTTAATGATTAAGGTTTCATGTTCCAAACGGAGAGCAAACAAAACAATATACAGTATCAGGAGAGGTACCTGGGGTACACATCTGTAGTACCCGTGCCGACAACGACCCCTTCAGCGTGACTACTGTTATATGCAGTTGACCTAACTGAACTGGGAAACCTTTCGGCCTTGAAAGTTGAAACTCGAAGTCACTCGTATATGACTCTTGATAATTGCCTCTGAGTGCTACTGAAAGAGGATCCCTTAATCTATTACTAGAATATTAGCAAACACAGAAATATTCACCATGTTACAGTGAGCTTGCTCCTCTTCAGTAGAAAAGCCATGAGTACTGTTATGATGTGAAGACAATCGTGATCACCTCAAATGTCAGAACGACTGAGCTCCCAAACGAGCATTCAAGGTCTCGGCGTGAGTTCCGCCTTACGTCCACAGATGCTCGTAATACTACGCAAGCAACATAGTCCGACAAAGATATAGTGTCTATTTTATTTTTCAATCCTTCCATTTACGTATTACTATGTGTATTCTAATATAACGTATATTTTCAAAAGAAAGAGTAAAATAAAGCTCTTGTATGTAAGTAAGCGAATTTATATATTCATACACGAACAGTGATCCGGTTCTGGAGGTGTGTAAAGTATTAGCCAATCAAAAGGCGCTTAACATAAAATTCGGTCAACCAACGAAAATGATTTATTCATCAAAACATTGGCAATGTTAACCAATGATTGTTCATGTAACAAGTAAGTTTTGTCTCTGATAATGAATGACAGATTCAGAAGTCACATAATAGTGGAATAGCATCTCCAGCTTCTGTGTGTACACGTTTGTGACAGGTGTCGAATAGTTTCACAACCTGTGTAGGTTACTGTTATTAATTATCAGCTACGTTGTATCTGATTCATGAATGTTATGTTGTCGCTTGTGGACATAATCATTTTTGACAGCCTGAAGATCCGGGTTAGATGGATCAACACCTGCTTGTCAAGTTGTCGTAAGAGGCAAATAACGGGATCGGGTGGTCTGTTGGACCTAGGACGTATTATTTTCAGCAATAAAAGTCCCTGTGGGCTCGCTGACTTGGTTGACACGTGTCATCATATCCCAATTAAATAACTAAATCAATTGTGCAGATCGATGCTCATGCTGTTGATCACTCGATTGTCAGGTACAGATTTGAGTGAGGTGAGGTGAGGTGAAATTGGGTTTAACGTTGTGCTTGAGAATATTTCGCTCATATGACGACGTGCATGCGTGTGTATGTGTATGTGTATGTGTATGTGCGGCTGCTTGTACTAGCCCAGACTGAAGCTGGTTTTATAGTGCTAGCCCACTGAGATACCTTGCCACAGTGAAGCATGAATACCCCACTCAGACACATTATACTGACTCCGAGCCGACCAGTCCTTGTTGTACCCATTAATGCCGAGAGCCAGACAGGGACCAACAAGTGCCATATTTTAACGTCTTTTGGTATGACGCGGTCGGGGATCGAACCTGCGACCTTCTGCTCTCCAGGCGGACGCTCTAACCACTACACCACGGAGGCGGTTCAGATTTGAGTATTTAGACTTAGAACCATATAGCTGGAATATTGCTGTATGTGGTGTTAAACATTAAACAGACAAACATTTTTGATGGAGTCATTCAATTTCCATTATTCCATATTGCATTAAAACAAAGAAGGGACCGTTCATAATTTATGGCTAGGGGTGATGATGATTTAGGGGTGGGGTGTGTGGGTGTGTTCCATCAATTTTGTACACATGTACTAGGGAGGGTCATCAATTTTGTGCATAAAAATATGCTTAGAAATTATGGGTAGGGGAAGGGGTCATTCATTTTTTGTACATGACATGCAGGGGGGGTACTTATTTTGTACATAAATTTTAGGTGGGGTCATTCACATTGTACAAGCGTCTCCATAAAAATCATCATCACCCCCCTAGCCATAAATTATGAACGGTCCCTTAAGTCCTCAGTTTCATTTATCAAAATAATATCAATAGATAAGATGATAAAATTCATTTTACTCTGTTGAGTTCCTACCAAACTAGAATGTGAAAGTTATGTATGTTGTCACAGCCCAGCAAAATGAACCCGTGAAGATCCAGGGTAGAATAGGTCTTCAGCAACCCATGCTTGCCACAAAAGGCAACTATGCTTGTCGTGAGCGGCGACTAACGGGATCGGGTGGTCAGGCTCACTGACTTGGTTTTACACATTTCACCGGTTCCCAAATGGGCAGATCGATGCTCATGCTGTTGATCACTGGATTGTCTGGTCCAGACTCGATTATTTGCAGACCACCGTCATATAGCTGGAATATTGCTGAGTGCGGCGTAAAACTAAACTCACTCACTCACCCAGCAAAATGCATACATAAAGCTGCAAGTGTAAACATGTTGGGTGTTTTTGGTGGTGTTTGTTCTTGTAGCTCTACGTTGAGTCATAATACCTCTGTATCATTGCAGATATTTTGTATCGTAAATATGAAGCCACGTCGTTTGAAGCTAACATGTTGCCCGTGTGACCTGGTATTCGTAAAACTTGTACATCAAACTCTGGAGTGAAAGACGTGAGAAGGATCCCGTTGTTCGTAATTTTGGAGATGTTACCATTGTTTTTAAAAGATATGTGGGGTGAGGTGAGGGTCATGTCGATCAACCAGTCTGGCTGTTTGAAGTCTGCTAGTGACACCTGCTCGTATACGTTGTCTTTTAAGTGCAGGACATACAAGGTGTTTTCCTCGCCGAATGCCGATTTCGCCGGCAGATTTTCCAGGACGTCTACCACGCTGTCGAATTCCCACACCATCTGCAATCCCACGTTTTGCGTCCCGGGTTTGCTCGACAGCATGTGGGCTACTCTTTGCCTCAACGTGCTGACGATCACGCTGTGTCTTTGCGTAGGGACATAAGCCACGAGAAGCATTCCGTTTTTCACGACTTTCGTCAGGTAGTGATCTTTGTGAAAATGTGGGGAGAGTCGAATCCACGCGTGTCCCAGAGGTTGGAGATCGCTATGTTGGCGCATTTTCTAACGTGTGTTCCTTGTCCTTGAGACTCCGTCATTGTCATATGTGCAGCGTCGCGCTGAGATATCCTATACTTACGGGATCGTATTTAATGTCTAAAACTGATATTTTCAATTCCGTGATGTTGCCTCGGATTAATTTCTTGTACTGCCGCGACGAAAATCATTCGGTTCTGCCGTCCTTGTACTTTTCCGTTTTAACTGGCACGGCTCTCAGCAGGGTCGAAGGTCGTTCGCCATGAACGTTGTTGGTCGTGCTCAGCTGATCGAGATGAATGGACAGTTTGCGATACGGAACGAGATCGGGTAATTTCGTGCCGGTCACGGTGGTTTCTGGTGGTATGTCGTTCGATGTAAACCTGAGCGTTTAAGCCAACGGCCATCTGAGTCTCAAGTCGTTTTTTCCGTTGTTGGCTAACATGACCGTGCCGTTCGAGTCGTTCATTTTGAGTTCGGCTCCCACGGGTTTGAAGATTTCTTCGTTGAGCGAGCACACGCTGTAGTAGCCATCTGTTATTTGGTTGTGGGTGTTATTGACGAACAGCCTGTTGTTTCTGCCGTTGATGTTGGTCCATCGTGGGTAGTAGGTGATATCGCAGAGCACGACTTCAAGCTGACCGGACGTGTTATCGATCGCTTGCAGCAGTTGAACGGACTTGCCGCTCGTTATTCCCGGAAGCATCACGTACATATTGAAAAAGTAGATATGTATACTATATATAACCATTCAAATATGTAAAACCGGGAGTGTTTTATTCTAGATGTGATAAGATAAGAGCTACCGATCTCACGCAACCGAGTATTGTGGTCGATGCAAAGGATGGTTTACATTTCATAGTTCAGTTCATCGACGTGTTTTCGGGTTTTATGGGTTTTCGGTCACGAATGTGAAAACGGTACACGCTTGGTTTAACAACCCGATGCAGTTCTGGCAGAATCAATTCAATTTCGCCGTGTGGTGCTGGACCACCGGGTGCAGCGTGACGTTGAACGACACTCGTCATGATGCGCTGAGTCGGTCTGTATTCTCGTTTCACGTGTACAACCAGATCAGACGTATCCTGAAAGAAGTCAGCGCCCTGATTCCGAAGGACAAGGCGTGGAATGCCGTAAACAAAAAACAACATCAATGACCAGACAGCGGGAGTTCTTAATCCTGTTAATCCTATTTCAACTGGCACTAATCTCGTTGGCACTTTTACTGGATGCTGGGATGCTTACCCTGGGCTAGATCTTAACGAACCTAATTTGATGTGTGCTTGGATAATAATAGATGCGTTTACTCTGGGCCATGTCTTAATGACCCTAAATTGGTGTTAATGTTATTGTAATATAGATGATGACATGTTTACTTTATCAAAACAGTTTAATAAACTGTCTCTAGAGGCATAACTTTGTCTTACTGACAGCTTGAGTCCTTGATACCTTAGGCTAGGATTTTATCTTAAACATCTGTGAAATTGTGCAGTCATAACTTATACCTTTTTTAATAGTATGTCTGTGAGATGAGTTTTACTACTTTTGACTGGTGTCTTTCTCTAAGTTATTACTGATACGTGATGAAACTAATATTCTATATTAATATTTTCCTAATATCTGATTCTGAACCATAATATATCGCTTGTAGTGGTTATAATTAATAATGAATTTTCCCATGAATTATTATTCCATGATAACTCACTTAATAATTATGTTTTTAAACATAGGTTGGTTGTAAAGCAACGTATTAACAAAAATACAACCAAATTGTTTCATGTCAAATAAAGTCATTGTCGTTATCCATAATCTCTTCTCTTTGTGTTTGGATTAGTATGTTTGGAGTAGTCCATTAATTAACGAAGGTAACAGTGTAGTGAACCTCAGTGCAACCAACCATAACCTTTATTGTTTTAACGCCTCTGACTTTTGGGACGTCTAACTTTTGGGAGGTCACCATTTCCGCCCTTGAGTGTGAAGCCCATGTCTGGTGTTCCCCTTTGTGATGTTGACTGAATAATGATAAAGGCAGCGGAAAACCATATTCACACACCCACTCACTTAAAACAGCAGAGCTCCAGATAAGATTTAGCTCATGTGGGTACTGTACCCACTGTATTGTTTGGGAGTGGGTATTATGAATGTTGAGTGGGTATTTCATTTTCTGTTACCCACTGCTTTCAAATATGTGCGTATTTCAGTCATTTTACTCACCTAAGTATTATGTCATTGAGTAAGTTTACTAAGCAGGTATGTTCTGCCTTATGTCATACCTAATCAAAACCAACTTTAATATAATGGAAATGATTTCATAAAAGATCACTCATCCTATACTGAAGTACAACACTTGTCCTATACTAACAGTACAACTTGATAGCAATCAATGTCTTTTTCATTACGCAAGTGATTTTTATAAATATATTCTGTACGCATTTGTTTTAAACTTTTTGCATATCCACACATTTTAAATGCATAATTGGTACGCAACAATTATTTTTTCAATGCGTAATTGGAAATTTTCTATGTGTATTTTACCCGGATACGCAGCTTATCTGGGCCTCTGAAACAGTGATTGTTTTCATCAGACAGAAGACGACGAAGCAAGTCCAACGATGCCTGGAGAACAGAGCCTGAAGGCTGCAGTAGAGCCTGCTGTAGATACGGGAGAGCTCCATCTGAAGAAGACTGTATTCCTGGCATACACAGATGTGGCAGCGGTTGGCAGGTTGTGTATATATACACCTCATTTACATCTGGCCATTACTCATATTTCATTTTGTCAGATCGGTTAATGACCTACAGTATATTTATGTGTTATATGAGGTTTACAGATTTATAGTGTAACCAATAGCTTGTGAGGCCCAAATTAAGATAAACATGAATTTGTGAAGCCTAGTATTATTATTGGTTTATTTGAAAAAAATAAATGCTAATGCTTTTTATGGCTTTTGAAAATAAAATTTGTACTTGTGACCTTGCATAAATTTTCCCCAACCCCTATTATTTGTTCTATTTTTAAGCACTCTTTAGAAACAACTTTTCAATTCAATATTTTTGTACCAGATTCAGTTTTTCTGCTGTCTATTGTGCCTGGAGAGCCAAGTGTTGAGGTTCGATCCCCAGCTTTTTTCAAAGAAAGACTTTAAATGTGGTACTTGTTGTTACTGTGCCTGGATCTCAGTGTTAGGAGAATGCAACAAGGACTAGTTGACTTGTTCATTATACCACACAGACAACCATGCACACTCAAATCCATATTGAGCCCCAAGCATCAATACAATTTTCCAGATTGGAATGACAAATCCCTATTTATGTTACCATAAGTAAATAATTTAGGCCAGACCAATGTTATTTCTTGTTTTACAGATCCACCTGTCATATTTTTTCAAGAATAAGAAAAAAAATAAAAATTAATTTTCCCCGCTCATAAAATATAATCCTAATGTTTTTATAGGTCAAAAATGTAAACTTATAAGAAATTTTTTTAGATTGTTTTTGCCCCATATACACTTCATAAATTGCCAAAAGTAAAATACTTTGAGTATTTAGAAAGAATATTACTTTGACTGGAGAGTTTATTTTTATTTTTTTTCCTTCCTGCCTTTAGGTTTTCTGAGGACAAAAATCCGTAAAACAAGAAATAAAATTGGTCTGGCCTTAATTATAACAGTGCTTTGCAAAGGTGACTTGTATTTCAGATGGTTATGAATGAGTGAGTGAGTATGGTTTTATGCCACTTTTAGCAATATTCCAGCAATATCACAGCGAGGGACATCTTCACATATTGTACTTCACGATTGGCGTGACAAGCTAACATCTTAACCACTAGGCTACCCCACCACCCCAGATACTTATAAGAGCGCCAAGAAAGAGGAAAAGACTTTAATGCTTTGTTTTACATTATTTCTCTAATGCTCTAATGCAATACTGAAATACAATGTAACAATACCTCTGAAATTATGAAAAATAGGATACTCCGAAAAAAAGGAACTTTAGAAAAATCCCAGTTGTGAAAAATCTAAGAATTTATTTTTCCAAATTTTGTCTGTCAAGGACACTTTGAATCCCAGATGACCCCTGTGATGAATTTGCTGAGTAACAGATGTAAGAGAGGCGAATGTGCTAACTCAGCATTCCCCATTGGGCATGTTCTCACGTTCATTTCATGTCCATCCATGTTAATGACTGAAGGACCCAGCTGCCTTGTCTGACCCTGGAGAATAAACAGAAACAGGACTTAAAACTCAATTCTAAAATGATTGGGCAAGTCTAGATTGCCTCAGCTCGGTAACACTTGTTCCAGGCTCCTTTTGGATTTTTTGGTTGGGATCAGTGTCCGAAATAGCCATGGCCCGCAAGCCCATGGCTAGTAAAAATCCACTCGGGCCAGTAAATCTCCACAGTCACTGGCCCGACTGGCTTGGTGACTGTTGATGGAGAATAATTCCGTCCAATTATTGGATTAAATATTAAATTGTAGATTAAATGAAGACTAGTTTTTTTGACACAGAAAATGTAAGATTTGTTGCCATCCAAAATAGTCTGGTTCACAGAACCATTTTGATAGACAAGCAATTCAACAAGGTCTAAAGCTTACTCACTCACTCACTCACTCACTCACTCACTCACTCACTCACTCACTCACTCTCACTCACTCACCCACTTTTAAAATTGAAAGTCAAGAGGTCATCACATTTACCCTTAGATATTCAAAAACAGATAGTTAGGTCCCTAGATTTTGATGAACAAGCCCTTAAACCTCTTTAGTTTCTGACACAGTTAATGTGAAATGATTTAGTCCTTTTTCTAGTCGTGCCCTACTTGGAATCAATATGCGCAAAGAGTACTACAGCCTTGACGTTCCTGAGATAGCCAATTGTAGACCAGCATGCGTACGAGATGTGGCCCCTGAAGCTACTGAACAAGACTTCCAGTCAGTCCAAATCCTCAACTGTAAATATGAACAGGTAAAGGGTGAAGGTGACACTGACCTAATATTAGAACTATTTATAAAGTAATCATTTTTTAAAGATAATCATGATATCTCATATCGGGACTTTGTTACATTTATTTTGAATGGCAATTATTTTGTTAGTTAAAGCTGGGTTTATGAGTATTGTGTGAGTTGAATATGCAGCTTCATTTGAATACAGTTCTAAATTTTCCTAGTCATGTTCTGCAGAAACATGTTCAGTAATGCCTTAACAAGAGTTTCCAATTGATTCGAAGGTACCTTTTTGTAAGCCATAAGATTTGAGAAAATGTGTTTTATAGGATTTAATGATCTTTTGTACAGGATGCTGAGGAGGTAAACAATTATTGTTATTTTGTCACACTTTTACACAGTTTGTTTTATATGGAACTTGTCACAGTAACACCCTGTAGACACTAATTCAATGCCAAGTCACCAAGCATGATATGCCAGTTACGTTTAGTCAATTCTTCGAAAGCCACTCAATCAGTTTAGTTTCTTAAACTTCTTCAAAAGCCACTCACTCACTCACTCACTCTCAGTATGTTTAGTCAATTCTTCAAAAGCCACTCACTCACTCAGTTAAGTTTCTTAAATTCTTCAAATGCCCCTCACTCAGTTAAGTTTCTTAAAATTCTTCAAAAGCCACTCACTCCCTCAGTTAAGTTTCTTAAAATTCTTCAAAAGCCACTCACTCACTCGGTTAAGTTTCTTAAAATTCTTCAAAAGCCACTCACTCCCTCAGTTAAGTTTCTTAAAATTCGTCAAAAGACACTCACTCACTCAGTTAAGTTTCTTAAAATTCTTCAAAAGACACTCACTCAGTTAAGTTTCTTAAAATTCTTCAAACGACACTCACTCACTCACTCAACCTCTTGACCACTCAACCACCCATCCACTCATGGTATATATTAAGGTTAATCCTTTCAACATCGAAAATACAATTTCTTTTCAAATATTATTTTTCAGAAATGTATTTTAATTTATCGTCATGCTCATAATTGCTGACACAAATATACAAATTTAAACACAGATCTCGGAGACAAGAATATTGAAATTGGTTTGTGCTAATTTAACGGCCTTATACAGGTTCCTATATGAAACACATTCCACTATCAATCAAGTAATTCAGTTAAACTCATGAAAAATTACATTATTGTGTTTACTATGGCCTTAACCTCTGTATGTTTGAAAATATCAGGATATTTTTGGATAATAATGTTCATTTTCCCATCTAGTATTAATGTGGTTCAGTTGTTCCTTATTTAATGACACACCAACTGTTTGAAATCACCCACCCTCTTTACAACACCTTATGATGAAATTAATTCAGCAGGCTAAAGCTTTAAAAAAGATTAGTAAAACTTCATAATAAAGAAGTTGACATCAATAAAACTATCTTCCTTATCAGTAAGACTGTAACGTGAATCGCACTGACACTGGATTATATACTGCCACACCAGCTGCTAGCCTGGCCACATGTTTCCTGCTCCTGTACGTAATGCATTGCAGTGTGTTGTGAGTACATGAATAATGTAGATGTTTCCAGACTGGCACCAAGTGTAAAAATCTAATGGATTATGGCTGTTTAACTCCCATATTTCTCGTTTTAAAATTGTGGTTATCACATTCATAGTTAATTGTTTTGTTGCATTTTTTCTGAATATTGTAACCTAGAAACACATGCCAGACAATTCCACTGACTAAGGCTTATAGACTATTAGCAATGGTTGCTTGAAAATAGATAATGATAACATGTTATCAGTGTTGTAAACTCCCCAAAATTTCGGCCAGACAACTGGTCTGGTAACTCTCAAAAGTTACCAGACCGGCTGGAAAGTTGCCAGTCCAGAATTTTCTGGATTAAGAAAAACAGAAAGAAGGTTACGTTAATAAGAGGAGGGATCTGTTTAATGTCAGGTTATTGTCACAATAACACACGTTTTCAAATGTTTTTTAGTCAAGGCTTTGGTCATTATATACATTACAAAATTACACTGATTTAACATCCAGACCATCGGGCGTGCAACATTTTTAAACTGACCGTCCGGTCGCAAAACAGACCGTCCCGGACAGTCATGCAGGCGGGGGGTTTGCAACGCTGATGTTATGATGGAGGTGTTAGTTCCTGTGATCAGCATGATGAGTTGGATACTGTTTACCAGTCATGTCTTTGAATGGCATTTAAGAGTGATACACATTAGGAAGAGAGTTTTATGGATGTCAACTTCTTTAGTATGAGGAACACAATGACCCATCTCCCCCTCTCCCCAATTTTTAGCATATTTATCCCCTCCAACGTTTTTATGGGTATTAAATGGACTCCGTCCGTGCACATTTGTCTTTTCCGGAGCAGAACTCTAAAAACGTTCAATGTTTCTTCACCAAACTTGGCACATAGATTGGTCTGGTGGTGTACTGGTGCCTTTTGGTAGTTTTGGATTTCTGAATAAAATATTTTTGGCATTTCCATGGCAACAAGTTTGACTTAGACTGAAATTGGTGATAGTGCTCCTTTCTGGAGCAGAACTTTAAAAACCTTTCAATACTCTCCTTCCACTTTTCTATATACACACCTAAATATTTGACATAATCATAACTCGTAGACATAATCATGAAGAGTATTTTGCCATTGCGGGGGATATTGATGACTTTGTCTTCTTGTTTATTAATAGTTTTATGTACAAAATTGCTGGCCCCCTAGTACATGAGTACAAAATTAATGACCCCCCTAGCTTCCCAGAACTAAATGGGTGACCCCCCTATAAATGATCATCCTCCCCCATAACAATACATTATAATCAGTCCCTTATGTTTAGCCAGTGTTCATATCAATCCAGTTTAAACAAGTCCAAGTTTTTCTAAATTGTGTGATGAGTATTACTTGAAAGTTAATGGATGAGAAAGTAGTCAACAGGTTATTGATAAAACCTTCTATTATTCTTCTGAAATGGCCAAATTAAATGTAGTGAGTGAGTGATTTTAGTTTTATGCCACACTCAGCAATATTCCAGCTATATGGTGGCGGTCTATAAATAATCGAGCATTGGCGGATCCAGAGGGGGGTTCAGGGGGTACAAACTCCCCCCCCCCCTTTTGAAAATGACTTAAGACCACATTGAAGTTAATATGTTGCATTGCATTTTGTCATCATTTCACTGTTTTTGTGCAACAGTAAAATCACTAATTCGAACAATTTTGATTGGTACCTGGAAATTGTCATTAGCATTTTTTAAATATTTCTCCAGATTTTATTTGTGAATATTCTGCCAATTTCTGATATCTCCATTATCACAGGAGTCTATTACATGAGGAGACTTTTCAGACCCTCATTTCAGAATATACAGCTCATTGTGACAAATAAATCATATAAATTTACTGCAGGCCATTGGGACCATACAAGTATGAAACTACAAGCCCAACATGATATCTACCTGCCACTGTCCTGTGGGCTATCATTTTCTCAAACACTGACATCAGATGTACATGCATGAATCAGTGATTGAATATGTGATCTTGGGTTGTTATTACAGTTCAGGTTCCAAATAAAACTGTTTTAATAGTTGAGATTAGTTGAGCATGACAACACCTTGAGTCTAGCGTGTGAACTGATTCTGCAGTGATCATTTCCTGTCATAACCATTGCAGTGTTGAGTTTAATGGTTCACTTTGCCACCAGTAGTTATGAATTTTTCTCAGCTGACTTCTGCGGCATGCCTTGAAGAACTAGATTTGTTCACAGATACAGATGATATTTGTTTTGGGGGATTCTGGAGATGCTGTTTGATGCCGCTTTCAGTAGATGCTAATTAAAGCAGTAACTTTTCATAATTTTGTTATAAAACATCTCAGATAAGTCTGACCAATCTTGTTTTGCTGGTTTTCAGGGTAGAGGACAGATGAGGGTTGAGTGTTGCATGCTTGTCTTAAGATGACAATATTATAATAAATTGAGATTTCACTTTTCTAGAGATCATATTCAATCCAAACTAAGCACTCTGTCACAACCCTAACAAAATATATACCAGATATTTTTTCTGCCTGACTGAAAGATATAATATTATTCTATGACACATAAAACGATTGGTCTGACCTTGAGATTGCTAATATTTTCAGGTAGGTTTCGCAGTTAGATTCTTAGTGCAGTGACTGAGTTGTTTATTTGTCAGTATGATTCACAACAACAGAACACTACCTGTGGAACTCATTATTAAACAAATACACTTATTTTGTAGTACCGGGATTTTCCGGAAAGCCACCCACTCAATAATTCGCCCATGGGCGCTTATTTTAGGTGGGCGATTATATGGGGTTAAAACTTATTTTTTCATTACTGCTATTTAGAAATATAATTCACAGTAAACGTCGTTATTTATATGTCAGAGGTCATTGTAGATGAATATAAACGTGTAGGAAAATAAATTTAATAACACTTTTGCACAGGATATCGTGTCCGTTTTGACACACAGATTTTACACTAATGGTTAAAATAGCCTGATTTAAGTGAAAAATCTTCATTTACATTACATTATCTAACGTTATTGTTACGTCATTTATGTTCATGCATTTAGAGGCACACCGTTTCAAAGCGACATTAAAACTTACCGGTATGATGTTTTGATGACCTAGAAAGATGGTGGCTTTCAATAAGCACATTTTTGTGTTTGACATAATAGCCTGCTAACTTGTTCATGGTTATTGTCAGATTTGACATTATTCATGTTATAGAACTTGTTCAGTTATTAAATTTCCTTACAGTTAAACCTGGAAAACTCCATTATTTTGATATTTTGTTCAGTGTGATGCAACAATGTTGTCCAAGTAGAAACCTGGTCAGCTATATCACCCTATGTTATCCTTAGTTCTTTATAATTATAAGCATGATACGCTTTCTATGATCTTCAAGGTAACTTGGTTTAACTGTCTTGGTATGTGTATTTCAGAGTACAGTAATTGTACAGACTATCTTGAAGTCTTCCAGTCAATTTTTAGGTTGTTTCATGTCAATGATCCTTGGTCATCCAGGGCCACATTTGACAGTGCCAACTTTACATTAATATCTCATAGTGTTTTACCACATAACTGCCATAAATGGGAACAAATATTCAAAGATATTGATTTTGAATGGCCCTTGATCTTTAATCTATATACAATGTGTGAAGCCCATTTCTGGTGTCTCCCGCCGTGATAATGCTGGAATATTGCTAAAAGCGGCGTAAAACTCACTCACTCACTCACTCACTTTAATCTATATAGAAAAAATATAAAAGATGCTAAGCTTTTAGATTTTCAATTTAAATTCTTGCAGGGAATTGTTTATACCAAAAAAGAACTTTTAAAGATGAAACTGGTTGACAATTTAATATGTACTTTCTGTAATGAAGCAGATGAAAACATATGTCATATATATTGGGAATGTGAGGAAACAAAAACATTTGGGAATTAACTTCAAATTTGGATCAATCAAAACATACAGGAATTGCGGTTTACAAAATTTCACGTTTGGTTTGGTACTGTAAGTACTAACCCACAACATTGTCATACAATACTTTCTGCTACAAGACGCATCTATATTTGAACCCTGAAAAAAATAATTCCAAGCTTAGAAAACTTTATAAAGATTTTAAAAGACATATTCATGGTCGAAAAATTTATATCCAAAAGAAACAATGTTTTTGATAAATTCTCCCAATGGTTTCCTCTGTTCCCATTATTTGATCCAGAATGACCATTGTTAACCCCTGAAACTCAATGTGCAATATTTACATATATTTGATCTTTCAGCAATGTATATTCACATAAAGCTACACATGTACTCAAATTTGTATTGATGGGAACAATAAAAAAAAAAATTAATTTTTTTTAAAAACATTTTGACATTAATACAATCGTAACACCCATACTTTAACATAGTTATAATGATCTCAGTGCTGATATCAGTTGGTGGAAAGTAAGTGTCCCTACCTGTTCCTTTTAATGCTCAGAAATGACCTTGAATAATGGTTATCATTTATTAAGGAATATATATTCACTGGATTAATTGTCATGGTGGTAAAAGTTGTTGAATGACCCAGGGTTTAATCTCAACTTGTTCACCAACTAAGAAAACACATTAATTTTATGGTGTATTTATATCACCCTGAGTTTTACTTTAATAAATGTCACATGACTGTCACATGATGCTATATTTTCAGTTCTCTGTGGTAGTGGTCAACACTCACCTGCCTGGTGACAAGTGCCACTATGTTGCAAGAAAAATAATGAACCTCTGTATAGAAGGGTGAGTGAGATGTTAGTGATCAAATCTTTGTATAGAAGGGTGAGTGAGGCGTTAGTGATCAAATTTCTGTATAGAAGGGTGAGTGAGGCGTTAGTGATCAAATCTCTGTATAGAAGGGTGAGTGAGATTTTAGTGATCAAACCTCAGTATAGAAGGGTGAGTGAGATGTTAGTGATCAAATCTTTGTATAGAAGGGTGAGTGAGGCGTTAGTGATCAAATCTCTGTATAGAAGGGTGAGTGAGGCGTTAGTGATCAAATCTCTGTATAGAAGGGTGAGTGAGGCGTTAGTGATCAAATCTTTGTATAGAAGGGTGAGTGAGGCGTTAGTGATCAAATCTCTGTATAGAAGGGTGAGTGAGATGTTTGTGATCAAATCTCAGTATAGAAGGGCGAGTGAGACGTTTGTGATCAAATCTCTGTACCAAGGGATGACAGAGATCCTATTTGAGGATAGAAGGGTGTTGGAGATCTTATCAGCCAACTTCATGCCAGTTCCTTCTCTTCCAAAGCTTTTGCCCCTTATTACCTGGCATATTAGTCAAAGCACCAGTAAACCCAATTCACTCACTGTAGGCCAAATGCTTTTTGCTGGACAGTACACAGTGGGCCTTCATTGGAACTGTTACAAAGGTAAATAATCATGGTGTATATATTCTCCATAGTTTGTTTCAGTAATGTGGAGAAGATAATACTCCTGACCAGCCTCCATGTTGACATAGAACACAACCCAGACCATCCCATGCTGGAGAATACATTCAACACATCACCAGGTAAGTGCAGTCTCTGTGTTGTAGCCAAATCGTCTTGAATGACCGGTATGCTTGCACTGGATCATGCAGAGGGCTTCAGTTTCGGCAGTGACCTCCCATTGTTCTGCTGTGCTATTCAGCCTTGACATGTTTGACTTCCATAAGGAGTGTGTTAGGTCTGTGCTGTAAGTACAGCAGAAGAGAATCGCGAACAAGTATATACAAGTATAGGCTCTGTAGCTCACCTGTACAAGGAACTAGTGGTGGCCATGTTTAAAAACTGGTTAGAATTCTGTATGAATCATTTGTAAAAAATCTTATCATATGTTATCCTGCAGGTCATACTTGCTGTATAACAGATGTCATTAATCATACATTTTGAGATGACTGCCAAATAGCCATTTTCAATATGGCCAATGTGGTTGTAAGCCAAACAGCAATTCTGCGATCAAGTTTTATGGACACATTTGCTTGAATTATGCATACATAATTTCACCTGGATGGGCCATAGTTTCAGAGATGTCATAAAAGTAAAGTAAGGGACAAAACATGACAACGATTACTTGAGTTACAGTCAAGTGAAAAAACATCATTTTGTAACCAAGACATTTTCTGTTGTAGTGACGTCGCATCCCTCTCTTCCCTGTTGTACAAAGATCTGCGATCCATTCCTCTGTACCATGATACAGATGATACAGGTGACTGTCATTGCAATACATTCAACTCACAACACTTTCAAAGGACATCTCTTTTTTACAGAGCTTTGACCACCTCTAAATATTGATTCTGAAATATGTGACAATTCAGCTTTATTCAGAAAACGGACCAAAATCCTTTAATGTGAGAAGGAATGTTTGTTTAAAAGTCTTTGCTCTCATATAGGAAGGAAAATAATCGTGCTGTATAATTTAATGTACTGGTTAAACTGAGATATTGGAATTCATTCTGAACCTAAACGTGAGTGAAGTGTAAGTAAGGGTTTGAACAACTGTGCAATGCATAATTATACCCAACTCACTGCCTGTAATAATGAATCTTAATGAACATAAGACAGTGTTGGTTTTCAGATATGTATTGTTTTGCAACATACTCAACAATATTCCAGCTGTATTGTTATAATGTCATAACCATACAGTCCAATGACTGACATCATGAGCATCAAGCCACACTCATAAGAAACGAAGACAGTGAAAATTTAGACATAGTTAAGATTGTTATGTTTTGATTCAAGCATCCAGTGATTGATAATATAATCCACTATATATTGGCAGTGTGTAAATCATGTCATGACCATACATTCCAGTGATTGACGTCATGAGCATTAAGTCATGCTCATAGGTAACAGGTGAGGTGAGGTGAAATTGGATTTAACATCGTGCTTGAGAATATTTCGCTCATATGACGACATGCATGCGTGTGTATGTGTATGTGCGGTACTAACCCAGACTTAAGCTGGTTTTATAGTGCTAGCCCACTGAGATACCATGCAGCAGTGAAGCATGAATACCCCACTCAGACACATTATACTGACTCCGGGCCGACCAGTCCTTGTTGTACCCATTAATGCCGAGCGCCAGGCAGGGACCAACAAGTACCATATTTTAACATCTTTGGGTATGACGTGGTCGGGGATCGAACCCATAGGAAACAGGGGCAGTAGAGTAGCCTAGTGGTTAAAGTGTCTACTCGTCACGCCGAAGACCCGGGTTCGATTCCCTTACATGGGTACAATGTGTGAAACCCATTTCTGATGTCCCTTGCCTAGACATTGCTGGAATATTGCAAAAGGCTGCGTAAAACCATACTCACTCATAGTAAACGATAGCAGTGGAAATCACAACATATTTCTTATTGATATGTTTTAATCCCAGCTGCAGTGTTCCAAGTTTAAAGCCAACCTCTGAAACAGTACGGCTGCAGGAAGCTAGTCTGTAATTAACTAAGTCTGGACCAGCCAATCCAGTGATTGATATTATGAGCAGTGATCTCAAGCCATTTCAGATCGAGGGGATGGCCTGTAACTGTCTCATCATTCCTGGATACCGGGTCTCATCAGGGAAAGCCAACACTGAGGACGGAACTCACCAGGTACATCAACACCATCCTCTTGCATCAGGGCTCATTTATAGGTGGCGTCGTGTTAATGTTAACAGAAAGAGAAGGTTGTCATGTGTGTTACTTCTAGCACCTTCCTCTCACTGAAAGCATATCACCACTTTTCCCACCATATATATTTTGGCCTTGGGGAGTGAGTGTGTATGGTTTTACGCTGCTTTTAGCAATATTCCAGCAACATCATGACTAGGGACAGCAGAAATGGGCTACACACATTGTACCCATGTGGGGAATCGAACCTGGGCCTTCGGCGTGATGAGCTAACTCTTTAACCACTAGGCTACCCCACCACCCCATTTTGGCCTTGGATACAAGGATGTACTTGTTGAGAGTTTAAATCCTAGACCTCTCAGATATGTATTACTTTGACCTTTTCTTCCCGAAATAACAGTGTTGTAATAAGAACTGTTCTTGACCACTCGCCCATTTCTAAAGTTCAACGATATGTCTTTGTTTCCAGATGATCTGTCTGTTCCAACAAACACTAGAGGACCTCACGAACCTCCGCTTTGACAGACAGCTGAGTCTAAATATGGTGACTGATTAATCTGTATTATTTGTAAAACAAAGGATGAGAATAAATACCAGAGGGAGATGGCCTATCTATTCCAGGGTGGGAGATGGCCCTATCTATTCCAGGGAGGGAGATGGTCCTATCTATTCCAGGGAGGGAGAGGGCCCTATCTATTCCAGGGTGGGAGATGGTCCTATCTATTCCAGGGTGGGAGATGGCCCTATCTATTCCAGGGTGGGAGATGGTCCTATGGCCCTGGGAGATCCTATCTATTCCAGGGTGGGAGATGGTCCTATCTATTCCAGGGTGGGAGATGGTCCTATCTATTCCAGGGTGGGAGATGGCCCTATCTATTCCAGGGTGGGAGATGGCCCTATCTATTCCAGGGTGGGAGATGGCCCTATCTATTCCAGGGTGGGAGATGGTCCTATCTATTCCATCTATTCCAGGGGAGATGGCCCTATCTATTCCCTGGGAGATCTATTCAGGGAGGGAGGGTCCTATCTATTGGGAGATGGTCCTATCTATTCCAGGGTGGGAGATGGTCCTATCTATTCCAGGGTGGGAGATGGTCCTATCTATCTATTCCAGGGTGGGAGATGGTCCTATCTATTCCAGGGGGAGATGGTCCTATCTATCTATTCCAGGGTGGGAGATGGTCCTATCTATTCCAGGGTGGGGCCCTATCTATTCCAGGGTGGGAGATGGTCCTATCTATTCCAGGGTGGGAGATGGTCCTATCTATTCCAGGGAGGAGATGGCCCTATCTATTCCAGGGTGGGAGATGGCCCTATCTATTCCAGGGTGGGAGATGGTCCTATCTATTCCAGGGTGGGAGATGGCCCTATCTATTCCAGGGTGGGAGATGGCCCTATCTATTCCAGATGGTCCTATCTATTCCAGGGTGGGAGATGGCCCTATCTATTCCAGGGAGGGAGAGGGCCCTATCTATTCCAGGGTGGGAGAGGGCCCTATCTATTCCAGGGTGGGAGATGGTCCTATCTATTCCAGGGTGGGAGATGGCCCTATCTATTCCAGGGTGGGAGATGGCCCTATCTATTCCAGGGTGGGAGATGGTCCTATCTATTCCAGATGGTCCTATCTATTCCAGGGTGGGAGATGGCCCTATCTATTCCAGGGAGATGGAGATGGCCCTATCTATTCCAGGGTGGGGAGATGGTCCTATCTATTCCAGGGTGGGAGATGGCCCTATCTATTCCAGGGTGGAGATGGTCCTATCTATTCCAGGGAGGGTGGGAGATGGCCCTCCAGGGAGGGAGATCTATTCCAGGGTGGGAGATGGCCCTATCTATTCCAGGGAGGGAGATGGCCCCCAGGGAGGGAGATCTATTCCAGGGTGGGAGATGGCCCTATCTATTCCAGGGTGGGAGATGGCCCTATCTATTCCAGGGAGGGAGATGGTCCTATCTATTCCAGGATGGGAGATGGCCCTATCTATTCCAGGGTGGGAGATGGCCCTATCTATTCCAGGGTGGGAGATGGCCCTATGTATTCCAGGGTGGGTGATGGTCTTATCTATTTATGAAACATTTAAGTGAATTATGACAAATACATCTGTATGTGGTTGTTTCAGCATATTGGTTTAAACCTTTTGAAAGCTATATTTTTTCTGCTCCTGTAATCACAGAAGTTGTTAACCAGAATGGTTCAGCTTCAGATCATGTTAGTTGAAGTTTTATGAACTTGTCTGAAGAGTAATAAGGTTTTAAACTAGTTTTTCAAATATTTTAAGCCAGTGACTTAAATGTTCATATACAATTTCAGCTGTATCGAGATTCCCCTGACAACGAAGACGACATGGTTTCCCTGATGTATGTCTGAATGCTGTTGCATTATGGAGCAATTGATACTGATGATGATGATGAGCACTGGCTGAAACCAGTCTACAACTTGATTCAGTGGGTAGAATTAGTGTCTGCACAGCAAAGTGGCTGCATGTATTCATGGAGGGAAGAACAAGATGGACACAAAATTTGTAAAGTGGATGAGTACAGCAGGAGCTATTTCAAATGATCACAGACTTCGTCATGGAAGATTCAAACAGATGCGACAGTTATGAAGGGCAGATAAACGATATAAATATTTAACATTTATCCTGTAGGAATCATTTAGAAGTAGACAACTCAACAGAACTTTGTTCAAACTTCTAAAATCCAGTAGTGTTCAGTTTGACTGACTCTATAGGCTTTCTGACATCTTTTGTCTCTAAAATTCCAAATTCTCACAAAAAAGGTAAATGGTCTTTCTATAGCATTATGGTTGAATGCTTTTTTGCAGCAGTTTGAAAAAGATTTTAGACGTCCATTTTTACACATTACACATTAACGTCATCAAGCCACCTTGGTATTTCTTAACAAGGGGCTTGTTGTGTACACAGATGATTGACCTCTCTGGAATGGGGTATAAAATATTATTGCACTTATATAGCACTAATATATGAGGTGGGGAGAGGTGAAATTGGGTTTAATGTCGTGCTTGAGAATATTTCGCTCATATGACGACGTACATGCGTGTGTATGTGTCGGTGTGGCTGCTTGAACGAGCCCAGATTTAAGCTGGTTTTATAGTGCTAGCCCACTGAGATACCATGCTGCAGTGAAGCATGAATGCCCCACTCAGACACATTATACTGACTCCGAGCCTTGTTGTACCCATTAATGCCGAGCACCAGGCAGGTAGCAACAAGTACCATATGTTGACGTCTTTTGGTAGGACGGGGTCGGGGATCGAACCCGCAACCTTCCGCTCTCCAGGCGGACGCTCTAACCACTACACCACTGACTCCAAGCCTTGTTGTACCCATTAATGCCGAGCGCCAGGCAGGTAGCAACAAGTACCATATGTTAACGTCTTTTGGTATGACGTGGTCAGGGATCGAACCCGCGACCTTTCGCTCTCCAGGCGGACGCTCTAGCCACTACACCACGGAAGCAGTTTCACTAATATATGAATTCACGTGTGCAGGTGTGTGGCTGCTTGTCTGGACAAATGTCAGTTTCACAATGCCACTGTGTATGTATACCCCACTCAGACAGAGACAACCACCCCCTGAATTGTCTCCTTAATGCTGAATAGCAGCCAGGGTAAAAACAACTACCATGTATTGAGAAATTCATCCCAGTGAGTGAGTGAGTTAAAATTTAATATTCCACATCACATTACACGGCAATATTTCAGCCATATCGTGACAATCATCCCAGTGCATCAGGGAGAAAATGTTAGTTGTCACAGAAATATTAGCCATAAATGATTGGCTCCCCAGGATCTTCTTCCTCGACAAAGTAAACGATTACCACTGAAATAACAACACCAAAATGAGTATTTTCTCTGTTTATTGTTTTGTCATTCTGCATATGAAAACAAACAACTAGTGTGAACCTCATTAAAAATGCATAACAGATGAGTCGAGCATCAACAACCTCAACGTGAGCGAAGAAAATGAGACTGTACATAATGTTTTGATTTACTGGGTTATTAAACTTGCATATACATCAGCATGGTTGTCATGTCTTGGTTGAACTGCTTGTTTACTTACTTGTAGACACGACTGAACTGACTTGTTATCAAAGCCCCTTGAAAAGGTCTCATGTATTTTTGCCTGCTAGTAAGTAAGTATGGTCATATAGCATGTGCAGTATTCTGGCAATATTATGTTGGTAAACACCAGAAACAGGCTTCACACATATTGTCCATTAGTGAAATGAAACCTTTGAGTTTGTTGTGACTGGCAAACATTCTTGAAAACCAATAAGGACTTCATACAACGGGATGCAAATTTTCATCAGAATGAAACACCGTAACCAAGTGACTTGCTTGTCACATTTTTCACAGTACCAGGTCATCATCAGATCAGGTAGAAGAAACGTTTTCTTTAATAGAGGAAATTAAAGTGCTATCATCTCCATCATATTGGAATCATCAAGGTCACAACTGTGGATTGACTGTTTTTGTATGATACTTCAGTAGCAGCGATTGTGAACAACAGATCCCCAGTTTAGTGAGTGAGTGAGTGTGGTTTTACGCCGCTTTTAGCAATATTCCAGCAATATCACGGCTGAGGACACCAGAAATGGGCTTCACACAATGTACCCATGTGGGGATTCGAACCCGGGTCTTCGGCGTGACGAGCCAACGCTTTAACCACTAGGCTACCCCACCGCCCCTACGGTAACTAGAGGAAGCAACTGGTGCACTTGAATTGTGTATACTGGTACTCACTTTTATTAACTTTATATGAAGCATAGCATGATGGGATCCAAGCAACCAATCACACACATACAGGTACCATGCTCAGAGTGAGTTTAGTTTTACCCCGCTTTTAGCAAGGTTCCAACAATATCACACAGGGGGACACGAGAAATGGGCTTCACACATAGTACCCAGTTGGGGAATCGAACCTGGGTCTTTGGTGTAACGAGCGAACACTAAAATCACTAGGCTACCATACCACCCCTCCCACACTCCGGATGCGCCCATCAAATGTTGAGCAGTATATAAAAAAATAATAAATCTTTGAAGCTTAATTTTATAGCCTGAGGTATCAGAAAACCACAGTACTGAGAAATAGTTACTGCTTCAGTGGGGAGTACTATATTCTCCAAAAGCCTCCAGGATTAGAAAATGGACAGAGGAAGGTGCTTGCAACCATGGGCATGATGAACTAAACCTAGAACCACTCCCCCACCCCATTACCTTGTACATTAATACAGCATATAAACTGAAGGACATCAGATACACATTGTCTTCGTCAGGAGCTGTTACACAACATGTCTTGGGTTATGGGGGGTAATAATGTCCATCCTGTTGCATTGGCTTAGAGCATGTCCCTGAGGCGTGGAGTTCAGCACTATATCAGTGATTATTATTTTTATTAGTTTGTCTTCCAGCAGTTTCATGACTTCGGTTGATAGTAAGAGAGGTGATCATATGATATATTCTTTCAACATATTGACCTAGGCCTAGATTTTCAAAGCTCTCTTAGCGCGAAGATAGTCGTAAGTGCCATACATTAACATTAACTTACGACTATCTTAGCGCTAAGAGAGCTTCGAAAATCTAGGCCCTGAGCACAGTGAATACAAAATCATCTGAGGCTATGAAAGTACATTGATTTGGTGGCAAGATTAAATGCAGACTTGTCACTGTGCAATATCACTCATGTCATGTCACCAAATAGTTTAAAGAAATTAGCTTTGACCCCCAGCTTTTGAGACAGTAACAATTGACAACACATATAGAACGTTCAAAATTCAGTTTACTAGGCCAAAAGATGTTTTACAAGATTGGACTGACTGACTGAGTTTGGTTTTACGCCGCTTTTAGCAATATTCCAGCAACATCACGGCGGGGGACACCAGAAATGGGCTTCACACATTGTACCCATGTGGGGATTCGAACCCAGGTCTTCGGCGTGACGAGCCAACGCTTTAACCACTAGGCTACCCCACCGCCCTACAAGATTGGAGCTCAGGCTTACTTCTAGAATCATGGACTGATATTGTACCAGAGAATAAATTCATTCATGAAAGGAGCAATGAGAGTTTCAATATGTATGACAAAATTAATTCAACACAGAAATTTATTCAGCCCAGGTTGTTGTGAGATTCTCGCTGATTAATTCTGATATTTACAGGGCAAATGTTGCATCACTGACACGCAGTTGTTTAAACATGTAACACTGATCAACAAATAAGGTTTTAATTTAAAATTAGATACAAAAATAGTTTAACAATACCTTTAACCATACTACATTCAGAAAAAAATAGTCAACGAAATTAACTTATGAATTTGTTTCATTTTAAATAACAGGTCACATAAGTTAAATTTACTCCAATAACCACTGATGTTTCAATGCATGACAGTTCATATGAACATGCAACTAAAGGAACACAAGTTCAGATATCAAGAGATGCCAACCCTAATTTAGCCCAATTAATAATCTGGCCGAAAACTGATGCAAAACTTGGCGTTTCTTGGCAAAAATTAGTATTAACATTTCCAAAGAATTTTCATATTTAATAAAAAAATACATAGATATTCTAGGAACTTGTTATTAACATTGTACTCGCATAAATCAGTAGTAAGTATCCACATATGGCTTGTACTGAATAAAATGTAGTTGGAATTTATTGTGTATGGTACTTATGCTATTTGATAATTTAATTTATATTATGTTTTGAAAAATGCGTTTATTTTCACTGCTATCGTAGTCGCGTATTCTGTGTTGTAAAGAATACGATAAAATCGTGTGGGTTGGTATCTCTGGATATCTCTGTGGCCCTGGCTAGATCTACCTCACGTTGCACGAGTATTTATTTATCATTGCAAACACTGTTTATTTCCAGCAAGGTGGCAATATTCTACAGTTCCTGTATCTCAGAATTCTGAGTATCATGCTATCCTCACATTCCAGGGGATGTTATTTTAATGTTATTCAGATTAACATCGTGGTATGTTTAGAAATTGACTATTTGATTTCAATGAGGGAGAGGGGAGGTTGGAATTTTGTTAACAACAGACACAATCATTTGTTATTTGGTCAAACCAAAGAACTACTTGTTGTACATTTTGGATATTCTGAATTGTTTTTTAACTGTTTCATTCCTCCTTCCCCAGAGAAATTCCACCTATGCCTGATTCCTACCCTCCACCTCTTTACCTCATTCGTGTCATAATCCCTAACTCTTCGTGTCGATCCCTACCTACTCCCCAAATTCCCTGCCCTCCACCCTATCTGTACCCTCATTCCCTATCCCTACGCCCCACCCTCCATCCCAATGCCCCATCCATCCCTTTACCCCATTCGCAATCCTAATCCCTGACTCTACCCACGATCCCTACCCACTCCCAAAATGACCCATTCCCTTCCCTCCACCCACTATTCCCCCCCTACCCCACACCCCTCCATCCATATCCATATCCCTCCACCCCATGCCTCATCCCTACCTTCCACCATACCTACACCCCATCTACACTACACTGTAAAATCTGTGACATACTTGATAATGTTACAAGACTAGATTCCCACACATTGTTCCCCAATTTGTCCTCCACACTATGCCTCAGACCTACCCTCTACCCCACCCTTGTCCCTCCACACTGTGCCTCAGGACTCCACTCTCTACCCACCCCTTGTCCTCCACACTATGCCTCAGACCTACCCTCTACCCCACCCTTGTCCTCCACACTATGCCTCAGACCTACCCTCTACTCCCAACCTTGTCCTCCCACACTATGCCTCAGACCACCCTCTACCCCCAACCTTGTCCCTCCACACCATACCACAGACCTACCTCAATTCCCAACTCCTTTGTCCCTCCACACTACATGCCTCCAGACCTACCCACTACCCCACCCTTGTCCTCCACACTCATGCCTCAGACCTACCCTCTACCCCCCTTGTCCTCCCACTATGCCTCCAAACCCTCTACTCCCACCTTGTCCCTCACAGACCTACCCTCTACCCCACTCCTTGTCCTCCACACTATGCCTCCAAGACCTACTCCTCTACCCCCACCCTTGTCCCTCCCACACTATGCCTCAGACCTACCCCTCTACCCCAACCTTGTCCTCCCACACTATGCCTCAGACTCCACCACCCTCTACCCAACCCTTGTCCTCCACACTATGCCTCAGACCTACCCTCTACTCCCACCCTTGTCCTCCACACTATGCCTCAGACCTACCTCTTTGTCCTCCACACTATGCCTCAGACCTACCCTCTACCCCAACCTTGTCCTCCACACTATGCCTCAGACCTACCCTCTACCCCACCCTTGTCCTCCACACCTATGCCCAGTCCTACCCACCATACCTACACCACACTGTAAAGATCTGTGACCTTGATGAAATGTTACAAGACTAGATTCCCACACATTGTTCCCAACCGCATGTCCTCCACACTATGCCTCAGACCTACCCTCTACCCCAACCTTGTGTCCTCCACACTATGCCTCAGACCTACCCTCTACCCCTAACCTTGTCCTCCACACTATGCCTCAGGCCTACCCACCATACCTACACCCCTCTCCACTACACTGTAAAATCTGTGACATACTTGATAATGTTACAAGACTAGATTCCAACACATTGTTCCCAGTTTCACACATGGCACAACTTACACTATCTAGACACATACCTAAAGTGACCAACAGGCTGTTGAGCATGGTTACCCATAAAGATATCCGCCCAGCAATGGAAACTGTTATATTGGGGCATCTTCATGTCTGATGCTATTTGGTCAAGTGCTTCAATGGGTTATTCAGCCTGTTGGAGAAGATCCAACTCTGGAATAAGAGGAAGGCTGATGCAGGTTGGCAGGATTAAGCTGGGTCCACTGTTAATACCATGGCCAATCACAGCCGGTGACACTATCACACAACAGTCGACATTCACACGCAATCACACACTGGCCTCACAAAACACACTGTACAAGATAGTGCGTCCCAGTGTCAAGACCTTGAAGATGATGAAGTGAGCTCGTCCTTGATTAGATGCTCTGGAAGAAAAAACACATTAAATATATTTCTGGTGTGCATGATTTTCAGTTGTAAACAGATGTTCTATAATGCAGCCAGCGTCTATAATCCAGTCAAGCTATGTCAGGGCAACATATCAATAACTGTGTCAGGCTCTGGTCTAACCTGATGGCACAATACAGGTCAGTAATGGACGGATACAATGACACACACAGTCAAGATGTTAACCCTGGCCATCTGATTCTCATTACTGTATTTGGACAAGGGGTTCTTGAAGTGAACCCAACTCCTATCATACCATAGGACACAACTCCATCTCATCATACTGAGATACACAACTCTCATCATACCAAGAGACACAAGTCCCATCATACCATGGGAGACAACTCCCATCATACCAAGAGACACAACTCCCATCATACCAAGGGACACATCTCCCATCATACCATGGGAGACAACTCCCATCATACCAAGGGAGGCAACTCCCATCATACCAAGGGAGGCAACTCCCATCATACCACTCACATCATATCAAGAGACACAACTCCATCTCATCATACCGAGATACACAACTCTCATCATACCGAGAGACACAACTCTCATCATACCAAGGGAGACAACAGAATACTCCCTTCATACCACTCCCATCATACCAACAGACACAACTCCATCTCATCATACCAAGATACACAACTCTCATCCCAGACACAACTCCCATCATACCCAAGGGACACAACTCCCATCATACCAAGGGAGGCAACTCCCATCATACCACTCACATCATATCAAGAGACACAACTCCATCTCATCATACCGAGATACACAACTCTCATCATACCAAGAGACACAAGTCCCATGATACAAAGGGAGACAACTCCCATCATACCAAGGGAGAATACTCCCTTCATACCACTCCCATCATACCAAGAGACACAACTCCATCTCATCATACCGAGATACACAACTCTCATCATACCAAGAGACACAAGTCCCATGATACCAAGGGAGACAACTCCCATCATACCAAGGGAGAATACTCCCTTCATACCACTCCCATCATACCAAGAGACACAACTCCATCTCATCATACCGAGATACACAACTCTCATCATACCAAGAGACACATCTCCCATCATACCATGGGAGACAACTCCCATCATACCAAGGGAGGCAACTCCCATCATACCACTCCCATCATACCAAGAGACACAACTCCATCTCATTATACTGAGATACACAACTCTCATCATACCAAGAGACACAAGTCCCATGTTACCAAGGGAGACAAGTACCATCATACCAAGGGAGGCAACTCACATCATACCAAGGGAGACAACTCCCATCATACCAAGGGAGGCAACTCACATCATACCAAGGGAGGCAACTCACATCATACCAAGGGAGGCAACTCACATCATACCACTCCCATCATACCAAGAGACACAACTCCCATCATACCAAGAGACACAACTACCTCATACCAAGTGACACACCTCTAATCATATGAAGCTACACAATTCCAATAATACTATGGGGATTTAATTCTTTCCATACAAAGGGACATAGCTCCCATCATTCCAAGCAAGATATTGCCCACACAGATATTGCCCACACAGATATTGTGAGATATTGCCCACACAGATATTGTGAGATATTGCCCACGCAGATATTGTGAGATATTGCCCACACAGATATTGCCCACACTTTCATCATGTCATTGGCAACAAAGGGGACAAAATAAACTCTCTCAACACAGAAAGGACACATCCGACTCCAACCAGACAAGCATGAAGTTGATATGGGGAATACTTACTCTGTTGGGGCAGCCTGATTGGTTCTGTGTCTGCGAGAGTGACTTGATGGAACCGGTGTCGGAACTTGTATCTGATAAATAGTGTCTTGGTCTCCCCAATAACCGGGTCATAGAACCCTGGAAGGCCACTCTGTAACAGGTTATCAGTGGTAAGGCACAACACTAAATTAGTCATTTCGTACTTTGGAGGATTCTGCATAGATATTCAGACAGTGTGTTTTGTATGAAAAGTATTTATCTATCTCTACATGTGTATCTATGACATTACATGTTAATTGTAAGACTGAGGCATGAGAGAACAGGATCCCAAAAGAACAATGGCCAATGGGAAATATTACATTTTGATGGCCACCAATTCAAAGAAGCCTACCTTCGTTGTGTTCTCTGGGAGGATAAGTTTTGACTCCTTGACCAGCGCCTGGAGCGGAATGCTGACATCTAAACACTCTTTGTCTATCAACTCTCTGGAAACAGACACAGTCAGTGAGTGGGTGAGGCTTGTGACAGATACAGTCAGTGAGTGGGAGGGGCTTGTGACAGATACAGTCAGTGAGTGGGAGGGGCTTGTGACAGATACAGTCAGTGAGTGGGTGAGGCTTGTCACAGATACAGTCAGTGAGTGGGAGGGGCTTGTGACAGACACAGTCAGTGAGTGGGAGGGGCTTGTGACAGATACAGTCAGTGAGTGGGAGGGGCTTGTGACATATACAGTCAGTGAGTGGGAGAGACTTGTGACAGATACAGTCAGTGAGTAGGAGAGACTTGTGACAGATACAGTCAGTCAGTGGGAGGGGCTTGTGACAGATACAGTCAGTCAGTGGGTGAGACTTGTGACAGATACAGTCAGTCAGTGGGTGAGACTTGTGACAGATACAGTCAGTGAGTGGGAGGGGCTTGTGACAGTCAGTCAGTGAGTAGGAGAGACTTGTGACAGATACAGTCAGTGAGTGGGAGGGGCTTGTGACAGATACAGTCAGTGAGTGGGAGGGGCTTGTGACAGATACAGTCAGTGAGTGGGAGGGCTTGTGACAGATACAGTCAGTGAGTGGGGGGCTTGTGACAGATACAGTCAGTGAGTAGATACAGTCAGGGAGGGGCTTGTGACAGATACAGTCAGTGAGTGGGAGGGGCTTGTGACAGATACAGTCAGTGAGTGGGAGGGGCTTGTGACAGATACAGTCAGTGAGTGGGAGGGGCTTGTGACAGATACAGTCAGTGAGTGGGAGGGGCTTGTGACAGATACAGTCAGTGAGTGGGAGGGGCTTTTGAGTGGGTGGGATACAGTCAGTGAGTGGGTGAGGGTGACAGATACAGTCAGTGAGTGGGAGGGAGCTTGTGACAGACAGACAGTCAGTGAGTGGGAGGGACTTTGACAGATACGGTCAGTGAGTGGGAGGGGGCTTGTGACAGATACAGTCAGTGAGTGGGAGGGCTTGTGACAGATCACACAGTGGGTAGGAGGGCTTGTGACAGAGATACAGTTAGTCAGTGAGTGGGAGGGGAGCTGTGACGAACAGTCAGTGAGTGGGAAGGGCTTGTGACAGAATACAGTCAGTGAGTGGGAGGGGCTTGTGACGAACAGTCAGTGAGAGTGGGGGAGGGGCTTGTGACAGATACAGTCAGTGTGAGTGGGAGGGGCTTGTGACAGATACAGTCAGTGAGTGGGTGAGACTTGTGACAGATACAGTCAGTGAGTGGGTGAGACTTGTGACAGGATACAGTCAGTGGGTGAGACTTGTGACAGATACAGTCAGTGAGTGGGAGGGGGTTATGACAGATCAGTCAGTGAGTGGGAGGGGGCTTATGACTGGAATCACAGTCGGTGGTGGGAGGGGCTTGTGACAGATACAGTCAGTGAGTGGGAGGGACTTGTGACAGATACAGTCAGTGAGTGGGGAGGGCTTGCTGACAGATACAGTCAGTGAGGAGGGGGGCTTGTGACAGATACAGTCAGTGAGGTAGGGGGGCTTGTGACAGAATACAGTCAGTGGGTAGAGGACATGTAGCAGTTGAGTCAGTGAGTGGGAGGGCTTGTGACAGATACAGTCAGTGAGTGGGAGGGCTTGTGACAGATACAGTCGGTGAGTGGGAGGAGGGATTGTGACAGATACAGTCAGTGAGTGGGAGGGGCTTGTGACAGAATACAGTCAGTGAGTGGGAGGGCGCTTACACAGACGGTCAGTGAAGTGGGAGGGCTTTTGACAGACAGTGAGTGGGGAGGGCTTGTGACAGACGGTCAGTGAGGTCGGGGAGGACTTTGACAGATACAGTCAGTCAGTGGGTGGGGCTTGTGACAGATACAGTCAGTGAGTGGGGAGGGCTTGTGACGGAGATAGTACGGTGGGTGAGGAAGGCAGCGGTTAGTCGGTGAGTGGGGAGGGGCTTTGACAGACAGTCAGTGAGTGGGAGAGGGCTTGTGACAGATACAGTCAGTGAGTGGGAGGGGCTTGTGACGGTGACAGTCGGTGAGTGGGGAGAAAGGGCTTTGTGACAGATACAGTCAGTGAGTGGGAGGGGCTTTTGACAGACAGTCAGTGAGTGGGAGAGGGCTGTGACAGATACAGTCAGTCAGTGAGTGGGAGAGACTTGTGACAGATACAGTCAGTAAAGTGGGTGAGGCTTGTGACAGTCAGTCAGTCAGAGGGGGGGCTTGTGACAGATACAGTCAGTGAGTGGGAGGGACTTGTGACAGATACAGTCAGTCAGTGAGTAGGAGAGACTTGTGACAGATACAGATCAGTGAGTGGGAGGGGCTTGTGACAGATACAGTCAGTGGGTGGGAGGGGAAGACGACAGACAGTCAGTGAGTGGGAGGGGCTTGTGACAGATACAGTCAGTGAGTGGGAGGGCTTGTGACAGAATACAGTCAGTCGGTGAGTGGGAGGGTCTTCATGACAGATACAGTCAGTGAAGTGGGGTGGAGATGCTTGTGGTAGGAAGATACAGTAAGTCAGTAGTGGAGGAGGCTGTGTGATGACGGTCAGTGAAGTGGGAGAGCTTGTGACAGATACAGTCGAAGTGAGTGGGAGGGCTTGTGACGAATAGATACGGTCAGTCAGTGAAGGAGGACAGACAGACAGATGAAGAAGTCAGTGAAGTGGGAGGGGCTTGTAACAGATACAGTCAGTGAGTGGGAGGGGCTTGTGACAGGTACAGTCAGTGAGTGGGAGGGCTTGTGACAGATACAGTCGGTCGGGTGGGAGGGAACTTGTGACAGATACAGTCGGTGAGTGCAGGAGGGTGCTGTGACGGGATACGGTCGGTCAGTGGGGAGGCTTGTGACGAGATACAGTCGGTGAGTGGGAGGGCGTGACAGACGGTCGGTGTGAGTGGGGAGGGCTTGTGACGAATACAGTCAAGTGAGTGGGAGGGACTTGTGACAGATACGGTCGGTGAGTGGGAGGGCTTGTGACAGATACGGTCAGTGAGTCAGTGGGGAGGGCTTGTGACGGATACGGTCGGTGGGTGAGGGCTTGTGGCGGTTGAGTCGGTGAGTGGGGAGGGGCGTGACGGACGGTCGGTGAGTGGGGAAGGGCTTGACGAGATACGGTCGGTGAGTGGGAGGATTGTGACAGATACGGTCGGTGGTGGAGGGGCTTTGTGACAGATACGGTCGGTGAGTGGGAGGGGCTTGTGACGGAATACGGTCGGTGAGTGGGAGGGTCTTGTGACAGATACAGTCAGTGTGGTGGGGAGGGCTTCGTGACGGATACAGTCAGTGGTGCGAGGGCTTGGGACGGACGATCAGTGAATGGGTGGGAGGGCGGTAGATACGGTCAGTGAGTGGGAGGGTCTTTGTGACAGATACAGTCGGTGAGTGGGGAGGGCTTGTGACAGATACAGTCAGTGAGTGGGAGGGCTTGTGACAGAGAACAGTCGAGGTGAGTGGGAGGGGCTTGTGACAGATACAGTCAGTGAGTGGGAGGGCTTTATGACGGTGATACAGTCGAAGTGAGTGGGAGGGCTTGTGACAGATACAGTCAGGTGAGTGGGAGATACTTGCATAGATACAGTGAGTGGGAGAGGCGTGGTAGCGGATACGGTCGGTCGGTGGGTGGGCCAGGACAGTGACAGGATAGCGCTGCACAGATACAGCGTCAGTGGGTAGAGGCGACGGTACAGTCAGTGTGAGTGGGGAGGGCTTGTAGACAGATACAGTAGGTGAGTGGGAGAGGCTTTGTGACAGATACAGTCGAGTCCGGTGAGTGGGAGACTTGTGACAGATACAGTCAGTGAGTGGGAGGGCTTGTGAGGCAGATACGGTCGGTGGGTGGGGAGGGAACTGACAGAACAGTCAGTGAGGTGGGAGGGCTGTGACGAGATACAGTCGGTGAGTGGGAGGGCTTGTGACAGAATACAGTCAGTGAGTGGGGAGGGTCTTGTGACAGATACAGTCAGTGAGTGGGAGGGGCTTGTGACAGATACAGTCGGTGAGTGGGTGGGACTTTGTGACGAGACAGTCGGTGGGTGGGAAGGGCTGGTGACAGATTACAGTCAGTCGAGTGGGGAGGGTTTGTGACGGAGGTCAGTCAGTGAGGGAGGGGCTTGTGACAGATACAGTCAGTCAGCGGCGGCTGAGGCTTGTGACGGGGAGAATCCGCAGTCAGTGAGTGGGAGAGGCTTGCGAGCAGATACAGTCAGTGAGTGGGAGAAGCTTGTGAGCAGATAGAAGTAAAGAGTGAGTGGGGAGGGGCTTGTGACAGATACAGTCAGTCAGTGGGTGAGGGGCTGTGACAGTCAGTCAGTGAGTGGGAGGGCTTGTGACAGATACAGTCAGTGAGTGGGAGAGCTTGTGACAGATACGGTAAGAGTGAGGTGGGAGGGCTTGTGACAGATACAGTCAGTCAGTGAGTGGGAGACTTGCTTGGCAGACAAGATACAGTCAGTGGAGGTGGGAGGGCTTTGCGGCGGAGTCCTGGGAGTCAGTGGGGTGAGGAGGCTTGTGGTGAGAGGCAGATACGTGAGAGTGGGAGGGGATTGTGACCCAGATACAGTCAGTCAGTGAGTAGGAGAGACTTGCTTGACAGATACAGTGGAAGTGAGGTGGGAGGGCTTGCAGGCAGAGATACAGTCAGTCAGTGGGAGGGATGTGAGGCAGGAATACAGTCCAGTGAGTGGGGAGGGCTTGTGACAGTCCAGTGAGTGAAGGTGGGAGGGAGGCTTGTGACTTGAATACAGTCAGTGGAGTGGGAGGGAAGCTGTGACAGATACAGTGAGAGTGAGTGGGGAGGGATTGCTTGACAGATACAGTCAGCCCAGTCCAGTGAGTGGGGAGAGACTTGTGAGCGGGGCTTGAGTCAGTGAGAGTGGGAGGGCCTGTGACAGATGTTGGTCCAGTCAGTGGGGTGAGGGCTTGTGACAGTCAGTCAGTGAGAGTGGGAGGGCTTGTGACAGATACAGTCAGTGAGTGGGAGAGGATTGCTGACGGAATACAGTCCAGTCCAGTGAGTAGGAGAGCACTTGC